TCTGCTTCCAATGTGAATCTATGAACTGATCTCCATTTTTTAAAGTGTAGTTTTGCTGCATGTAGAATTCTTTCCTGCCTAGGTACCTGCCTGCCTGCCTTCTCACCATCTCTCTCTTACTCCCGCCCCACCACTTGCCTTTTTCTGCCTCCTGGAAGTCCTGGTTTCTGATGAGAAATTGGCTGTTAATCTTACTGAGGATTTCTTTTGCTCCTGTCAGTTTGGCTATAGTGTGTTATAAGTTTATACTAATTGGAGATACTTGGGCAGCTTGAAAATGTACAGATTAAAATCTTCCATCAGACTTGGGAAGTTTTGGTCCATTTTATCAAATAGTCTTTTGTTCCTTTCCTATGCTTGTACCATTAATAATATTGGTACGTTCTATTAAGTATATACACCCATGTGGAATAGTGTCTCACAGTCTGTTAGGGTGTGTACATTTTCTTTTTTCTTTTTCTTTCTTTTTTTTTTTCATTCTGCTTCTTAGAGTGGATAAATTCAGTTACCCAGTCTTCAGGGTCACTTACTCTTTGGCCTGTTCCAATGTGATACCCCTTTGTGAACTCATTGGGGGCATTTTCCATTTCTGTTATTTTCAGCTACAAAGTTTTATTTGCTTTCTTTTTTCATCTCAATCTCTTTTGATATTCTCTTTGGAACACTGTTAAAACAGTCTTGCTAAGTTTTTTTTTTTTTTTTTTTTTTTTCCTGTTTCTGAAGACACACAGACTCCCAGAGCTCTATGTTCTACCAGTTTTGTTTTATGCACTTTTAGTGAGTAAAATTATACATGCCAGATCAGAAAATAAACTGAAAGCTCAGTTTGAGTACGACATCTAAATTTGTAAAGAAGATTACAAGTTAGAAGGAAAAAGAATTTAGAATACATGAAACAACTTGGTTTGTATAGATTAAGTTGAACCTTCGAAGTGATTTAAACCAATTAGTTTTTCAGCAGGAATATTAATATTAAGTGCCAGATTAAAAATGTATATTTCAAGTGTTTGGTTCCAGCATTTTCCGCTATACTCAGTGTGATCTTGCATTTGAGCTTTTCTGTAAGCAGTAGGATTATGAGCTTTAGGAAATGTTAGTAAATAAGACCTGTTGTTCATTATATACAAAAGTAATTATCAGGTGGGGTGAGGGAATATGGATTAATGTCTTATGTTAATAATCCACATATTGCTGTGTAACAGATTACCCTGAAACTTAATGGTTTGAAATCAAAACAGCAAACATGTATTGTGTCTCAGCAACTGTAGGTTAGTAAGGCAGCTTAGCTTTATGTGGTTCTGGCCTAGGATCACTCATGAAGTTACTTTTAGGCTGCACTTATATGTAACCTTGCTTAGGCTAAAGAATTTGCTGACATTTCTTACCAAGTGAACCTCTCCATAGAGTGTCCTGACAGTTCTTGTGACATAGTAACGTTTCTTCCAGTGGGTATAATTCATGATAGAGCAAGGAAGAAATCGCAGTGCCTTTTATGACATAGGTACACATTGTCATTTCTGCCATAAATGTTTTAATGTATGTAAGTTACCAAACATTAAGCACATTCACAATCGAGGGGAAAGGGTACCACGCTCTGAATATGGAAAAAGCATCAAACCTCATCACTGACTAGCTAGAGGTAAGCAATGGAAGAGACTTAGAATATATCTTGATAATGGCTTCCTAAAACTTCATTAAATTGTTAATGATTTTCCCAGGAAGAGAACAATTTGATATTTGAAAACTAAAACCTTTATTAGAATTTGGTCTATTGAAATATACATACTTAAATCCTGTTATTTTCTTCATTCTACTTAGGAACTCTTCTGCCTTTTTTGTTATTCCAGGGATCGAACTCATGACCCTGTGCGTGTCAGAAAGTCACTGTGCCACTGAGTTATAGCCCTGACCATAAAATTCATAGGAAAGAGCTGAAACAAATTACAAAATCCAATTTAAAAATGTTTGAATAGGGGCTGGGGATTTAGCTCAGTGGCATAAGCGCCTGCTTTGCAAGCAAGCAGTCCTGAGTTCGATGCCTGGTACCGATAAAAATTAAAAAAAAAAATGTTTTTTAAATGTTTGAATAGTATTGGTGTTGTTTGGTGTGTGTGTGTGTGTGTGTGTGTGTGTGTGTGTGTGTGTGTGTTTACTGCCTAATTTTGGAGAGTTGTTTGAAATAAAGTAATCCTCAATCAGGATAAAAGCTTTATTCAGATATTGGGAATAAGGAAAAAGGCTAACGTCAACTGTTCAAAAATATGAACTACACAGTATCTTCAGAACATCCAGCTTTGATGGTAAAATGTTAAAATTTTATATTTAGAAAAGGGTCTCAAAGTAGTATAAGGAACTCCTATATACCATTTGTCTGGATTTATTAATTATTTTCTTCATTCTTTGGCTCACCCTAGACCAATTTGCTACAGCCATTGGGGTAAAACCTGTAGTCTTAGTGAAGTTAAATCTCTTGATTCTCTACAGTGAAATTGTAAGTCAGAGGAACCACAGGGCTTTTCACCGAACAAGTGATAAAATAGTGCTCTTACAGGATTTTGGAAAAGGGGATCATTGAAATGAAGTTAAAGAAAGTGTTTTGATAGGCTCATGGCAAAGCCTACTTGAAGTACTCACATTCAGCAAGTGTTTATTTGCAGTATGCTAAATGATATAGGAATTTTACCTTTGGGAAATTTACCAGAGTTGACTATTTTACAAACCTCAGTCATTATTCTATATTAGAGTAAATCTAAAAGTAAACAATAGATAGCTACAATTCACCCAAAAGAGGAAAGGTAAAAGAATTGTAAGATGGAGGAATGGGATCTCAAATATAGGTCTGTATTTGGATACTGAGTGAACAAAACAGTACATGTCAATGTAAACATTCACATTTATTCTCAGTATTACATCATGTAGTGCTAATTGAATTTTATGCATGCATTTATGATGCACTGAATTCATCATCACAGGTTGAATTATAGAGAAATCTCAGGTCCTAGTTACTTTTCTTGCTGTTGAGACAAAATTACCCAACATCCAAAGTTAAAAAAGGTTTATTTAGCTCATACTTTGTAGAGGTTTCAGTCCATAATCTGCTTGCTCCAAGGCAGGGTAGCACATGGCAGAAAGACAGCCATGCATGACTCTGCAAGACAGCAAAAGCAGAAAGGGAAAAAAAGGAAAAGGCTTTTTCTGTCCCTTATATTGTATATAGGCTACCCACGCTAGGGCGATGTAGCACTCACACCCTTAATCCCAGCATTGGACCCTGAATCAGTCACCTCTGAAAATGCCCCCCCCCCATGACTTTAGGGGGACATTTAGACACAAACATTATGCCCCAGTAAAAAGTCGAAATGACTTTAGCTATTTGCTGTATTTCATCAATTTTAAGATGAACTTCCTCCCCTACCACATAATGCAAACACTCCTTTTAACATGTTTGTAATCAGGTTGAATAGGTTGTGATCCTCAGCCTGTTTGACCAGTGAGGGCCAGTGAGGGCAGCTTGTAGCCATTGTATGCACATGGGTAGACATCACAAGTGCTTTTATCTACTTAGTATAATCAATGCCAGAATGAAAAAATAGAAAAAAGGAAAAGGGGGAGAGGAGAGAAACTGAGAAAACCAAGGGCGTTAAAGGGTACCCACTTAACCCTACTGAATATTTGCAAAGAGGGACTGAAAAGGTAACCTATGTAATTGCAAAACATTTTAAAAGTTTTATGAATTCTCTTAAGATATAACTATCTTGAGCACTTAGAAGATAAGTCTTAGAGTAATTCAAAAGAGTTGGACTGTAACTTTATGGGGAAACACAAAAGCACTACATGAGAAGCATTCGTATTTAAATTTGAGCAGTTCTTAAAGCATGTTAAAGTATAAAATGTAAATAAGTGGTTATTTAAGAGAAGTATCAGTTTGGGGTAGTATACATTGGTTAATGTTTGTCCTATATTTTATAGTATTTTATAGGATTTGCTAACAATCTATTTGAGGATTTTTTTCTTGCCTAGATATTTAATACTATGTCCTGTAGAATTTTTATACTCCTTTATAAATTTCCCCCATGAAGTGGCACAGTTTACTCTGTAGTCACAACTTGGTGGGTTAGTGTCACACCTTTGTGGGTTAGCCTATTCTCACTACACCTTTGTGTACTGTGTTTAACCTTTTTCTGTGCATTGGTTTGCAACTGTAAAATGTATTTACGTATTTGTCCCTTTGATCTTTTAGAGGAAAGAAAACCATTTCAGTAATAATTGTAAGTAATGGTACTAACTAGTGTGGGGTGGGGTGAGGCGATAGGGACAGGTCAGTAACCTTCATTGGTTGAGCCACTCTACTATAAAATGTGATGAGGCAGTGAGATCCTTGCAGCACTATATAGAATCCCTCAAGTGCGACAGCTACAAATCCACACTAAAAGTATTGTTTTCACATTGATGCTATTTTTTCCTAAATGGTAAAAGATTCTTGATAAAAATCTGAAAAGAAATAAATACAAAGTTCTTTGATTTACATGGAAGTTACCGTTTTAGAAGTACTTATTTTGTCCTAACATGGCAGGAAAAGAGACTAAGTGTTTATATGTAACAAGGGCATTAGTTCTAAGTTAATGTAACATAATGTTCTAAATTAATGTAGGTTTTTTTTTAAAAAACCTATTTTCATATCTGCTTAAGTATTTGAAAGTCTACTCTGTTGTAAAAGTTTTTCTTGCATTGCAAATTCTGGCCCCTTTGTACTAAATATCAAGGTTGTCATACCTGTTTTGATAATTAAACATCCCTTCCAATTTTAAAAAAGTCCTCAGACTACCACTCTTCTTGAGAACTTTTGGTCTTACATGTGTGAAAGGTAAGAAAATTAAGTACTAGAGTAGGAAATAGTTACTTGGACCATTTATTATTATACATTGAATAAATTTAATTAAAATGGTTAATTTGAGGCTTTTAAAATTAAGATGACTGAATTGGTATATTTTTTTTCCTAGCAAAATGAATGAAAATAAACCTGGTGACTCGCAGAACCTTGGTAAGTAACTATTTAAAATATTTAAAAGACAGTAAGTCTTTTTAGAATGCTTTCCATATTCTAGGAATGAATTTCCTGATTCATCTGAGTTCCGTGTTCTAAAGTGTATTAAATATATTTCCATAGATGAGTATATTATTTGCTGAATTTTATTTGTATTTTGCATAAATACTATAGTTTTTGTTTGAATGAAATTATTATTTAATAAATACAGTTTTTCCATCTCTTTGGTCTTTGTGGGGTTGTTTTGTTTTGTTTCGCCTTGTTTTCTTTTGTTCTAAGACAGGGTCTCTGTGTAGTTCAGGTTGGCCTTGAGCTCACTTTGCAGGCCCAAGTTGGTCTGAAACTTTCAATGATTGCAAACTCACAATGATCCTCCTGTCTCAGCCTCCCAAGTGTGGGGATTACAAACTTGAGCCACTACACCTAGCTTGTTGTTTATTTTGTGTGTGTGTGTGTGTGTGTGTGTGTGTGTGTGTGTGTGTGTGTGGTTGTTTTTCAACGTCTTGCTGTATAGTTCAGGCTGGCCAGGAGTTGACTGTGTAACCCAGGCTGGCATCAAATTCACAGTGATCCTTCTGCTTCAGCCTCCTCCGTGCTAGAATTACAGGAGTATATCACTCCTTTTTGTTCTTTGGTGTTTTGTTTTGAGACAGAGTCTTGCTATGTAATTAAGCCTTAAACTCACTGTGGAGCCTAGACTGGCCTCAAACTCATAACAGTCCTCCTGCCTTGGCCTCCTAAGTGTTGGGATTACAAATGTGCGCCACCACATACCTGGCAATGTTTTCACTTTTTTGCATCACTTTTTCTTACAAAATGAAAAATGCAAGTGAGAACAATTTAAATAATAAAAATAAATAATAGTTTAGCATGAAAAGGATTTTACCTCTGAAGTCTTCACAAAATATTTCCAATTAGTCCTTTTAACCTTTGTATTTGGTTGCTTTTTCTGTATTATTAGCAATATGTATTTACTTGCTACCATGAAAGATGAGAAATCTAAATTGTTACTTTGTAGTCTTTTGCCAGTAACCCAGTTTTTTTAGATTTTAAAAAATTCCCAATAAAAATATTATACTTAAAATTTTATATTCTATCCATCACTTTGAGAGTATCTGTTAACTCCACGTCATTTTGAGTAAGGAAATTCACTTGTAAACCTCCTTCTTTCTTTTCTTGCTTTTATCTAGAGACTTTATGCTAATAGTTTTGAAATTTTGCAGTATCTACATTTTCGAGTGTCTTAGGTTGGGTAACATACGGTAATCATTATGTATGGATTTAGTCCTTGCCTTGATATTTATATTGTGTTTTGTAAGTTTTTTGGTACTCATCATTTGAAAGTGAATTGTCACAGTATACTCCACAGTTACTTCTCCGAGTTAGTCTGTTCTCACTAATTCTGTGAGGTTGGGCAGATGATCATGCTAATAGTTCTGAATTTTTGTTGATTTGTGTAGTACTTACATGCATTTGTCAATTAAAAATACACCTTTACTTTTACTTATTTTTTCCAAATTGAACTCCAGTTTTCACTTGTATGAATGTGTTTAAGTGGAAATTTTAATTACAAAAACCAAGATCAAGGCCAGCCTGAACTGCATAGTGAAACCCTGTCTCAAAAAGACAAAAACAAAAAAAACTAATAGCATTTGTTGCAGGTGATCTTAACAGTAAATATAATGAAGTTAGAACAATTCCACTGAATTTTAAACATTTCTTTAAAAAAATACAAATACAGAAGTAACATACATTTAAATATATATACAAGAAACCTAGTATGTTCTGCCCCTAGAACCCTCCTTACTAGGTGAATGGGAAGGCAAGAGAAAAGGGAAGCAAATTTGAAAGCAGAAGGCCTGTAGCATGTAACAGATAAACCTCTATCCATCATTGTCAGGAGATCTATAGTCTCAGTGAATTCCCGAGAATTCTCCTTCTTTCCTCTCTGTTCTGTGCATGGACTCTTGAAACTTTTTGAATGCTTGACAGCTAAAATTACAGACACTGAGGATATAGGAGTTGAAATGGAAACTGCTGGTGTGAGATGTCCAATGTGAACAAATGACAGTTTGCTAGTGTTGTTAATGTATTTGAATAGGTTCTTTGTATGGAGAAAACAGGGAAGCTAAAAGTCTTTTAAAAGTTTAGGAGAAAACCTTTAAGTTGTAACTTACCTCATTCAGCTGGAATAAGGGAAATCAATATAGTAAGGATGTGTTCATAGTATTGAAATTAGCTTGTACCGTTTCTTTCTAGTTCTGGAATCTGTTCTGTTAATAAATACAGTTCTTTTCAGCACATAACAACCATTCTTGATTACATGTGTAAAGGTAAGCAGCACTCACTTTAATAATAGGTAAATTCTGAAATCATATGGTTTAACACAATAAAACACACAAAGCTTATTGCTCTGTCAAGTTACTGTCCAATGTGGATTGATTAGGGAGGATGAGGCCTATGGAATTATTTCATGAAGTCATTTTGAGATTCATATGCCCTCCATTTTGAATAGATCTGCTGCCCTGAAATGCTCAAAATCTTTTTGCTTTAGCTAGTATTAGTTTACTTGTTTCATTTAGCATGTTAATAAAGTTTCCTTAAATTACATATGATAGGAGAAAAACATAGGACAGAGAAGATTAGTAACCATAATACTAAGACTTGCTCACTTCTGTGCATCACATTGTTAATTACATTAATGTGTATTGTCATTTAATCTTTATTCTTCATTAATACATAATTTGAGATGCATATTATTTTTGTCCTTATTTTAAGTTGAAGAAATGGAGTCATAAAACAGTGTAGTAAACAAATCAGGCATACAAAGATAATACTGTATTATTTCAGTTTGATATGAAATCTAGAAAAGTAAAACTCACCAATGCAGAGAACAGAATGGTGGTTAGGGATAGGGGCAAGGTAGAAATTGGCAAGAATACTGGTTAGAAGATATAAATAAAATTTAAGTTCAAAAAGTCTGTTGTGTTACCACAAATACATGGTGCAGGAGTGAATTCTATAGTAGTTGATAGCCATTCTGCAATAGACATTATTTCAAAACATTATGTTGTCATAAATACAGAAAACAACAAAAAGATTATGAAGGCAAATCTTAACTCACATCTCCCTGACTTCGCAAATCTTTGCGTGTGTGTGTGTGTGTGTGTGTGTGTCTAAACATACATGACAAAATTACCATTTTAAGCACTTTAGAGTGTATAGGTCCTGCATGTTGTTGTGAAACCTTCACCATTGTCTTACTTTTTAACTTATTTTCCCTGTTTCCAACTCCTGGCAACCAGTAATTGCTATTTTACTGTCTGCGATCTAACTGTTCTGGATAATGTAACCCATTATGTAAATGCTAGCACATAATATGTGACTTTGCTTTCTGTCAGCATAATGTTTTGTGGTATATCTGTGTTATTGCATATATTAATGCCTTTTATTGCTAACTAACATTTTCTTGTACAGAATACTATATTTTGTTTATTTCATGGATTTTGATTTGTATTTTATTTCATTAAAAATGCTATTATGAACAGTAATGTACAGGTGTTTGCTTGAACATCAGTTTCCAGTTTATATATCCAGGAAGGGAATTGCTATGTTTTAATGAACTCTTATTCTGATTATAGCTGTTCTCAAAGATGTAAAGAAGTTATCTTGTAGATTTGATTTGTAGTTCTTTGTTGACTGTGACCAATGATAGGGCATCATTTAATGTACTTTGTGGCTTTTGTATGTCATCTTTGGAGAAATGAGTCATAGTGAGTCTTTTTCCATCTGTAAAAGGTTGTTTTGTGTTTTTGTTTTTGAAGTGTAAGAGTGTCTTATGAATTTTGGATGGTAGACCTTTATCGGAAATGTAATTTCCAGGTATTTTCTTACATTTTAGAGTGTAAATTTGAAGTCTAATATTTCTGGTTTTTGTTTTGGTACTTTCACTTTCGTTTCACTTCAGTTGTAATGAACTATTGCTGAGGTCAGGCAGATTTACTTTTCCTTGTAAGTTTCATAGTTTTACATTTAGGTTCTTTATCTGTTTTGTGTTAGTCTTTAGATATGGTGTGAGGTGGAGTGTCAGTTTTGTTCTTGGGCCTCTTGTTATCCAGTTGCCCTGGCAATACTTACTGATCACACTTCTTTTCCCATTGGCAGTCTTGTCAAAAATAAATTCACTATAGATGTAAAATTTTATTCCTGGAGCCTTCTTTTATATTGATTTATATATCCCTGTGCCACATTATTTTGATCACTATAGTTTTATTGTAAGTTTTTAGTCTTTTTCTCAATCTAGATAAAATTTGTAGATTTCATTATCTTTTAAGAACCAATTTTTTGTTTTGCTTGATTCTGTATTGTATGTTTTAATCTTTTTCTTCTTTGCTTTTGCTAGCTTTGGGTTTAGTTTCCTCCTTTTTTCTTAAGATGTAAAATTAGACTTTGAGATTTTTTTTAAAAAATAGATGTGCATAAATCTAAAGGTTAGCTAGAGGTAAAAGTTTAGAGTTTCTCAGTCTTTTTTGAGCACGCATACATCCACACATATGCATGTGGCCCTCTGGATTCTTTAGTATATGTGGAATTTTTCAAAGTGCATATTTCCTTCGCCATATATTTCTTTCTTCCAGCCTCTTTCCTGTGCTTATTCTTTCAGCAGCTTGTTGTCCTTTGCCGTAGGATGTTGCACCTAGTATAGTTGTTTCAACCCTGAAAGAGTTCCCAGGCAGGCAAAATAAAGGAAGACATATGCTAGGTGTGGCAGTGTATGTTTGTAATCCCAGCACTTGCGAGGCAGAGGCAAGAGAATCCCTGCGAGTTTGAGGCCAGCCTGGGTTATATAATAAAGTCATGGCCAGCCTGAACTACACAGTGAGACCTTGTCTCAAAAAGAATAAAAATAAAAAAGTAAAGTAAAACAAAGACACATGAACCTACCCTTCAGAGTGCTGTGACTCAGATTGAAACACTTCAAATCACATTTTTTGGCAATGATCTGCATGTGTTACCTCCTCTTGAACCAGCAGTCTGTATAAGGAACACAGTCTACTCAAGGCCACTGCTCAACTTGTGAGTGAGCAGTAGTAGATGGGTAAGTTAAAATATTCTCATGAGAATTTAGCAACTCATTTCTCTATTAAGCATTTTCCTAATTTACAAAAAAAATTTTTTTGAACTTCATTTTACTCCAGAGCTTCTGAAAAGTTGATTGTGAGTTTTTGGCATCTCTATCACTGCTTTAGTAGAATACAGTTTTGAGGTTTCCTAATTCATTGTTTTCAGTGAGGTTACCCCGATAGTTTGCCATTTCAGGCAAGGAATTTATCCTTGAAGACTGGTGAAATACACAAAGTCACATTAATATAGTATTAGAAATAGGTTTTGAAAATTTTAAACTACTGATAGCAATCAAATGTGATTTGCTCTTTCAGAAAAAATTTAAAATCAATTGAAAAACAGTAATTACATAATTATTTTGAAATTTTAAAATATTTTTTATATCTATTTTTACACTCAGCTTGTGTTTTCTGTCGAAAAAATGATGACTGTGCTAATAAATATGGAGAAAAGAAAACTAATGAGAAATGGAATCTCACTGTGCATTACTATTGTTTGGTGAGTATTATTTGTAATTATATTCTAGAAATTTGATCTCTAAAGAGAATTAGATGCTGACACTGGTTTCTCATAATTGGATAAAATTATTTAACTTTCGGATTTTGTTTTTCATTTGTGTAAAAAATAAGATTTGGGGAGAATATATCTAATTTTCTGAGGTTCTGAAATTACTTGATAAATACAAAGATCTTACCAGCATTACCTGTTTGCTTTTGTCTAGTTTAAGAGTGGAGATGGGGGCTAAACTGGTTTTATAACGAAAGTATTCTTTTTAACTTTTTCCTTTGTTGTTATTGATTAATCTCTGGAAACACTTGTTTGAAGGTTTAGGGAGTAAAAGAAAGTGTTTTATTTCACAGAGAACCTGGAGGAAAAAATTGTGGCTAAAAGTAGTTCATTTATTAGTGGAAAAGAATGAGGTTACAGTGCTGGTCATTCAGATGGAGGTGATTTGATCCTGAGCATCAGTCTCTTTTCTTCCATTTACGAACTTTTTATTCCACTTGAATCTGTGGCATCATTAATACCTTATCATACCAAGGTTGTATTAATATACATTATTTATACTGAATTAGGCATCTGTTTTTGCTTGACAAGTTACTCTGAATTGAGTAAGTCAAACTAACATTTATTATCTCATATATTTTCTTAGGGTCAAAATTCTGATTTCAGCTACACTAGATGGTTCTGGCTCAGTCTCTCTCATGGCATTATAGGCAAGATGTTAACCCATCTGAAAACTTTACTAGGCTTGGAGGATCCTTCTCCAAAGGCTCACTCATGTGTTTTTGGCTACTGTTTCTACTAGCAATTGCAGGGGACCACAACTCTTTACTGTCTAGGCCTCAGAGTAACTGGCTTTCCCCAAAACAGGAGATAAGAGGATGAATGTGTTACCTAGTCTTCAAAGCCACACACCACCTTAACTTTTGCTTTCTTTGGTTAGAGGCAAATTAAGACTAGCCTGTGCTTCAAGGGGAGGGTTCCTGCCACCTTCTAAAGGAAGGAGTAGTGATACATTTGTGGAGATATTTTGAAGCTTGCTATCATCCAGGCTAAAAGTTTTTCAGTGTTTCCTTGAGAAACTGTCTAAAGTATTCATTTGAGGCTTTCTGCTTCACAGATACTTTGTGGGTTAAGTATACTGGTAGACTGGGCTAAGAATTTCTTAATACTTTCTTATTTTATTTATGAGTGTAAGCCTTTTTTAAAAAGTACCAATCCCACACTCTCTCCTTTAAAGATTCTGTTTTATTATGTACAACAGTAAAATATTGTAATTTTACAAGTGGTAATGTAATGCTACAGATGAAAGAGACTTAGAGGCAATCTGCTCCAATATTTTTATTTTCATGTTTAAGGTCAGTGACATAATAGGTAGTTTAAAGTTCCAAAACTAAAAGGTACTTGTTCACAAGCTAAATTTTTTATTTCCAGTCCATGGTTTTTCTTCATACAGTTTCTTTAACATCTTTCAACTATTAAAGATTTTTTATAAAAGCCCCTTAACTGTGACTCAGTAGTTGGTCCTTGTAAGTATTCTTTTTATGAATAAGAATTCAGATAGATTTAAAGTTAGCCTAAAATAGTATTGTTGTTATTACATTCATAATCACCTGTAATTACTATCCTTTTTTTCTTAAATTAATTATATATATTCTTTCTTTTTTTCCTACTTCCCAGTTATCTGTGTGTGCTACCTTCCTACCTTTTTTCTGTTTTTCTGTTACTTCCTGAAATACTTTTATAATCTAATTTGGATATATGATCTGTTAGTGTCTTTCAAATCTGAGGACATGAATAGTCGTTTGTTTTGACCATGAAAAATGATTACAGATAGCTGCTTGGAAATTTGAGTTTTATTGGAGTGAATATTACAGATGGATATACATATATCCAGATTAGTTTCTTAGAATTTGTTTTCTAATTGAGAATATATTCATAGTTGATGTCAAGTGGAATTTGGCAGAGAGGTGAAGAAGAAGAAGGAGTTTATGGTTTTCTAATAGAAGACATCAGAAAGGAAGTGAATAGAGCTTCTAAACTGGTAAGTAAATTATTGTACTCATTGTCAGTACTTGAGAAATCTCTTGTAGTTTCTGAAGAAGAAATTTATGGCTTTAGTTTTATGTTCTAATGTATATTTTTGTCAAGCATAAGTTTTAGAATAACGTTCTGTACTGTTTTGCACATGAAAGCTTTACTGACCCTGTATGATACATGTGACAATAGTGATTACTGTATCTTATTTATCCTATCCATTATTTCATCCAGTCTTATAGTTCCACTTCTGCAATCAGCAAATCCTTCAGTAAGCCAACCATTTACTTTTTAAATTCTTATGCCTTAATTGCTAAGATTGGAATGATAGGTGGAAGTAGAAATTACATAAGTGTGATTTTATGATTTCCACAACTCTTATGACTATTCTGTGACATTTTTTGCTTGTGTTTAGTGCTCTCTTGTTGTCCGTCCTAGATATGCTAAACTTAGTATCTTGTTCATTTATTTTTTTATGATTTTTTATATGATTGATTTACATGCTAGGTACCCCAAGGAATGGACTGTAGAGCTCCATATAGTCTGAGTAGAACTAGTGATTGAAATTTATAAAATTGAAAATATTCTGTTCAGAGAATGTAATACTAAAGTTGATGTCTGTGGTAGAACAATTTGAATGATGAAGGCATTCATCATTGCACTGAGTGGAGATAAATTGATACTTGAAGAAGTCAGAAAAGTTGTTTTATAAATGCCGGAGTTATTTAGAATGATGACAAGAATTAAAATACAGAGCAAGCCTCAAGGGCTTAAAGTTCTGAGGGTAGAAAACTGACTGGGAGGTTTCTAGATAAAAAATGAATAAATGCCAGTAAGTGATTAGAATTTTTTAAAGTATAAAGATAGGTACATATAAAAGATACAATAGTGGCTTAAAATCTCCAACAGAGAACTATAATAATACTATTTGTTTCCCTTCCTGCTCCCTTGTATGTCTTTACTCTCATCCTGTGCCAAATCAGGAAATTAACGATGTGAAAAAAAGAAGCTTCACTCAAAAAATTTTACCAAGTAAAAATAAAAACCTTTTAGATAAGGCAAAGAAATGTAGGTAGTTAGTTTTTAAAATGTCAAGCAGGGATGAGAGTTGAGGCTCATAAAATACAGAGGCTCTAGGGCAGAGGGAAAGCCTTGGTTGAAAGGACCATTTAAAGACCATTTGAAGACACCATCAATCTTATTTCTGGAGAAGAGTCCTCATTTTTATATTAAACTAGAATTCCTTTGCATAAGTTCACTGGAAGAGTCTCTGTTTGGTGTAGAATTTTCCTATTACTTGGGTGGTAGTTGAGGCATTAGCAATAAACTTGCAGTCCTAAATCAGTGATCATTATAATGGCCATATAAGTGTTCGAGCATTTTTTATGTACCTCTATATTTTTAAGTTATTGATAAATTTAATAATCTTTCTATTTATGTGATACTGTTAATATTCTGTTAGTGGCAGTGTTACAATATTTGTTCCCTAGATCTGTCATTACAAATAACAGAAATTTACTCTTTAAAAGTGGAAGCCAGAATTCTAACTGAAGTTGTCAGAAAGGTTGCTTTCTTTTAGAGGGTCTGAGGTAGCATTTATTCTTGTGCTCCTTCGATAGCTTCTTGTGCCTGTTGGGAACCCTTGGTAGCATAGCTACAATCTCTGCCGCCATCTTCAAATAGCCTTTTTATGTCTCTTCAACCTGCCTATTTTTTTTTCTCTTTTTAAAGATAAAAGTCATTTGATTTAAGGCCAACCCTAAACCCAGAATGATCTCATCCTAAAATGCTTAATTTTATCTGTAAAGACCCTATTTCTAAGTAACTTAGAGTTCCATGTACTAAGAACTTGAACATGTGATTTTTAAGAATGCTGTTCAACCTACTATGAGTATTTCAACTGTTTTTCCTTTTGGTGAGGATTGTCACCTTAGTCAGGTTTTAACAGATTGGTTTGAAATGAAGCTTTCTTGTATAGCTGTTATGTATATAAATTCTTCAGTTTAAAATGTTGTAGCTGGTAGGAATAAAAATGGGCTTCTTATATCAATGAATCCTTGAGGCTTTAGATTGTTTCTGGGGGGAATAATCTAGGAAATTTCATTAATGTACTGTCATCACAACTATTATGATGGAAATAATTTTCATTTTCCTCACAAGTAAAATTTATTAATACTTTGATCATGTTATACTAGTCAAAAATTTTTATATGGCTCTATTTTGATACTTTCTTCTAGAAATGCTCTGTTTGTAAGAAAAATGGTGCTTCAATTGGATGTGTAGCACCTCGATGTAAACGAAGTTACCATTTCCCATGTGGGCTTCAGAGAGAATGTATTTTCCAGTTCACTGGCAATTTTGCGTGAGTTATTTAACTGTGAAGTATGAATGTTAAAGAACCATGGCAAATGGATATCCCAAAGATACAATTTCCCTGTAAAATAACTTTTTAAAGTTGAACTGAATTTGTATACCTACATTACTATTTATATGTATACACAATATAATTATATATATATATATATATATATATATATATATATATATGCATACACATACATCCCACTCGTATAGTGTTACTTCTGCCTATTAAATCTTGAGAATTACAGTATGTAGAGTAGCCCTAAGGGGTTGGGAATTTCACTCAATGACATAAGCACCTGCCTGGCAAGCATGATGTCATGAGTTCAATCCCCCGTACAAATAAAATAAAGTTACATTTTAAAAAAAGGGCCAAGGTGGGGGCTGGGGGTTTAGCTCAGCAGCATAAGCGCCTGCCTTGCAAGCAGGCAGTTGTGAGTTCGATCCCCGGATCGATAAAAAAAGGGTGGGGGGAGGCCAAGGGTTTAGCTCAGCGATGTAAGCACCTTTTGCAAGTGTGAAGTCATGAGTTCAATCCCTGGTACCAAAAAAAAAAAAAAAAGTCTAGAATAGGCCTAATTAGCATTAAGTTCTGGGCTATAACTTTGAACTGTTACTTATTTCAGTGAAAATTGCTCCCTGATACTAAATTTTTATGTTATTGTTAAGAATTGATTCTCCACTCTTATTTTGTGCAGCCATATGTATTTCTCACTAAAGGTATATAACTTTACTTGAGTGCAAAAATAAATATTTTATTTAACTCTTAGTTACTTTTCTCATTGCTGAGAAAAAAATACCTGACGTGAAAAGTTAAGGGAGGAACAGTTTATTTCAGCTCACAGTTTATAGAAGTTTTAGTCCATAATTGGCCCAAGGTGGGGCTTCCCATTATCCATACTCAGAACTATGCCAAAACAGTCAGTGGACTAGCATAGTAATTGCATACCCTTAAACCATCACATACTATAGATCCAGCAACCTCTGAAAAGCCCCACCTATGACTGCATGAGGCTTTGGGGGGACATCTAGACACAAGCCTTAGCATATACTCTGAGAACATTTGTTTCCTGAATGCAGCTTCAGACATGAATTTTGGCATTTGATGTCATGAGTGTTCTGTTTATTTAAGTTCTTGTATTTTGACTTAATAAGTCATTACCTATGTAAGAATACAAAAATCAGAAGAACGTAAATTAATACAAGTACAGTGCAAAAACTAAAATTAGGGCTACCATTTGATCTACTTACCAGTCCTTGTTATATTAAGGCACAGTCCACAATAACCAAGATGTGGAACCATCATAGGTACCCATCATGGATGAATGAATAAAGAAAGTGTGCAGTATTATTTAGCCATAAAGAACAGAGTTTTGTCATTTGCATAAAAATGGATAGATCTCAAGATAATTATATTAAGCTAATTAAGCCAGACTTAGTCAAATATCACTTGTTGTCCCTAATATTTGAGATCTTAAAAAAGAAATGATGAAATAGAAAAGAGATTATTATTAGAGGAGACAAAGGGAATAAGAGGCATGTATGAATACAGCCATGCTATGTTACACACATTGAAACCCTCTCCAGAAATGTAAAACTTGGTGGAGGGGCAAGGAGTGTGATGAGGGTGAAAATGATCGCAGTATGTTATGTGCATATATGAACCAGCCAAGATGAAACTCATTAATCTGTATAATGTGGATTAGTAAAAAAGATGTGAAAATTAAGAGGATAGATGTTAATTGCTTTTACCACAATACTAAAGTAAATATGTGCTAAATGAATAAAATAAATATAAAAAAATGCAGAAGAAAATAAAATGGATTAGGAATATAGTACTATTTGTATGACATGTTTATATGGTTAAAAGATTCTTTAAGTATAAATTGTTGGCTCTTTTAACTTTATACAAAGTAGAATACAATAGTGTATATTCAGTTGTTGAAAACTAAATATATATACTCCATTGCTAATATTATTACAGAGGATATTCGGTATTAGTTGCTGAAATTCTGTTGGAGGTCTTAACTACCTAAATGTTTTCATTTTGAAGGGCGGGTTATCCTTGATCACAAGGTAATTTCTACTGCCAAGGCTGTAATCTGTTGTACATTATAAGAAAAGACACAAATGAATTTTCTCTTAAATATGTCAATTACAATGCTAGCCTAATTATATTTTATAATTTATTAGATACTGTTCTTAAATTTTTTTACATTTTTAGGTCATTTTGTTGGAAACATCGTCCTGTTCAGATTATTACAACTAATAATTACAGAGACTCTATACCATGTACCATTTGTTTGGAATTTATAGTACCTGTTCCTACTTATAGCGTATTACGAAGTCCTTGTTGTAAGAATGCTTGGTTTCATAGAGACTGTGTACAGGTAAGGTATATTTTGTAAGCTTTGATTAAAAAATATATTGCTTGTTGATTTGAACTTTAAATTGGTGTTGGCATATACATTAGCTCTTATGTTAAAACTGTATATAGAGCATTCAATTAGTAGCATATTTTACAGTAAAAGTTACCTGATTCAAGTTTACAATTAGGATTTTAATATTATGTGTGCTACCTTAAGTGTATATTTATGCTTATAAAATTTTGTTTTAACCTGAGAATTTTGTATTTCACAATGAATAACATACTGATTGTAATTCTAAATTCTATTTATATATTTAAGCTAGATAGAAGGAAGTGATAGTAAGCTTGATATTAAGAAATCTTTTTTTCATAATTTCACAAAAAATTTATCATAACTGCTTGACAGGGAGCTGACTGTCAAAAAGTATGAAAAGTATTGGTTCTTTAAGACCTTTTGTGTATCAAACCTGGTGACCAGTTTTCTTGTAGAATATTGTAAAACACACAACTGGGGCTGGGGATCTCAGTGGTGAGTATTTGCTTGATGACATAGATTCAGTCCCCGCACTGAAAAAGAGAATTTAAAAAACCCACACACATTAAACAGAATTTACTATTTCTTTGATTGAAAATTCTTGACTATCTTTTAAAAATGCCAACTCTTAATAATATCAAATATTAATATCAAATATGTAATATGCATGTATGAAAGCAGTACCTATTAGACTAAGAATATACTTCTGTTAATACTGTTTAAAGTTTAGATTTTGATTACTCTTGTATGAACCTTGAACTTTTATATTTATGATTATTCAGATAAAAGTGAAAATAGGAGCCTATTTTATAGGGAGAATATTAGAAATTCTGTTAATTCTTACAGAGAAATATATAAATAATGGACCTAAGAGTACATTTAATAAACATCATGAAGTGTTATCCTTACCTATTGAGGAAGAAGTTCCCATTAGATGAGACTCTTTAAAAAGTAATTTCTTAATTTAAGAATTTATATTTGAATGAATGTAATTGCTCCCAAGTGTATCATCTTGTTAATTTTGTGGCAAAATATTACTTCTCGGGACAAGTAAGATTTGCTAATTTTATATGTTAGGAATTTTTTGGTGAACACTGATAATACTGTTTTAATTGTTACAAATTAGAAATGTATTTCTGATGAAATGGTAAGGCTGGCAGGTATGAAGGCACATTCCTGTAATCCCAGATGCTTGGGAGGCGCAGCCTAGAATATTGCAAGTTTAAGGCCAACCTAGGCAATTTAGGGAGAACCTGTCTCAAATAATGTTATAAAAAAGGGCTGGGGATCTGTCCCAGTTGATAGGCTCTTGATGGACTCCCTAGTTTAAAAAAAGAATTGTTACTTTATGCAAACTAATGTAGAATCATAGCAACATAAACTCTTGTTTGTGATAAAGTGTCAGTAAGCAAATTATTTCATTAGTGCAAACTGTGAGAGGGCTACTTTCTGAGTTACTTTTTTAATAGAGTCTTCAAGAAGCTTTTCTACTCTAGTGCAATCTAACTGAAATATTATTCATAGTCTGCCCAGTCCAGGTAGCTACTATAGGTGGTTAAACAAATGTCTTTTATTTCCTGGTGAAAAAAGACTAGAAATTAGAAACAAAGGAATTATGTTAAGATTTTTTCACTCTGTATCTAAAGATTTGTTACTAATCTTGTCCATTTAGATTTCTCCATTGTTGCTCTGATCTTGTTGCTGTCTTCTTGTATCCTAGGCTGGTTTTTTTTTTTTGTTTTGTTTTGTTTTGTTTTTTTTTTGTGCTATACCAGAATACTCCCTTACACCGTTTCTTATATTTAGTAACATCTCAACATCTGTCTGCAGTTGCTAAAAGCTCCTTTAGTGTCAGAGATTTCAGTAACTTTTATTTCTTCCATCCCATATGTTGTATGTGTATGTATGGATGAGCACATGTGTTGAGATGTATGTGTACCAATTACCAACTGTCTGAGCTAGAAATCCTCTTTTTAAAATTTTTTTCATGCTGCCTTTTTTCTGATTTTGGTTTACTTGTCTGACTTCATTGTTTACTTCATTTTGGCCACCTTACACATGTCACTAATTGCAGTTGCCTAATTCCATGTTTTGCTTTCTAGCTGTGGAGTCTACAATATGCATTCTTTAGTAGGTCTTTTGTCTTCATTTTTCTAGCAAGCCTCTATTTTTTCCTTCCAAGCTTAGCTTTGGCCTCAGTATCCTTCTGAAATTTTTGTCATTATAGAATAGGAACTTTTCCTTCTTTCTTCACTGTATTTACTTTAAAAAAAACATTGTTTCATAATATTGCAGTAATTATATTGCCTACTCAGTAGAATTCCATGGAATTGAGTCTAAATCACTTGATGTTTCTGTTAGATAGCATGTCTATATTAGGGATTTGTCTTAGTTCTCTTGTTGCTGAGGCAAAATATTTGACACCCAAAGTTAGAGGAAAGGTTTATTTCAGCTCACAGTTGGTAGAGGTTTCAATCCATAACCAGTTAGCTCCAAGGCAGAGGGGCATCTCAGAGGAGAAACAGTTTGTGTCAGGCAGATGGCAGCAAAAACATTCAGGTAGCAAGCAACAAGCCATGACCACGGTTCTTTCTGTACCTTCTATTTTACCCAGGCTACTCTTGGATAATACTCAGACCCTTAATCCTAGCATCGCACCATGACTCAATCCCAGCAGCACAAACCTTAGATCTTAGCTACCTCTGAAAAGACCACCTATAACCATTTAAGGTTTTGGGGGAACATGTAGCCATAACAGGACTAAAATATTTTTAAATGAATCTGTCCTACTAGTTCTTTTGTATTGTTTTGTTTTGAGACTGGGTACTTTTTCTAGTAAGATTTTAGTGTCTTGTTTCTTTCTGAGTAACCTCTGCCTGCAGCTTCTTTCTTTGTATTTATTGTACCATTGATAGCAGGTTTTGTATTTCTTTTTGGGGGGGAAGAAAAGTCAAATTAATAACAGCCAGAAATGATTTTAACAACAAAGTATTTTTTCTTGATGAATTAACTACCGATTTTCACTGTTTTTTCATATAGTATGGAAAATAACATATTTAAGAAGTAAAATAACATGCGATATCAGAGGCTGAGGAATTAGGTATGATAGTTGTAAAGCAGATAGTTGTCTAATTGTTAGGTTTTTTTAGTTTTTGTTTTTTTACTGTGGAATAAAAAGCTTTCTGGATGTTAGCAGTGGAGTAACTTGGTTTATAATATTTGAGAACCATGGGTGTAGAAAATAGTTTCATAACATATAAAGTAAAAAATAGCACATGTTCTGTTAGTTATATAATTCATAAGCTGATGACAGATTTAAGTTGTTAACAATAGATTTTCCATTTTTCACTGTAGGTTCAAGCAATAAATGCAGGAGTATTTTTCTTTAGGTGTACAATATGCAATAATAGTGACATCTTTCAGAAAGAGATGTTGAGAATGGGAATTCATATTCCTGAAAAGTGAGTAATATTTAGCATTTCAGAAAAAAGACACTTCAAATACAAGATTTAATAACAGTAGAAATAATCATTTATGCCTTCTTAAGTTATCAGTGGACATTTAAGCATTGCAAATATTGAAATGTAAAGCCTTCTTCCTAAATAACTAGTTCACAGAAAGCAGGGAGTGTAATATAAATGTCTCATTCAGACTGGGGATACAGCTCAGTGGCATAAGTGCCTGCCTGGCAAGCACAAGGAATAAATATCTCGTTCATTGATTTAGATGGAACAGTGTTGGTGAACCTATGGCATGCATGCTACAGAGGGCTGTTTGGTATCATTGAAAGCACTAAAAGATTTGCCATCATTGATAGAGTCTCTTAAGTACCTCTGTGGTGTTCAATTTTGATTCATTTATATGTAACTGTAATCATCTTTAAAGTGATATTTATAAATTAGGGGAATCAAGATGGATTTAAAATGAATGAGAAAAATTTTCTTAATACTTCAAGGTGAGGAATCCAGAAGTAATGATACTAAATTTGAAATTAAAAATTAGGAATGAAAAGTTAGAAAAATATAAATTTTAGAAAATTTGCTTCATTTTTCATTTAGCATTTGAAATTTTACTATGAGACCAATTGACTGTAGTATAAAATGACATACTAGAGTTTATATTAAGGAGACTATCTTAAAGCAAAGTTTTTATCCTTGTTCTAAAGTATGTATTGGACAAAGAGAATATACTAAAAAGGATGAAATTTACTTGTTCTTAAATATGTGAAAGGTTTTTGTTTTTAGATTCTTTACTAATCCTTTTATGTAATATAATTCAAAGCATATTTCATTTCTTGTTTTACTTATAGAGATGCATCTTGGGAATTAGAGGAAAATGCTTATCAAGAGCTTTTAGAGCCTTATGAACATTGTGATGTACGAAGATGTCGTTGCAAAGAAGGGCGAGACTATAATGGACCTGACAGGTATTTGTGAATGTTGAGTTGTGCTTATTTAAGCTTTGAACTCGGAACATAACAAACATAGTTTTGCTTTTAGGATATTTGAAGTTTTAATTTGAAAAGATAAAGTATATTTGTTAATCTTTCATTTACATATGTGTAGAAAGAAATTTTTCTAGTTACTAGAGTTGTAATCTGTGAGTGTCATATATTTTCATGAAGGTCTGTTTTCTAGAGCTAGTTTCTTAAAATGGTAGGCATAGCCACATTTGGTTACTAACCCTTTAAAATATGGTTATTCCAAATTGGGAGGGTGCTGAAAAACACACCAGTGACTAAGATCAACAAAAATTTTAACAAAATACCATAGAATAAGTCGTTTAAACAAATTTGTTTTCTTATAATTTGGGGGTTAGAAATGTCAGAACAAGATGACAATGCTGCCCTCTAGCTGTATCTTCTTGTGGTTGTCCCTCTGTATTTGTGGTGTGTGTGTGTGTGTGTGTGTGTGTGTGTGTGTGTGTGTGTGTGTGTTTAATAAAGATTACTGATCACATATGATGCCATTTTATTCTGATTACCACTTTAGGCATTTTCTCCAGGTACAGTTATATTCTGAGTCACATTCTAGGTGTTAAGATTTACCTCAACATGAATTTGGGAGGTAGGCACCAATCAACCCATAATCTATGGGGAAAAAACTTAAAATAGCTTGTTAATTTTTTATATTGTTTACATAGTGAACAAAGTAGCACATATTGGAAATAAAATATATTTAGAATAATTTCACCTGTTCTTTCTACATTTTAAAATGAAAGTATTAGAAGATTTTTTGTTATGTATATATTGGCCTTGTACTTTCTGCTGGACAACACTGCAGTGGGAGATAATTTAACTAGATTAACTCACCATTGTTTCTTTTGGAGCAGTAAAAAAGGTTTGGTATTGGAAATTTATTGTTTATTATGTTGTAATGTGAATATATAGTTGTTATCTTGTACCTTTTAGGTATAGTATATTACATTAGGAATCGAGTCTTCATTTAAGAAGTAAGAAAAAGGAGCAGATCAATTTTGCTGGAACTGATGTAGAAAATTTGAGCAAGTTGTTATTCCTAATATGTAATGTTCATTAACATAGTAAACTTAAGAGTGCAGAGCAGACTATTGGGAGTCATGTTTTTCTTTGAAAGTGATTTGACTGGATCAGCTACTACTAATTTTAAAGAATTAGCTAAGGTCTTGGCAGTTTTGGGAAATTTCCCTCGAGTAGCTCTTTCTACAGATATCCTTCATGTGTGCTTCTTACTATATAATCATTACTTAAATTTAATGTTATTAAACCAAATAGCTTTTAAGGACAGAGATAATGTTGAAAGGGTCAATGTATTGTTACCTGGTGACCCTGATTGTTTTTTTTTCAACATTTACGAGTACTTCCTGTAGAGTTTTACTGTAAAGCACATCTGAAATAGTGTATATATACAGTTTTAAGAAACAACACATTCACTACAGTTGATATTTCCTAAATTAAATGTAGGTTGTTCTTTATATGGCTTGTGTATTGTTGATCACCAGATCAGTATCTACAAAACTTCTCTTTGCCAGTTATTTTTGGGATTGCTATCACTTTTGCTCTTTCTTCTGAGACACAGATAACTGCTGTCCGAACACTTGTTTGTAATTTTATTCCCTCTCATCCCAGTAAAGTCAGTATTGGTAAAAGGGAGCAGAGTGTAGCAATTAGGGACATGGGCCTCAAGCCAGGTAAACCTGGATTGAAAACCTCACTGTAGGGTTTACTCAGTGTGAGCTTAGTAAACAAGAAATATATCCCACTCAGCTTTGGTTTTCTCTTCAGAATAATAAGAGTAACAAAATTGTAAGGATTAAACTTTCCCTTTAAAGAGTAAGAACTAGGCCCTAAAGAACAGGGGATTATCTACCTACCTCTCTTGTCACTCACATTTTCATTTACTTAGGAGCTGTTTCCATTTTTATACAAAGAAAATGATATACCCTGTAAAGAATGAGGAGCCTCCTAACACAACCTATATCCATATCCACACAGAAGATAGGAACATAAACTGCCACATGTCACACACCAGAGACAGGTAAATGAGAGAGAATGAGTATAACACAGGTGGGAAATCTGGACCTGGTGGTCACACACAACACCTGAAGTGACTGAGCAAGCTTATTCTAGAAAGTATTACTTTACCTTGAAATTTACTGAGTACTTATTCCATATCAGACACATTGACACAGTAATCTCTTTGTGAGCATAGCCATCTCCAAATACAAGTTTACACACATAATAAATAGAAAAAATACTTCAGAAAAAAGTAATGCAGGATTTTAGCAGATAATCTGTTTGCCCTGTGGTAAAAGGGTTGATTTTGAGGATCTGGCCTATGGTCGCATAGGTAATTGGAATTAATTTAATATCAAACATAAGCATCTACTTTTCTTTTATCCTCAGCAAATGGGAAATAAAGCGCTGTCAGTGTTGTGGTTCTAGTGGAACACATTTAGCCTGTTCTTCACTACGATCTTGGGAGCAAAATTGGGAGTGTTCAGAATGTAGAAGTATTATCTACAATTCAGGTAATAGTTTATAATTTTGAGTGGGTTTTTTTTTAATTTAATAAAGTTTTTTACCTGTATCTCTGTAATGCTAACATTTAGATTTAAATCTGTAGATTTCCGAAAAGCAAAAAAACACTCATTATCTAACTCTAAAAATGTGGCAATTACTGATTGTTTGTTGGAAGAATCATCACCTAAGTTACCCAGACAATCACCTGGAGCTCAGAGTAAAGATCTACTAAGGTGTGTATTTTAAATTTAACATGCAAAAATCTATTTGGAGAACGTTATGACAGAAAATTCCTTGTCCATGTAGGCCATTAGCTGATCATAAGTAATCTAGAAGTATTAATAGAGTTCAGTATTTGATCATGAAATCAATGCAACCATTTTTTAAAAAATCAAAGTGGAATAGACTAGAATGTAAATTATCAGATTGTATTGCACATAGGAAGAATAGATGTGAACTCTTAATCACTTCATTGCATAACATCACAAAGTATGTGAGTTATAGATCATTTTCAAGATAGTTTGAAAAACATTTGTTTAAAATGTCTGATTGTAGATTAAGATAGGAAGATGAAATATCAAGCATACTGTGTCACTTTGAAAAGTGAAAGAAGTCCTGTTTAATATAGAGATGGGTTATTTTTTGGTATTACAATCATTGTTTGCTTATATATTCACTGTCAGTGTCAGAAATCTAAATGTCAGCTTTTCCCTTTAGAAAATTTAAGGCATACTTGTTAAATATTAACATATTCTTAACTATTCCACAAAATAGCAAAATAAGTAACTTTTTAAATCTTTCTTAAATATTCAAATATGACTGAATTTACACTTTTATAGTATATCAGGTATTTGTTAAATTGTAGTTACGATTTTTAAGTGTATACAACTTTGCACAAAAGCTTTTAGAGCCTTGCTTTGCCCAATAGGAAAAAAAATAGAAAAATAATATTAATATCTAAGCTTGAAGAAGTACTGTCATGTTTCAAATTTAAGAACTTGGAGGATATAAAAGAGAATTTTTCTGAAAGTATTTGGATACTTCATTTTTCAGGTAGGTAGAATATTACTTGTCAAACTGTAAGGAATTACAGTTTTAAAATGCCACTTTTGGGGGTCCGGCTGCAAGTGGGAGTGCAAGCACCAGCACAAGGTGGCTGCAGCTGGCAGCATGGCTTTCGTGGCCTCGGAGATCATCACCTTCATGGTCTCAATCTGGCTGTGTACTGGTGTCCTCTGTACTGCACACCTACTATTGGAAGGTGTCTACCATCGACGGCACGGTCATCACCACCACCACCTATTGGGCCAACTTGTGGAAGACTTGTGTTACCAACTTCCTGGGTATCTACAACTGCAAGGACTTCCTTCCCATGCTGGTGCTGGACAGTTGTATCCTGGCATGTAGAGGACTGACAATTGCGGCTATCAGCTTGGGTTTTCCTTGGTTCCCTATTTGCACTCTTTGAAACAAAGTGTACCAAAGTTGGAGGTTTAGATAAAGCATAAGTTAAAATTGCTTGTTTAGCTAGAATTGTATTCATAATGTTAGGGCTGTGCTCACCAACCAGCTGTTCCTTGTAAGCAAACAAAATCACCACAGAATTCTTTGATCCTCTCTTGATGGAACAAAAATGTGAATTAGGAACTTCTCTGTTTATTCAATGGGCAGGTGCCTGACTGCGTGATTGATGGTATCTTGTTTTACTTTTCAAATCGCAATAACAAAATATCTGGAATGTGATACACTACAAGAGGGCCACATTTATCATGTTTTCCCAGATAAAATACCATGAAAAGGAGACTGTAAATCATCTTTCAAAACAGTTTGATAAAAATGCTTGTCTAAAAGAATTCTACTGGCAACCTTGTCTTGAGTGTGTTATCAAAGCGGACTGTTCTAAAAATGATCCTGTGAAAGTCCTCCTATAATTAACACTCAAACTATTTCTAACATAAGAATTTGTTGATTGTACAAATGTGAATGTTCTTACATGGTTATGTACTAATCATGTTCTGTTATGACTTTCTATAAAAAATAAACAGGTTTATATATTTGGAGGACATACAAAACATTTAAAAACAAGGTTCAAGAAGTATCTGTAACATAGCTCTTTTGATTATTCATACTTTGAGATGTTTCTCCCCATTCCTTAATTCATTCATGTAGTACTGGAAACATAAGAAGGGTGTCTTCTTGATGGTATAGGGATGATCTGAGACTGAAGTTTAAAACACGTTACTGACTGCTACATGGAGTTGTCTTGTAGTTTCTTCCACCCTTTCTCTCATGACAGTCATTCATGAGGGTGGTTCAAGGAAGAGCTAATGAGGCCAAAGTGTTACTGCTGTTCGCGGGGTTTATCCCCTTAACTACCTACTTAGTCTTCACTGATACAGAGAGCAGAATCTACAGAGAGAAGGGCATTGACATGAGCTGAGCCGAGACCCCTGGCTGTGGTTAACTCTGAAGGCAGCAAAAGAAGTCCCGGAGCCAGCATGGCTTGCCTTTCTTAGAACTGATGAATTGATTGTGTCTTGCAGGTCTTATTTAGGTAACTAACTGGGTAATTAAGACACTTGTTTTTCAAAACATGTGACTTGCTTCAGTGATTTCTGAACAAAGATGCAGATTTATTCCTAGGGCCATCCCTATATACAACATGCCCATGAGGGAAATAGTCATCATTGTTAACACAAAGCTAACATACCCTACCTCGCCACCTGCAGCCACCGTATGCAGCATTTACTTTTGCAGAAAAAGAACCACAGCAGAATTTAAGTAATTTGTCACAATAGTGACAGAACATGACTCTGAGGTGGGATACTCTAGGGTAAAATACAGTTTTAGTACATAAGCATTGGTATGAGTGAGGGCTGAGAGTGTCACTCCGTGGTAGTATTCAGGAAGCCCTGGGTTGCGTCCCTAACACCAGAAAAAAGAGAAGAAAAGGTACCAGTGTGGGTTGGGAACACAGCTTAGTGCTACCTGTGTTACCTGTAAGAAGCTACGTGGATGAATACGTCATTTTCCTGAAGTGTAAAAGATATAAAATGAAAAATCACATTGTTCAGAGGTACAAAGGAAACAAGTTTGTTTAAAATTCATGCTAGTTAATTCCATGTTAGTACTTGAAATATCTTTTCTCTAGAGATACTAATTAATTAAAAAACATAAAGGTAGATTAGGTGCTTCAGGCTAATGTGGGGGCAAGATTGTGTGGGTTTGTATTTAAAACAATATTTTTTAAAAAATTTTAAAGCTAAGATGGTGAAAATAATCTACAGAAAAATTTCAGGTAGGGTGTAAGGTATGAAAAACTATTGGTAACCAGAAACATGTCAGCTTGGCATCAGGGAGGGGGAGTAGATGACAGTGGTCCAAATAAAATATGACTAGACAGATAAAAGATTGGCTTTTGTGACACAAATACTGACTTAAATACTGGGTTTATTTTATAACATAAGACCTTTATTTTCCTAGCCTTTCTGCTCAAGACTGAAGACATAGAACTTGCAAGATACTTGGTTTATAGACTGTACTTATCACTTTCTAATTATAAGTATGATCTTTGGCAAGTTACTTAAAAACTTTTTATCACATCTTTAGGATGAGGGTTATAAAAATGACCACATCTCAAAGTAGTTCTAATTAAATGAACTCAATATGGGTTAAAAATAAGACCAAGTGATCAATAAATACCTGTTGCAGAAACGACTGGATAAACAAAGCAATGCATGCTATCTCTGGCACATTGTTTTTCTAGGTTATCTCTCTTTCACATAAAACTGATTCGTCATTTAGAAATGTTTTTAGAAACAAAGTGAGTATAATTGTATTAAAATACCCCTGCAAGAAGCTGGGAAAAATGTTCATAAGTTTAGGTATAGACAAGGACTTTCTGAACAGAACCCCAGTTGCACAGGAAATAAGTGCTGACAATAAGATCATATCAAATTAAAAAGCTTCTGGACAGCAGAAACAAAACAAAAAAAGCAACCAACCAATGGAATCAGAAGAGAACTTACAAGATGGGAAATTTTTTTTTTTAACCAGCTATTTCTCAGAGAACTTGTATCTACAATATATACAATCTCCAAAAATTTAGACCCTGCAAAAGACCCAATCAAAAAACTAAATGAGCAAGTGAATATTGAATATGACACTTCAAAGAAGTACAAATGGCTAATAAACACATGTAGAAATGCTCAACATTGCTGGTCACTAGAGAAATGCAAATTAAAGCAACACTAAGATTCTTTAACCCCAGAAAATATGGCCATTATCAAGAAATCAAGTAACATGTTAGTGAAGCTGTGGGAACAAAGGAACCCCTTCTATATGTTGGTGGGAATACAAACTAGTATAACCGCTATAGGAATCAATATATCTACTCAGAAAACTAAAACATTCACTTGACACAGCTGTTCCCTTTCTAGATAACTTCCTAAAAGAGGAAGATGTGTGTATACCATGTTTATAGCAGCACAATTCAAAATAGCTAAGACTTGGAAATGACCTGTATATCCATCAACAGATGAATGGATAAAGAAAATGTGGTATGTACATATAGTGGAATACTACTGTGCTATATAAAAGATAAACTTTAGTCATCTATGGAAAATGGGTGTGCCTTGAGACCATAGTATTCAGTGAAATAAATCAGACACAAATTTAAATATCCTGTGGTTTTTTTCTTACAAAACAAATTACAAAGAGCAGATTTTATAAAAGAAAGCAGGGAGATAGCTCTTGCTGTACTGGATTAAGAGATGGGGGATTTAGCTCAGCGGCATAAGTACCTGCCTTGCAAGCAGGCAGTTGTGAGTTTGATCCCTGGTACCGATAAAAAAAGGAAAAAGACAAAAAAAAAAGAGAGAGAGATGGAGAGAATGGGTGGAGCAGAGGAAAAGGATAAAAATAGGAATTAAATGTGTATTAACTTCACACAAGGAACATAAACATTTGTATACTGCAAATGTAGTAAAAGTTCAGGGAAAAGTAAACAGGACCCTGGGAAGGTAGAAGCAGATTTATTTAGCAATCAGGATGTTATATGGCATAGCTACCAAGCCAGCCTCTCCTATGTTTAAGTCCCCTGAAAAGTACAAATTCAACTCAAAAATCATCTCTAATATTCACAGTCACAAAATTCTGGTAGAGGCTTTACTGGTAAGCTTGATAAATCAAAAGATCTTTCTTTGGAACTAAATGCATAGTAAAGTATAAAAAAGGCAAGTAACATGAACTTGCTGGCCTTTAACAATTTATTGCTCAACAATATGAATTAGTGCTGAGGTAATATATGATAGGGGTTGAGTTTTTAAGTTTAAAATACACGTGGTTCAGTAATGAATCTTTTCTACTCACATTCTGATAATTGGCATTTTAAATAGGTGCATTATATTTATAAAATGCAAGAACAAAAGAATAACACAGAAACCTAGTGGCCATAGTGTTCTCTTAGTGGCAACATGCTTACAGTGCTGAATATGATCTAGGTAATTTAGGAAGATATATTTATTGAGGGCCTAATTATATTACTGTAACCCCTCATGAAAAATAATCATCTTACGTTTAAGATTTCACTGCTAATTAATTCAGTTTTGAAGACACTACAAGAAACTACAATATCAGTATTTCCAGTGTGAGTATACAGAAGATATGAAGAAAGCTCCATAGAGAAACTTGCTATAAGTTAAAAACATTTTTCACTTTGAAATTAGTTGAAAAAACTCAATGCTCGAGTAGCATCTGAAGAATACACTTTTTATAACATTAATGGCATCTTTTTAGCTGTGGAGGTGAAACACCTTACGAACTTAAAAATACTCCTGAGAATTCATCTTTCAATAGTAAGCGCCATTAAAGAGGGCCTTGTTTTCTAGGACCAGTGGGAGAGATGCCACTTTGGTTAATCCAACTGGAAAATCTATCTGTAATTATTTGTTGCAGTACTTTTTCTATAAAATTCCTATTATATTTAAATAATTTTAGTATTTAAATTTCCAAACATTGTTCCAAAGAAGTTTGACTCCTTGACCCTGCTTTAATAAGTAATGATATTCAGGGAGAATAACATTGTTGTTCCTATTGATATAGGGAGGAGCAATGAATCAATATAAAAAGGTTAACTTTGATTTTTCTTTGAAGTAGGCTAGCAAAAATGGGCATTCTGTGAAAAAAGGAAAAGCAAATCCTGGATTACAATTGACCATTGCAATGTCTTAGGAAGTGAAAAAAATTGTATTTGCTATAGAAATATAATCCATGATTATTGAGTAAATTAACTCAAATTATGACCAGAAGATGACACACAGAGTGATTTGAACTAGGCCATAAAATCCGCCTGATAAGGGCTGGGCACATAGCTCTGAAGCACAGTTCCTGCCTCGTAAGTGCAAGTTTTTGGTTCAGTTCCCAGGGCCAGCAAGAAAATAATACACCTAATTGTTGACGTAGAGTTTCTGGTTGTTGTAGCTGTGTAGCTGCTACTGCTGCTGCTGGTGATCTGGGCCATGTTTTGAGAATCACTGGTCTAGACCAAAAGTAACCTTCAAGAGATTGTGAATTCTTCATTATAATCCTTTGTTAATTATAATTTTTTGATTTCAAATACATTGTGCAGTCTCACAGTTTTCTCATATATGCAAAGGTTACATTTGCTTTTATTAATGAAATAAGATTCTTTTAAACCAGTTCTTTAGCCAGTGGTCGGGAAGTAAGAGTTTGAACTTCTCACTATTAAATCTTTAGTCCTTAAATTGATCAAATTTGAGAGCATCATCCATCAACCTTCATGTAAATGGCCTACTGTAGTTGATTTTAATAGAAGTTTGGGGTGAGAAATCAAGAATTTAAAACCTAACGTTAACCAATAACTGTTTTCAGTTCCAGGTATGAGCTTTCAGGTATGAGCTGGGAAAGAATTTCCTTTTCAACTTTCTCTTCTTTTTTGTTGTCTATGTAATTGTTGTTCCACATAACATACTTTAAAGTAAATCTGTGTTAAAATTCATGTTTTGTAGGCAAGGCAGCAAGTTTAAAAGAGATATTTCAACAATATTGATAGAGTTAGGATTTCAAATTAAGAAAAAATCTAAAAGATTATGTATCAAGAAAGCCGATATCTGGAACAGTGCCTTAGATGAATTTAGAAATCAAAACTTCAATCCTTCATACATAATTGAAGTAGTATTTATTGAGAGTGATAATTTTGGAAGAGAACATCCAGGATCAAAGCAAGAATTTCTGAGTCTCTTAATGGAACATCTTGAGAACTCTCCAGTGTTTGAAGGTTCCTTGTCAAAGAACTTATCTCTGAATTCTCAAGGTAATCACTTTTTTTGTATGCGTGCTGAATATTGTATATATAGAAATAAAATTAGAATTAATGTTCATTCACTGTAGTGTAAATATATAACTTACCTTAATAAACTACTGATAAAATTGCAGGAAAAAGGGAATGAAAAGAGACATCTTTAAGGCTAAGTTTTGTTGGGACCAGAGTTACAGCTTCATGATATTACCTCTGTCTATCATGCATGAGGTCCTGAGTTCACCCTGCAGCACTCATTAAAGAAAAGAAAAGAGGAAAGGAGAGGGGAGCAGAAAGGTTTTGTAGTGAAATATTTATATATAAATATATAAACAATTTCAATATTTTATATAAAGTATCCTGATTTCATAATTAAAGGTAACTTCATTTAAACTTTATGTTTATTTAGATTTCACTTGAATACAGTGGCCAAATGGGACAGATAATTATTTGGATCCTTTTTGTAGTCATATACTTGAAATTTGGCGTTGGCGTAATATTTGCATTAAAATAGTTTCCTAGTTCAAATACAATAGTTATTTTTAATATAATGTGTTAAGAATTTTTTAATACACACTTATATAGGAGAGAACTTATTTCATTACATAGGAGTTTTCTTCTCTTTGTTTGCTAGACGTTACTCAGCTTGCCTGAAGTATTAATATGTGTATTGCAAAGAGCTTATTAAATATGTTTAAAAATCATCAGTAATTTTAAATTCCTTTTAAAATAAGCAATAATGTTAACTGAAGACAACTTTGATACAGTAAAGAATTGATTAAGTCACAAAATCTGAATTCAAGTTTGTACACATTTACTTTACTTGCTTTACATACTTATTAATTATCCTGTCAGCATCTGTTATTTTTTATCCATAAAATATAACTAATGAAGTCATCATTGAAGAGATTTTATAACAGTTTCGAATACTAAAAATTTTACTGATAAGTTGATTTAAGCAATTAATAGAAAAACAAAGAAAATTTACATTTTATCTTTTTGACCAAAGTTACTAAAACATTTTGAATGACAGTTTAAAAAATTTTAAGACTATGTAAAGCCAGGAGAGTACAATAAGATAGCATATACTGTTGGGAATAAGTTTGTACCTTTTAGAAGGATAAGTTTGGTATACATCAAGAACCTTAAAAATATGCACATACCCACTAATACAATTTAAAGAATCTATCCTAATCAAATCAAATATATAAAAAAAGTAGATGTTGATTGTAAATTATACAATCAAAATGTCACTCAACCTGGATAACCAATAATAGGGAGGTTTTACTTTGTCATACATCTTAATGTTTATTTTAATGGATTCTTTAGTTATAAATGAGTAATTTTGAATAGTATAGGAAAAATTAGATAACTGGAAAAAGGCAGAAATTAAACTATTTTATGTATGTTTATACACAGACAAATACACTAAAGGGTTTATAATGGTTATTGTAGGTGTTTTGATTTTTTAAAGTTTTTCTATATTTTCATTTTTTCTACAATTGATTATATTCAGAAAAAATGCTTTTATATAATATAGGTATGTACGTAGAGTAATAGCATCTAATGATTGCTATTTTACATTTGTATGCTTAGACTTTTGGCTTACTATTTAATATATATATATATTCATTTAAAATGATGGTTATCTTGCAATAATAAGAGAAGTGTATTTGATGTGTTTTCATCTGTATTTACAGCTATAAAAGAGAATCTTTACTATGAAGCTGGCAAAATGCTTGCCATTTCTTTGGTTCATGGTGGTCCTTCACCTGGTTTCTTTTCTAAAACGTTGTTTAACTGCCTTGTTTATGGACCAGAAAATACTCAACCAATTTTAGATGATGTATCAGACTTTCACATGGCACAAATTATAATCAGGGTAAGAAATGTATCTGTTTATTAAAACGTAGACTGCATTGCAGAGATATGTTAATATAAATGATTTGCAACAGAATAATCCCTGTTGTGTACTTAGCAGTTGTCAACATGCAGTATTTATGTTTACTAACAGAGTTCAGACATAGTTAAGAAATAGATGTAAAAGTCAGATAACTGGAGATCAGAGTGCCAGATTTAATGTTGATAAGTGTAAGTGGGACTTGGGTTCAAAATGAACAACTGGTTTAATCTACCCTACCAGAGACAATATGACTCAGATTCCTTGTTGGGATGTTAGAGAACAGTTGAAAATGCATTTTCCTACAGGCAGGCAGATCTGAGGAAAGAAAGGATATACCTCACCGGTCAGAGTAATTACCCTTTTCCTGTAGGGAAGTGTGAAAGACAGATGGAAAGGCCACATTTAATTTCTTTGTTAGGGAAACAAGTGTGGAGTCTTAATGCTTCCATGGAATAATAGTTAACATTTGTTGAGCACTTACAGTGAACCTGTACTGCATATGTCATGTATATAAACTCCTTTATCATATTCCCCTGTGGAATAAGTATCACTGCCTGTGTGTTACTGATTCTTTCTTAACTTCCCTTTTACTTTGGGTACGCATACGCTCTCCATTAACTAATAACAGTATAGTTTAATGATTAAAAGCGTAGGCTTACAAGTGAGATTAATTTGAGACTCAGTTCATGTAAATGCTATAAGCTGTGTGTTCTTAAACATATTAAACTTGTTAAGCTTCACTTTGTAAACCACAAAGTAGGCACTAAGACAGTGTAAATTGTTGTATATTGTGATTGTTTATTTGGCCTAATACTGCTCAACCTATAATCATACTTTAAATTGACCCTTTAATGCTTTATTCTCTTTGCTAAAAAATGTTAACTTCATTGTCTCTATTTTCCATTTTCTATTCATTTCTTAACTTCCTATAATCAATCTTCTGTTCCTACCATCTGACTCCTAACTTGGCTTGTTCATACTTTCTAGCAAGGGATCTAAATCTTCAGAGCTATAGTCCTTTCTTTTCTAATTCATTTTTCTCTGACAAATGTAATCAACACTTTCTTAGAATTCCTCTCTAATGTTTTAATATTGTACTTCTGTTTTTTACTGCTATCTTCCTTAATGCTCTAACCTTTTTCAGTATTGTCTTACTCTGTATCCTATTTTCTTTGGAGATCTTTTGTCTTACTACCTTTCTGAATGATTCATGAGCCTGTGTTTTGAGGACCTTTCTATCTGAACCAAATTTCAAAGTATGTCTAAGGGGCCAGGGATTTAGCTCAATGGCTCAAGTGTTTGCCTGGTAAGCAGAAAGTTGTGAGTTTGATCCCTGATACACCCCCCACCAAAGGTATATGTAGGCTTAGACAAAATAGTATATTCTAATATTAAGAATGACTCTTCCAAAAGTTCCATTTTGACGATATTGCTTTATTTCTCAGGAATAAATGGATTCTAATTGCTTTTCTCTATAAAGGCATTCATGATCTTTACATTTTCTTTCTTTCTTTTTTTTTTTTTTGGTACTGGGAATCAAATTCAGGACCTTGCCAGGCAGGTGCTTTGCCACTGAGCTATATCCCTGTCTCAACCCTTTTTCATGGTTTATGTACTCCAGTACCTCCTATCTAGTGTTTGTTCATATATTTAATCAACAAATACTGATAACCATTCCTTTTTTATCAAAATTTACATTTTAGAAGAAATACAGAGGAGAAACAAAAGAACAAACCATGATGTAGCAAGCATATTATAAATATAAACACAACAGAATAATTTTAAAAAGGGGTTGGGGAATGGGATACATGTAAGGTTCAGTTTAAACTATGCATCTTTAGCAAAGAAAAAGGCTGGAAAAAGGCAGATGCCTATATTGCCCTCTAAAATCTGTTACCAAGATTAGGTCTCAAAACTTTGGCCAGCTATCTTTTGTATAAGTGGTGTTATTGGAACACAATCATGCCCATTTGTCACATACCAATGTCCTACATACGTGGCAGAATTCAACAGTTGGAACAGCTAAGTGATTCATAAAACATGAAATGCTATCTGGACCTTTATAGAACTGGTCTATAGTTTAAAGGTAGAGTTGTGATATAAAGTCATCTAAAAAACTGGATACCTTCTGCTTATTGTCTAATCATTTAGAATATTGTCTTACTATTATTGAAAGTGAAGAACAGGGAAGTTTGACACACTGTTTTGATTCATTTTTCTATTAAGAGATTATTACCTGACTCATATTTTTAAATTTCTCTTTCTATGTCACTAAGAGTTAACCTTTATGGTGTAACCCAGCACTTGGGAAGCAGAGACAGTCAAGGCTAGCCTGAACTACATAGCGAGACCCTGTGTCTCCAAATAAAAGAATAAAAGAGTTAACCTTTATGAAAGTGTCTGGTGCATGATTTCTTTGTTTATATTGTTTATTAAAATATTTAAGTCTTACCTGATCTACTTTCTGGTTCAGGAAATCTTTTTAGATCATTTCTCTTACCTCCTCAGTGCATGTAACTTTTCTGTTTCATTTCTTTTATATCAGTAACTTCCTGTACCAAAGTGATGTTACATTCTAAGTGTGTTGAAATCAGAAGTATACAATATTTGTTGAACTGGATTGTCAGGCATTTATTCTAGAAAAATACTTCTTAATGTGCCTTGAGTCCACAGTGATGTATTCAGAAGTTGAGTAAGAAGTACTTTGTCATTTGAGATGTAAATATCATTCACAAGAATTGGGTGAAGTAGGTATATTTTCTCCTTTGTTACAGATAAAAACTTCAAAAAATATGGATGACTTAAACTCAGTAATAAATGAATGCTATAACTACCTAGAACCTATTGGTTGTCTCAGACTTATAACAGCATTAACTGATAAATACATGTTGGCAGAAGACATACTTGTTTACCATGTAATTAAGAGAGTCCAAGCACCCTTTGAAAGGTAAGCATTTGTTATATGTTGAAGCTCAAATGGTATGTTCCAAAAGTTAATTACCTTATATTGTGAGATACATTTAGTATCATAAATGTGTTTCAGGAATATTTAAATCTTACTTTTTATAAATAACACTGGAGAGCTGGTCCTGCTGGCTCATGCCTGTAATCCCAGCACTTGGGAGGCTGAGGCAGGAGGATTGTTGTGAATTTGAGACCAACCTGAGCTACAAAGTGAGCTCAAGGCCAGACAGAACTGCATAATGAGACCCTGTCTCAAAAAGACCAAAAATAAATAAATAAATAAAATAAGCTTGAAAACTTCTCAAGGATGATCACTGTTCTAATCATTCTATAAAGAATTATATTAATGTATGATGCTCAGCAGAAAAAAATCATTACTTGAATTTGTATTTCTAAATTTAAAAATTATTTTAAAAACTCAAACATATGGCTAATCCATCTCACTTACTCGTTTAATAAGTATTTACTGAGCACCTGTGGAGTAATAAAGATCATAACTATTCTTTGGTTAACAAAATATATCTGATTCTTGCCCTTCTTTATTTTAGAGTATTGATTAGTCTTCAGACATTTAATTCCAGTAACCTTTAAAAGAAATTTGACAGCTTACATGTCTTCAAACTTACCTATTTTTTATTTTATTTTATGTTTTAGAATAATAAAAAATATTTTACTAAAATATAGGGTTTATAGAAGTTTCCAGACAAGCCATACAAAATGGTCACAACCATTTTTTTGAAGAGAGGAAAATATACTTGATTGCAAAATTATTAGGAGAGGGCTGTGAGGTTTGTTAATGTTCCCATTTTGGTTCAAACAATCAGCTTGTCCATTTATAGTGTCTAAATAAAGTTAGACTTAGCTAGAGAATGTAGCTTAGAACTGGTTAGCTGCTTTTTAACCAGTGCATTAGATCACCATAAAGTTGGGGGCAGGGAGCCTATACATTGTTTTTTTTATCGGTACCAGAGATCGAACTCACAACTGCCTGCTTGCGAGGCAGGTGTTTATGTCACTGAGCTAAATCCCCAGCCCCAAGGAGCCCATAAAATTTTGAAACTATCTTTCCCCTCAAAAAATAAAGAACACCCATATCCTTGCAGGCCAACCCTGACAACTACCTTCCCTCACAGTGCTTTATTCTTACACCATGATGGGGGAAATGAATAAAAGCAGAGGACCACTGCTTTTCAATATTTCACAACATTCTGGATGAAACTTCTAGCCCCTGCTCATTTTTTACAACAGTGAGTTAGGGCAAGACATAGATTTGCTAATATGCATTTAATCACCAAAGGACTGGAAATGTCTGGGCTTTTATTCTGTAATGTTTCTAAGACTGTGTCCATCAAATCAAACAAAAAAAGGAAGAAGTCTTGGCAGAACAAGAGAAGTGACACAAACTTGATGATCAGATTGACTTAAATTATTATTCATGGCATGTAACCTAGTCTGTGGCCCACCTGTTTCTATGGCTTGGACTTTGTTGGTCTTCCACAGCTCCACTACGTCATTTGCTAATAGGCCATCTGAATTACGAGCACTTAACAATGCCTGGGTAGATAGCAGAACTGTGCGGATCTGCAGTGCTGGCAACCATTTTCCTTTCAAAATATCTAAACATATTCTTCCCAACTTGCCTAGGTTAGGATGATAAATTTTGGTCATGAAATGTACTTTAGGTGCTGCCATTGGGTGTTCTGGCAGAAACAGTTCAGATGTAAAAGTCCTTCCTTTACAGGGGGAATCCTGGGGACCAGCAATGACCATGTGAAAATAACGGGCGTTGCCGTCTTCTGGTTCTGCTCTAATTCCAGGAACCGGCTCTGCTAGCACACCCTGGGTTTCCTTGATGACCCTGCAGGGCAGCCCAGCCATCTTGTCACATCCTGAGTTAGGCCTCTATTTTTAAAAAGTAATGGAAAATATTAAATATCTGTGAAAGTAGCCTGTATGTCATCACCTAGAACTATTATCAGCTTGTGTCCAATCTTAATATCACATACAGGATCATCTCAGAAGCAATAGAGTCTTTTTTTTAAAATAATTTCAATATCTGGGCTGGGTATATAGCTTAATATAAAGTACTTGCCTATCAGATACAAGGTTCTGGCTTCAATTCACAGTACTAGATTTAAATATAAAGTTGTTATGTTTAAAACCATTATTAATATTCCTTACTGAGGTTTATATTGTCTTACGGAATAGATAAACCTTTTTATATTATTTCTTTTGAGTTATCTGGATATAATGCTTTAAATATCTAAGCCTTTCAAGTGGACCAAAATTAGAAAATATAGGGCTCTTTTTTGCTTTGAATTAGTTTTTCAAGGTAAAATACTTAATGAGTCTGTATTGATTTCTAGTTCAAATTTACTACTCTATGATTTTTACTTTTTTCTTTAAACCATATTGAGAATCCCACTTCTTAAAGACAAAGGTGAATTAGGCTATAAAGTCATTAGTCACTTGATTTATTACACATTGCATAAACAATAGTTCAGAATAACAACACTAACATTTTTACCAATAACCTATTATTGAAAAATATTAAAATCATTTTTCTGTTATATATCAAGTTAGTGTGCTTTTAAGGCTCTTGGAATATTTTCTTTGTTGTTATACTATAAACTAAATACACATTTCCATTTCATTTTTTGGTGTTTTTAGAGATTTTATTTAAATGTCACTTACAGATATACAATATATTTTCATGGCTCCAAAGTCAAATATAGTAAAAGCATTTTGAAAGTGGCTTGCTCTGTGATACAGTATATTCAGTGAAGTATACCTTTTATGTTTATCACATCTACCTTCCATCGCCTTATGAGATAATCATTTTGGCTTTTTTAAAAAATATTTTCTCATTCCATAATTATTCTTTTTAATGACAGAGTAATGTGTATGAGAAAAGTTAGTCCTTTTGTTAGATAACTATCTTTTTTTCTACTTTTTTTAAAATTTGACATTCTATAGGTCACCTTGGTAGTAAATAGGCATATTCTTTGTTACTTTGAGAATTTCTTTGCTTTGTATATATTATTGTTCTTTTCAACCAATTTTCTGTTAAAGGACATTTGAGATGTTCCCTAATCTTCTAACATGTATTAATAAAGTGTATTAATAATCATATTCTTAAATACTTACAAGGATATGGTTTCTAATTTTTTAAAATTATAACTTTAAAAACACAGTTATATATCCCTTTTAAGTATACTCAGATTTTGAGTTGAATTACTATTTATAATTAGGATTCATAAATAAAATATTAAATTGAGTATAGTTAATATAATTTTATTCAAAATGCATCTCTTGCTGGGAGTGGTGTTTTATGCATATCATCCAAGAACTTGGAAAGCAGAACCAGAGATCTGGCTGAATCATGAGTTTGAGGCCAGCTAGAGCTGCGTAGTAAGTTCAGTGCCAGGCTGTAACACACAGAGAGACCTTGTCTCACAAAACCAAAATATAGCATTTCATATGAGGCAGATGTACACAGTGTTTTTTTTTTTTCTGCAAGTATTGTTTTTTTATAGACGGGTTTTTCTCACTGTTAAAGTGGATTTATTGTGATTCACTTGTGAATTTTCACTTTATTTTTATAGATATGAGTAATCTAGAGGTCAGGAAAGCCTTCCCCATAGAAGGGTGTTTAAATTAGAATCTGAAGGTTAAATAGGAGTTAAGGAAGGTGAAGAAGAAGAGGAAAGAAGAAAAATTGAAGATTACTATCTGCTTTTATTTAGAAGATTTTTTAAAATTAGCAAGATATATAGGGAGCTTTAAAAAAAAATAGGTCTGCAGATATCAGACATAAGAAGACCAAATGCTAAAATACCCTAGCTCTCATGTGAAAAAAATCAAAAGCTTCCACTTGTCCCAAATTTGTTTTGGGGTTATGGACCCAAATTTGAGACAGAAATACTTAACAAATTAATTGGTCTTGGAAGTCATCGGTACCTATAGAAGGCCACACATAAGCAAATACATAGTAGTGGTATAGGAAAATTTCTACAGTTCAGGTCTCCTGGGAATGCTGAAGAAAGAGCAATCCTCATAAAAGTGAAGCTCCCACTTACAAAAAGGACAAGACTTACAACCTTGCAAAAAAGTCAGAATTAGCAGATAAAGCACAAAAAGTTTTGAATAACAGAGCAAACTGAATGAGACAAAATATTTTTAGTTATTGAAAAGATTTTTTAAAGGAAAAGATAGAAAATATGAACTGAATCAAATAGCATCTCTAGATTAAAAAATTATTATGAACCTCTGGTTCTGGATAAGATGGAATAGACAACTCTTATTTCTACTCTTTGCTGTAGGAATATTAGTCTTGAATCTGCACCTAAATGCACAGTTTCAATAAAGCAGAACTCAACAGGATAATAAGAAATTGCTAAATGTATGGCAGAATCAATATATTTAATACAAGGACCTGAGGAGTTAGTAGTTTAAGCATACAAAATGAGTTCAGGACCCAGAGGAACAGTGAATAAAAGCATCAGTGGTGAGACATATCTGAAACAGAAAGCAAGGTCAGTGCAACATCAGATCTTACTGTAATATACCCCACTGATCCTTTAAAAGAGAAAAACCATATGATTAACAAAGAACCAGAGACCCAAAAAACCATATGCTACATTTAAACATTTATACCTAATTTAAGCTAACTTTTAAAGAATGTAATGCATAATTTTAATCTCATTAAACGCAAAATTTAATACTCCAATAAATAGAGATCTCATTGAGCACATATTATACATAATGGTAAAATGTTATAGGCATTCTACTGAAGGCTGTCACCACTGTAAGGAACACAGAATTAGTCCATTCTTTTAATCATATATATGTTGGTGAGGTCATAGCAGAGCAGCAAAACTAACTGAAAAAGTAAGCATTACTAATGGTTATAACTAAAATCATTACCATTTGTAGGTTCTGTCTACATAAAACAGTACAAGAGATCCTTCTATAAAGAGTTAGCAGAATTACTAGATATAAGAGATAAGAAAAGAATTCTAGCAGAGAAATTTGGTCCTGACAAGGAATAGTAAGGAAAGAAACTGGTAAACAAGATAAACACTGACTGCAAAAGATTAATGGCTAACATGGGGAATTATAAAACAAGGAGAAATAATTTTGAAGTTGCATAAGAATGAGAGCTATTGGAATTACAAATGTTATCAATAAGTGTTTGCATTCTTCATAAAGTAAATATATTGATTCAGTATCAATTTCAAAATGCCTATTGAAATATTGAAGGAGGAGTAATTTTCAGAATTACTATATTAAAAGAGGTGAATTGGAATTTAGAAATCAAAATAACCACAGAAATCAGCAAGGAATGAAAACATTTTTAAAAGGCTGTGCAGTTGTTCACGATAAAGTAATAGGCTTCCTAATGTAGTAGCAGTTATAGTAAGTAAAAATTACTCTGAAAAACAGCAAGTTACAGTAAAAATAAATATGGTGTGAAATCATTTATAAAAAGTTCCCAAACAACTAGCTATTACTTAGGGGTACATATATAGAGAAACTAAAGTGAAATGCAGACTGCAGAGAGATTGCAGGGCTGTTCTTAAGTCACAATTTCTAATAATTTTTAGAGAGAGGGACAAAGGAAAATAATGAGTAGGTAGGATTTAAACAAGTTGAACAGATTTTTCTTTACAAATTCTGAGCAATCATGAAAAAAATTACTTTTAAGTTGATAGTGGTTTTATTTTCTAAGTTTTATGTATTTTATAATTAAAAGTAAATTTTGAAAACTGTGTGTGGTGGCATATGTCTGTAATCCCAGCACTCTGGAAAGTTGAGACAGGAGGATCATTAAATTAGAAACTTCTTAGTCAATTTAGCAACTTTTTGAGATCCCATCTCAAAATAAAAAATGAAGAGCTGAAAATGTAGCTCAGTACATAGGCCCCAAGTATTGCTATAAGCAAACAAGTAAATTTTTTGAAGGTAAATTTAACTTTGAAATATCCTTTTAAAAAGAGCAGAAAATGAAAGTTAAAAGCTAGAAAGAAGTACAAATGTTATGCTTGGAGGACTTGGAAGCCCTATGTAAGGAGACTGTTTCATGGATAGTTTCCTGTAACTACTGTAAAAAAAATTATCACACACTGACTAGTTTTAAACAACAGAAGTATTTCCAAGCAATACACTGTAACAGATTATCAAAATAGTTGGCACAATTTGAGCTTGCTCCAACAAAAAAGTCAAACCTATTTGGGCATTCTCACCTCTGTGACACAGGCCCTTGCATATACTTAAACAGGTTTAAAAAAAAAATTTGGCTGGGCATGGTGGTGCATACCTGTGATCCCAGCACTCAAGAGGCAGAGGATCACTGGAGTTGGAAGCTAGCCTGGGGTACATAATGAGTTCAACTCCAGCCTGAACAACATAGCAAGACCCTGTATCAGGAAGGAAGGGAGGGAGGGAGGGAAAAAGGGAGGGAGGGAGGAAGGAAGGAAGGAAGGAAGAAAAGAGAAAGAGAAGAATGTAAGCAAGCAGAAATTTATTCCCACTATTTTGGAGACCACACACCCTACATCACCATGTCCATAGGGCTTCATTTTTTCTGTGTATTTAGAGAGGTAATTTGTTCTTGGCCTTTTCTAGCTTCTGCTGGCTCCAAGTATTAATTGACTCACGGTTTTGTAACTCCAATCTCTGGCTGTATCTTTTTCTCTGTGTGTGACTTCTTTGTATGTCTCTTACAAAGATAATTGTCATTGGATTTAGAGTCAGCTTTAATAATCTATTAGGAGCATGTCTCAAAATCCTTACCACTAATGCTCTAAAACAACAACCCTCTAGCAAATAGAAGGCCACATTCATAAGGTCCAGGGAGTAGGATAGGGGGAACACCATTCATCTTATTGAGGATGAACGACAGTGTTGAATTGTATCTCTGGCACTTTCTGTGGCTTCAGCATTGAAAATAGACTTGGAGATTTATACACCGGGGACACAGTTTCATTATAAATTTTTATAATAGGATTGTAGCAGGGGTATATGGAGAAAATGAGCAGATAAAAGAGATTTCAGAAAAGGAAATTCATGGGTCTTGAAAATAGGAAAAGGAAAGTTTAATATGGCTTTTAAATTAACCTATGCCAATTATATGAATAATGGATCAATCAACTGTTATTAATGATTCAGATTTTGGTAGTAAGATGATTCTATTACTTGAAAAGATCTCAATACTGTTACATTGGCGATCAAGTTTCAACATGAACCTTGAGAGGTCTAAAACATGCAAACTGTACCAGCATGTTTAAGTCCTCTTGAGAAAAGGTCAATAGGAAGGGGACGCAAATCAATATATGCAGATTATGTGAAAATGGTAGGAAATCCAGAAAGTCAGTCTTACAGACAAAAATGTTATTTTTGTTCTCTGCTTATTAGAATGTTCATTGAAAAATATTCATTTATTTATAAAAGTATGTTATATCCCTATACATGTGCCACAATGAAACCCATTATCTAATTTATGTACTTATAAAAGTAAATAAGTATTTGTTATTTGTATTTCTTCTGTTGTTTATTCATATTTTTTGCTCATGATTTCCTTTTGAATGCAGTTTGCATTGAGCTACATCCTCATTGTTTTTGAAAATGTTTTATTTTGAAACAGAGCCTCACTTAAGTCTGTAAGTTACCCAAGCAGGGCTGCAACTTGCTATCCACAGTCCTCCTGCCTTGGCCTCCTAGAGTGGATAATTGAGCTTTTAGAAAAATTGTTTATACCTTTTGTAGATGAAAGAAGTTCAATTTTGGTCATGTATATTAAAGTATTTTCACATTTTGTTATTTTTAGCATTGCAAAAATTTCAAAGTTTTATGTATTTCAGGATTATCATTCTTTTTGTTGGTAATTTCTAAGAAACCTTTTGTTGGTGGTGTGGACCTTTGTGCTCAACTACATCCCTGGCCCTATTTTTAAAAATTTTGTTTTTAAGGGAATAAAACAAAACAGAACAATATTGGATTTCAAAAACAAGACAGAAAGAAATCCCCCACAGTTGTTATATTGCATATTGTTAGGCCTGCACAATCAAACAATACAAACATTAAGTTGTTTTTTTTTTTTTTACTTCAGTTGCTATCATCTCAGCCTGTGTTCCTCAGAATCAACCAGCCAGTTGCTTGGTAGAGGTGGTGGTGGGGTAGTGGTGGCACTCTTCTTGTTTACCAACCTACAGGAGGTTGGTCACAGGAGGGCATAGATCAGCTTCTTGGTTCTCTTCCCAGCCCATAACTGCCACTGGCTCATGGGAGGGCACCAGCCCAAACTGCTGCTCCAGCCTTATTTTTAAACTTACAGGGTTTTGTTTGTTTGTTTGTTTTTTGAGACATGGTATCACTGAATTACCCAGGGTAGGCCAGAACTCTACCTGAGCCTCAACCTCCCAGAGTGCTGAAATTATAGGTATGCACCATCTTGCTTGGCTTTCTCAAAAACTTCATTTCTGTAATAGCTTTGAGATTTAAAATACTTCAACTGTTTGCTGTTTCTCTTAGTAAGACATTGTTAACTTAATTGGAAAACTATAAATCCAAATAGTAGTCATATATTCATTTTATATTAATATATTTGCTTATGTATTTGAGATTATATACAGTATGACCATTTTGTTTTTCTTTTTTCATCATATCAATATACATGGTAGTTTTTGTGGGTTTTTTTTTTTTTGTACTGGGGATGAAATTACAACCTCATGCTTGTTAGACAGGTGCTTATGCTGTTGAGCTAACTTCCCAGCCCAATTTTTGGGGGGTGGGTTTTAAAAATTAAGTATTTGAGAAATATCAGGTAAGTTAGCTGCGAATGTTAATTCCCTAATCATGTTATACCAAACACATGTATGAATGTGGGCTCATTATTTTTCTTCTCAAGTTTTAAGCAGGGTCTCAAAACTCTTGGTGTGTTGGAAAAAATTCAGATGTACCCAGAAGCATTTTATAACATCCTCTGTCATAAAGCTGAGAATCTTTCTGCAAAAATCCTCAGAGATCTTTTTACTGTACACACATTAACTAGTGTACCAGCATTGGGGTTTTGGAACAAGTACCTACAGAGTGTTGAGGGTACGTGGGTATTTTATTTTTATTTAATTATCTCAGAATTGTTTCAACATATTTATTTCTTGCAGTTTTGCTTCTTAATAGTAGTATTTGCTAACTCCAAACTTACAAAAGAAATTTACTTCAAAACAAGTTTTCATGACTGAATTGGAAATGAAGAAAAAAGTCTACAGACTAAATCTATATTTTGAAATTTATTTTACTCTAGATAATTTGAACTGAAAGGCATTTTCAGAGAAAACCTGGAATATGTTGATGTTTGCAACAACCTTAAATATGCAGATGATTCCAATACCACAAAACAGTGTTTTTGCTTTTGTAGTACTCGGGACTGTATTCAAGGAGAGCTGAGCTACATCCCGCCCTTCTTATTTTGTGATAGTCTCATTAAATTGCCAGGCTAGCTTCAAACTTAGAATCTTCCTGCATCAGCCTGCTGAATAGCTAGAATTATAGTTCACTTGGCAAGGGCATATAGTAGTCTTTAAAACCCATTATTTAGTTCATTTTTTCAGTTTTGAGTTAAACTCAGTTATTTCTTATGTACCCTTTTGGACTATGCCAGTGATAATTTGTCATTGAGACTAGCAATGCAAAATTATTCCATTTGATAGGATGGAAAACTTTTAGCCATTTTTTCAACATTTAATTTTTTTCCTTTTATTTGTTAAACTTGCAAATTAATTAGTAATGACCTGTAAGTAGTAATATATAGTGAATAGTTAGACAAAATGATTTTGAGTCCTTCTACATTGAGAGACCTTTCATGAATGTACCGTTTGCCTATTATCATACCTCAGTTAGTGATTTAGTTTGCCCAAAATGCAATTTGGAGTCTGTGACCTGCACTATTCCAGTTTAGTTGGGGAATGAGGCAGTGATGATAGCATTATGTAATATTGTTTTGTTCTTATATTTTGGAGGGTTTTTATTCACTTTTATTGTTTAACTTTTCAGATGGTAAATCTGCAATAACAATGGAAGACATTCTTGTTTTTGCAACTGGTTGCAGTTCCATTCCACCTGCTGGATTTAAGCCCACTCCTTCAATTGAATGTCTGCATATGGATTTTCCCATTGGAAACAAATGTGAAAACTGTTTAGCTCTTCCAATCACCAGTACATATGAAAAATTTCAAGAAAATATGGACTTTGCCATAAAAAACACTTTAAGACTAGGAAAAGAAAAATGTTCTCACCATGATGAACATTAAAATATTTCTGTGAACAAAGAAATGCTTCTTTAAAAGCTGCTATTGATAACATTCCTTTGTCTCAGAAATCTATTAATCATATTTTTGAACAAATTTGTCATCTTCTTGGTCTATTAAAACTTAGGATATGTACATAAAAGAATGTTTTGGCCATTTAAACAAAAATTTTTTTGTTAAAGCCTTCCAGTCAAAATTGGTGATATTTTTTGTTTTCTAATATGTATGCTTTACAAACTTCAACATACTTTTAGAATGGTTGTACAGGTTTAAAACAGGTGTAGAAACATCTTAAATACGAAAACCCTAATCTTTTAATAAATTAGAATTGCCTAAGGATGCCATGATTTTTCTAGTTATGCAATTTTCAAATTCTTTAAGCATTAAATAGAAAGACTAGCTGAATGTGGTGATGTATGCTTGTAATCCCAGCAACGAGAGGTTGAGGCAGGAGAATTACTGTGAATTCAAGGCTAATCTGGACTACATAATGTGTTCAGGGCCAGCCTGAACTTCATAGCAAGATCCTAACTCAAAAAAAAAAAACAAAAAAAAAAAAAACTTTTTCAGTTAAAGCCTTAAAAATAAAAGGTATATATTCTGGAGTATGCAGTATATATATGATTATATAGAATGGCACTAAATTCATTCTAAGATGTTTTTAGATTACTGATTTATATATAAATGCTCCATACTGCAATTATATTGTACCTAAGAGGAAGTAGTAAATAGAAAGCAGAATTGCACAGTTATTCTGGAATGGACATCCTATAGGCTTAAAAACACTTTCTGAGATGAATAAAATGTAGTAAAAAATACTTAGGACAATGTATCTTCTTTAAAACCATGATTTTAATCATGAGGGTTTTTCCCCCTGTATCTTATGTATGTTATTCAATGTGTTTGATCCAGTCACTTTACATATCTGAATGTAGACTATCATATGGTTGATTTGCTATTTGACACTTGTTATCAGGATAAGCTGCTATCATAGCATTATACAGTTAGTTACCTTCTTTACTTTTGAAATATACCTGGTGTCTAGCTGGGCATTATGGCAGAAGCCTGTAATATCCCAGCACTCAGGAAGCTGAGGCAAGAGGATCTGTCCTGACTTTAGGGCAGCCTGAATTACATAGCAGGATCCTGTCTCAAAGGAAAGGAAAAAAAAAAGGAAATATACCTGTTTTTGTATTAGCAATGAATAAATAAACTTATAAAAAGAGTTACAAATAGAGGAAACTCCCACACAATATTTTGTTTTTGTGTATTCTTCTATAAACTCTTATTTTTATTTTTACTATATTAATGCTATTAGAAGTAACAAAAAATCATGTAATAATTTGAATATATACTATCCCATAGTCATATCCCCATATTTATACCTTTACAAAGGAAAAGAAATTGTAAAAAACTGTCACAAGTCTGTTATCAAACAAAAATGAAACAAAGCCACTGTTTTCTGTTAATCAAATTACATGAAGATCGATTTGATATAGGTAATTTCTATCAATACCAAATACAATTCTAGTATAATTTTATTACTTCATTTTTATCTAGTTATCTTTATTCTAAGACATCACATTAAATTAAGTTAAACTTTTTTTTAAGTATTTAATAAAATTAAACTAGGCATTTCTTTCTGTTAGATTGTCAAAAATAAGGGCCAGTTAATCAAAAACTACTTTGAATTTCTAAACTTCAAACTCTACTACACAACCTTTATTCCAAATGTGTTAATAAAGTGGACAGTTCTATCTAGCTTATCTAAAGTATTACAAGCTGTTAAATCAGTGCAACCCCACAAAGCTAATTAGTTTTCTGGTTTGTATTTTTAGTTTCTGCTAGAATAGTAAAGCTCAACATTTGTGTACTTTGTTGGGATGGGGTAACGGTGGTGTGTTTGGGTTAGCTACAATTAAAAACATTGTATCAGTTTCTCATACAGAAAAAAGAATAAATAGGGCTTTAGCAGTAAGCTAGTATAAATAATTTAGGCTATTGCCTCTTAAACACTGTACTACAAGATTTTTTCTGGTTTGTAAGCTGTTCCGTTAGTATGATTTTTAGGTTAATCTGTATAGACGAGCCATATCAGAAAACTTACTTTCCACAGTGTTACTATGTCAGATGGTTGGCATTATAATTCTTTTTCTATTCATGTTATAGCAAAATTCTTACTGATACTGAATTTTTAAAAGGAATCATGCTATAAGTCTATATGCAAACATATAATATGTTTGCATTTCTTAAATACTTCAACTACCTAAACGCCATATATTTTGAACTTGTTTACTCTTAATATTGGTGAAATTATAAGACATCTATTGTTAATGGTTTAGTTTTATAAACAGTATTTAAACTGTTAGTATGGGAATATTATCTGAAGGCTTTTTGTACAAAACTTGTATTCTTGTGCTTGTTTCATTCCTGTTTGAGTATTTAAGGTAAAGATTCTTTAAAGTATGAAAATTCCTTATGATTTCGTACTTTGTAATACTTACTTTGTGTTGTGAAGGGTTTTCTTTTTTGGTTTGGATTAAGTAAAAATCCTTCATTTGATACTAAATCAATTTACTTTGATTTATATTATATGTATTTATGCTCCCACCGCCACCAAGTACATGCAAACTATTGGAACTTCTGCATTGTAACATTAAAGAGGAATATAATGGATGTTTTCTCAGTGACTTTGACCTTGCCATTCAGTCATTATAAGAAAAGGATTAGAGAAGAAGATTCTACTTTATAATATATAATTGTTTTATATAATGACCATCACATACTTCACTGTTAATTTTACAATAAACTATTAAACTAGTTTTATGATTCAAGGAATGCAATACAAAGTTTTGTGCTTCAAGTAATACAAATTATAAAAACAAATTTAATGATGAATTACTTGAATGTTTATTACCTGTTGTTTAGGAAAGTTTGTATTACCCTGAGGAGACGTGGTTTTATAGTTTAATTTCAAACCTTATCTTTTCCAAGTACATTCCAATACCTTTTGTTATGCCTGGTGTTATGCTAGGTAGTGGTTTATATTTTGGCCTACTTTTCTCCCTTTTAAAGAGGGCCAGATGTAATAAACAGCATAACATTTATAATGAAGTTTTCTAAATTGTTTGTGCCACTAAATATGAAGCACTTACATAAATTAATTTATGGGGATTTAACACTGGTTAAGATCCTTTTCTCTCCATAGTTGAGGGATTCTATAAGGAGCTGTTGGCAGATACCCAGGAACCTCTAGAAGTGAGCTATTAGAGGGTTTTGAGAAAAACTATTCCTTAATGTAGAATACTACTTTGCCAAAATAAATTTTGCCAGAATAAATTATTTAGGCTCAAAACCTGGGGACAGTCAGATAAATGTGTGGAGTAACTTAACACTTAACTAACACTAAAGCCTTAGGTTATTTTTATTTTTTCTGATTCTAATGGAAAGCAACATATTAGTAGTCTGTTGCTACTATTTTCTATTGGTACATTTTCTTATAAATTTATGGCCTACACTCTAGGTCAAGATAGTTTATATCATATAAAATGTATGGTGAATGTTTAATATTTTTATTACACTAAAGACTGCCATTAATCCCTTCTCATTTAGAACACTTATCCCACTGTTCTTTGCACTTTGTGAAGCAGTTCTGGAAGTCCTCTTTCATGAGCATCTTTCCAAAGTGTGATAAAAAAAAATAAGGCTATGCAATGGATAAGTAGGCTCATAAAAACAAAATATATCTTCGTCTACCTTCTGCACTGGATCTGGCACTGTGCAACTCCTGGCTCTTCTCCAAAGTGAAAATGACAAATGTCTTGAGCTGATTCAAGATATCAAGGTAGCTGTGACAGTACATGCACACATACAGCTCACTGTGTATCCATTCTGACATCCAATACAACACATGGATTACAGAAATCAATACAGGATACATTATGAGATCATATGGCTTCACATCTACATTCAATGTCAGCACTACTAACCCCCCTTCCCGCACCCAGTATTGTGAGTTTGTCACCAAAAGGAACAGGAAAATTGCCATTTTTTCTGTCACCTTCCTGGTTCTTATACCCTTGTAGGAAAAACCATAGACACAGACCATTTTGCGTGATACGAGGCCAGTTTACATTAATATTCCAAGACTTTCTGTTTTTCCAGCGGAGAAAGACCAATGCTGCACTGGGAAACGAGAACGCAATAATTCGTTGCATTTACTTTAGTCGTGACCCTTAACAAGAGTTACTCTCACCACTTCATCTGTAAAAAACCAAGCTAATGGTCTAGTAAGTTCTCGGCACCACACCACGCTTACTCTGCGGTCAGTCTGAAGTAGCTAACGTTTAGTGTGGAAACACTAACGTTCGAAATTAAAAACACTAGCAATTCTGGCATTGGTGACCACAGGACCCTCAAATTCCGCGGTACCAAGCCGGCTCGCAGAGCCTCACCGCCCGGGTCGAGGCCGGGAGAAAGCCTTTGGCTCCGCCCCCTCGGGCTTCGCTTCCGGGGCGGAAGGGACGGCCACGTAATCGGCCAGGCTGGCCCGCGGAGCGGTGATGGTGGGAGGCAAGATGGCGGCGGCCGCTAGCATTCGGGAGAGGCAGACAGGTACTGGCTTACTTCTTCTGCGCAGCGACATGCTTTTCCTCTGCTTGTCCCTGTCATTTGGTCATGGTGTGAGCAGCTCACAGACCGACTTCTAGAAGTGCAGTGACGTAGAGCATCAGGAGCCCCTCCCCTCTCAGCTTTGGTAAAGAGATGCTCTAAGCTTAAGGTCTCGGCCCCTCTCCTGTAGGGGAAGAAAATGGGCTTCAAAGATGGAATTTTGCTGTATGCCACTTAGATTTCTAAGCGGTAGAAGGCCGTCCGTCACAAGATCTTGCAGCTGGTGTGTTCTTGTGTTGCCACTTAAGAGGTCTGTAGGTTTGTTCCTGTTTAGATTTCACATCTCCGAGTTTTTGTGTTTCACTTTTCCCAGTCTTGACCTTTAAAGAACTCCGTTTTCCGGCATTTACACCACAGTTAGGAAATTTAGGTGGTATTGTTCACAGTGACTTACTTTGTGCCATCTCTCAATTGCACCAATCTTTTGGGAGAACCTGAAGAAAAAATGCCAGAGGACGAAGATTTTCTTCCTCGATTTGCTGGAGGGAAATGAAAAATGGCAAAAACAAATTAATGGCTTACTCATTTCAATGTTTGAAAGATTAGTGTGCTAAGACAGTTAATAGTTTTATCTTCTTCCATAGAGGGTGTTTATATAGTTTCCATTTCTGCAGCGAAACGTGGTAAAAGTATTTTTTACAGTCTTAGTTTTTTGGGGTTTTTTTAGTTTTGCCACATTCTTTGTAAACTTCTGGTGACTTGTTTATACTTATTTCGCAGTTGTCTTTAAAGTTATGAATCTTTCTTGCAGAGCCAATGGAAATAAACCATTAAGACTGTTTTATATTTGGAAATTCTGTCTCCTGAAATTACCTGCTTTTTGCATGGAAAATAATTGGTTACAATTAATATAGACTTAAGCTGTACCTGATTTGGATGGTACCTGATTCTTTTCCTCATTATTTGTTGAAGAAAAAAATTCAATCTAATAATGACAAACTAAGCATATACGTTCTGCTTTTTTCAGTAGATATTTTAGCATAAGCTGTCAACTGAAGTCAAGCATAACTTAAATATGGGAAAATCCCAATAAGATTTGGGGCACACTTGACGTGCATGGCATTTGTAAGCAAAGGTGGTTTTTGTCTTAGCCTTAGCAGTGTGGTTCTGATAACTTAAGCTAAATGAATTAGATTGTACTATATTGTAAATAACAGGTCACTTTGACACACAAGAATGCTCACTTAGTTTGGGTAGTTGGTATGCATTGAGCATTTGTTGCCAGGCATTTTAGGTGGTTTTTAAGGCTTATTGTCTCATACAGATGAGGAAACTAAGGCACAAAGAGATTAACTAGCATGTCTGTTTTTGGTTTGCCTGAAAAATTTTTATTGATCCTTAAAAATTCACCTCAGATCCCATTTTCTTAAAAAAGCTGTTGTGGATTCCTCCCCTTTCTTTCCCTTACATTCAATTCGGGAGGCAGAGTAAGTTGCTTCCTCTCTGTGACTTGCAGGATCTTGCTCATTTTCCCTGCTTCTGAACATTACAGAGCCCCAAACTAACTGCCTTTCTCCTGTAGTGATCTCATCTAACTTCTATAAGTATTATAATGCTGACGATTCCTAGGTGTCCGTTTTTTTGAACCTCTCCACTGAACTCAGTCCTCTTCATATCGTTAATGGCAACTGCATCTTTTTAGTTGCTCAGGTTGGAAACCTTTTAATTTTCTTGACTTTTCTCTTTGATGACTCGTGTCAGATCTGTCTGTAAATGTTGTCGTTCTGTTCTAAATATGCATCCAGTACCTACCTACTACAGCAGTTGGTAGTACCTAATTGCTGTTACCCAGCTCCAATCTACCTTGAGGTTCTATAGTAACCTATTTGTCTCTTTGCTTTTTACAACCTATCCTCATTCTTTTATACATAGGACACAAAGTGATCATGCCATCCATTTGCTCAAAATCTTTCAGTAGTGTGTTATTTCAGTATAGTAAAGGCAAAGTGATCTTACCCTGGTCTACCAGGTCCTATGTGATCTTATCTCCATGTACCTTTTTGCTAAATCTCACTTTCTATTTTTCTTCCTTGAATACACCAGGAATGTTCCCACCTCACAGCCTTTCATATTTGTTTCCTTTAACTGAACTCACTTCATCCATCTTTTAAGCATTCACTTAAATGTTTATTCCCAGAGGAGGACGTGATCATTAAAATTTCTTCTGCTTTCCTAATCATATTTTCTCCATAGCACCTGTCATGTTCTCACTTTGTTTTACTCATTTTGTTCATTGTTTTTGTTCCCCAGCTAAAATGAAAGCTACTTAATAATTTTTTTATTTGATCTGCTTTGTTCATTGCTGGATCTCCAAAAGGTAGGGTAAGGCCAGACACATGGTGAGCACTCACTGAAAATTTGTTGAATGAATGAATAGTAAATATAGATCATAGTATTTATTCAGTGCATGAATGAGAAAATTTTCTAGATAAAGGGTGAAACTATTAACTAAGATAAGAATATGGATAGTATACTTAGAGCCAAAAAAATTTATCATTTCAGTTAAAGGCAGTAATTTAAATTATGGGGAGTTAAACTCTGTGAATGTAAAATTCTTGTACATTCTTTGAACATAGGCCATGTATTTCAACAACAAATTCACAGGATCAAACTATCTCTGAAAAAGTTACACAAAGCTAGGAAGTTAGAGAAATTTCATGATCCCAATCAGGCAAACATGAGACTATCTGCTAGCATTGGTACCTTTCACTTAACTAAGAATTAACTGTATAAAACACACAACACCTGAGCCTCAGTTGGCGCTTTCTTTGTCATGTGTCAAGAGAGTGAACAGCTTTTCTTAAAAACCAGATTTTCGGGGCCAGGGATTTAGCTCAGCAGCTCAAGTGCTTGCCTAGTAAGCATGAGGTTGTGAGTTCAATCCACAGAACCAAAAAAACCCCAAAAACCAGATTTTCTCTCTCTCAGCCTTATAATTCCAGGGTGGTGGTATCTTTATTGCTTGAAGAAGAGTCTGCTGAAGTGTGAATCCAGGAATGACACTCTTTTTGCTTTCTGTGTTTTAGTTTTAGACTGAAGTGTTCCTGTTCATGTATATTTTTCATCTGTGCATCTTTGAAGTAGGCATGAATTACTGGCAAATATGTATTATTTACTGGATGTTAGGTCCTAACATTTTATCAAAACAAGTTTGTATCTACACACACACACACACACACACACACACACACACAGATATTCAAATATAATCAGCCCTCTGTATCTATAGATTCTCCATCCATGGGATCAACATCCATGAATCAAAAATATTTGAAACAAATATGTACTGAACATATGCAGACTTTCTTGTCATTACAGTACCGTAAAACAGCTACTTACTCAGTCTTTAGATTGTCTTAGGTACTCCAAGTAATCTAACTTTGACTCTAAGTAAATGGAAGAATTTGCCTGGGCTAATACCGTTCTATTTCATAAGAAGGATTTGGGCATCTAAGGATTTTTGATATCTACAGAGCATCTGGAGGCCAATCTCCTGAAAATATCAAAGGACAGCTATATATTACTGAACTGTACTTTCTTTGGTGATAAAGGTGTTACATTTTAACTTGTAAGTATTTAATAGATGTTTTTCTAGTTTTCCTGTAAACTGATACTCAGATGACTTAATATTATGTGGTTCTGTGATAGGAGTTCGGAGTTTGGAGAGTGGGTTATTTTGTATGACTTTTTTTTTTTTTTTGGTCTTTTTCTTTTTTTATCTGTACCAGGGATCGAACTCACGCCTGCCTACTTACAAGGCAGGCGCTTATGCGGCTGAGCTAAATTCCCAGCCCCATTTTGTATGACTTTTTAAGACCTATTCTAAATGTTTTTAAAAATGAACCAAGTAGATTACATGGTTGCTCGTCTTTAAAATTGTATCACATAAGCCTGTGATGGGGAACGTTTTAGAGCCTTCAGTGATAAATAAACAGTGGGCTGCAGTGTATGTGCTGTAGGATCACCACTGCTTATCTAACTAGTGTATTTTCTTGACTATGTGGTCATTTCAGTTTCACAAAGAATTATATTAAGAGGTTATCATTTTCCTTAGAAAATATTGAGTCTACTATGAAACATGAACAGATGAGCAATAAAAAGTACAAAATACTGTAATCATAGATCATAACTGCTGCACTTTTTAAAAATTGCATATTTCTTAGTTGGAATTATCAGTTAACTACTGATAAGAAAGTCTTATTTTTGTGTTTGAGGGTTTCCCTCAGCAACAGTATTTTAAGCAGTATAACTTTTAAATCTGATATGATAAATTAGTTATAAAATGTACTCTTAGATATAGACCTGCTCTATGAAGATTTTTATAATTTTATATGCCATAGACGATCTTTGTTTTTAGAAAGACTCGTTTTCATCTGTAACTTTCCATTAGGCAGTAAGTAGACTTGTTACCTTCCAAGGTTATTGCAAGACCATAGCTGAAAAAATTTTTCTTTTTGCAACTATATAAAATGTAGCATGAAATTATTAGGAAAAATAGAAAAACTCTTCTACCTGAACATTATCTGCAGTTTCACCTGGGACAGATGCCCTTACATTTTTGACAGTTCACCAAACACACACCATTTAGCTGTTGATGGAATATTTTTATAACGACTGACCCCAGGTTTTACATCACCAATTTTTTTGTTAATCAGTTTTGATGTGCTGTGTTGACCCCATACATTTTGGTTTTGGGTAATAAAAAAAATAATATAGAGGCAAAGTAAAATCCTAAGAAAACAATGGTTATGTTTGACAAAGTTTTCTGTTTTCAGTTGCTTTGAAGCGTATGTTGAATTTCAATGTTCCTCATGTTAAAAACAGCACAGGAGAACCAGTATGGAAGGTAAGAACTTTACTTAATGTGAACAATTTCCTGTCTCTTACCCTTATTGATGGTATTGATGGTAATTTTTTTTTAATACTGAACTAATACTGTAGTACATTTTAGTTATAATTCATGAACATTTTATTTTACTTAAAGTAACATCTTAATATGAATTATTTTGATAACCATTTTATGAAATGAAAGAGACAGTACACCAGCAAATATTCATCTAGTGCATCCAAAGATCTTTTGGGTCAAATTTTACAGCTAGGTCTTTACCTGATTTATGTTTTGTTCCTTAGCTTTGCAAGTCCAGACTTGTGATCTTACAAATTTTCCTGGGGTTGGATAGATTCACTGAGTTGGTCCATTCTAACCAGTTCAGTGGAAAGTGACCTGTAAACCACAGTACCAGTTTATTAATGTATTGATATGAAACTATTACTAAAACTGTTCATTGAACCAAAAAACAATCTAGCTTTTCTTTCACAAATGCACTAGAGTCTTTATAATTCGTACTCTTTGACTGCTTCATTTGATAGTTTATGCTGATGAGATAACAATAGTTGATTACATTTAAACTTAGTAATTTACAAGTAATTTATATTAATCTCTTGAGAAAAACTAAAAACATTACAGCTTTGTTGAAATTTTGAGTGTTCTGAAAGCTCTCATGAATCCTTACAAGTTTTTGGGTTAGATCTCTCAAGGTGATTAAAGTGGTCTATATTGAATTCATAGATAGTTTCAGTGTCCCTTAGTTATTTCCCCTTCTGTTTTTTTGTGGGCATTTTCTTATGCTCTTTATATAAATGAGTTTCTTATGTTGAGTGTTAAATAGCCAACAGATTTCTTTGATACCCATTTATGTCACATACTTTTCCTACCCATTCCTTTTATATCACGAGATGAATAATACATATGCAATAACACCTCCTTCCCTTATCTTCAGGGGATACATTCCAAGCTCCCCAGTGTGTGTCTGAAACTGCTGATAGTACCAAACTCTGTACCATCATCACTCTTTGTATGGAGTTCACATGCTGGATTCGACCAACCACAAATCAAAAGACTTTTTAAAATTTTTATATGTACTGACCATGCACAGAACTTTTCATTATTTCCTAAACAATTACTGTTTAGCATTTAAAGTACACAGGAGAATTATGTAGGTTGTGTGCAAATACTATGCCAATTAATACAAGAGACTTGCACATAAAAGGATTTTTGTATTAGTGGAAATCTCAGAACCAGTTCCCTAGGAGGACTATATACTATGGTTTTTTCCTATACATACATGTTTGTGGTAAACTTTAATTTATAAACCAGGCATGGGAAGAGGTGAACAACTATAATAAACAGAAAAATTAGATCAGTGTACTATAATGACATTGCCAGTGTCATTACTCTTGTACTTTGTGGCTGTTACTAACTAAATAAAATAAAGGATACTTGAAGATAAGCACTGTGATACTGTGGCAGTAGATCTGACGATCAAGACAGCTGTTAAGTGACTAATAAGTGAACAGTAAGTACTGCATGAATACATGGGATATGAGGGTTCACATCCTGGACAGTGTAGAACGGACCACAAAAGATTTTGTCAGGACAGAACAGTAGGGCATGTGAGATTTTTATCATGCTGCTCTGAAGCGTGTACAATTTAAAAATTATTTCTAGAATTTTCCATTTAATATTTTCTAATTGTGACTGACTGCCGGTAACAAACTACAGAAAGTGAACCTGCCAATAAGAGAGGAGTACTCCAAATAGAGATTTAAACAGATCTTTTGAGAGAAACATCTAACCTATTATAGCTACAGCAGAAAGATTTTTAGCTTCTGCAGGCGACTCCTGGCACTTCAGAAAAACCTGTTTTCATGACAGCATATTTTATGCTCATTTGCAGTTTTTTCTCCTTAAGAAATTACTGACCTGGTTTTGAAAACTGCTTATCAGTTAAAGATCTCTTTTATTTGCCCTAACTCAAAAACTAACTGAATTAGAAGGCCCAGTTAGAGTTACCGTTTCTCAAAGGCATCAGTTTTAATATTTTTAGAATGTGAGGAAGTGCATTTGACAGATTAGGGACTTAATTTTTCACATGAATATTTTATTTATGTGTAATATTTAAGTTGCTAAATTTTCTTTATGGCAATGAACTTGTTAATATATTGCTGTGGATTTGCTAACTTTTTATGCCTATTTTTAGAAAGGCTATATATGTGAACTGGAAGAAAAACAAGCAGAGAATGTGTAAATTTGCTAATATTCAAAACCTTTTATTAAAACTTAAATTATAATAGCCTTCAGGTTTTTTAATTTAGAAAAAAATTTTACAAAAAATTTATGTAATTATTTTAACCTAAGTACTGATGCTACTGCATGTGGACTCTGTGATGAACAGTGGTGGAAAATATTAAGTTGAGGCAAAGATAAGAATTCTGCATAGTTGATTTGATAAAATACACTTTAACATTATTGATGGTTCATTGATAACGCTTTTAAAACACATTTTTTTAAGGTTCTCATTTATGACCGATTTGGCCAAGATATAATCTCTCCTCTGCTGTCTGTGAAGGAACTGAGAGATATGGGAATCACTCTGCATCTGTGAGTTTTTATGTATTTCTAGTAATTGTATTTATTTTCAAATACATAATGAACGATTTCTTCAGCCACCCTGAAGTCAAATTATTAAAGAGCATTTACAGAAAAAAGTGATGTTAGATTATATTATCTAAATAGTGTAGAATATTTTTCTCTGGCATCTTTTATTCTCACTTTTTTTTTTTTTCTTTTTCTCTTTTTATTGGTACCGGGAATTGAACTGACGACCGCCTGCTTGCAGGCATCTTTTATTCAACCCTCATTTCTGAGATTTTAAATAATCTTTACTCTGATGCTATACAATTTCAAAATTGAAAATATCTCTCATATCTTTTCCTGTAGACTCAGCCCTCTCTGTAAAGGAGAAATGTTAGGAACCTTAGCTCCATTTCAACTCTAAAACTGTCTTAAGGTCTGCCTCCCACCCTTTTCTTTTGGCTTTTTGAGGAGGCAGAATGTCACTATGTAGCCCATGCTGGTCTTGAACTCTCAGCAGTCCTCCTGCCTCAGTCTCCCAAGTGCTGGTATTACAGACAGGCATGTGCCTCCATGCCCAACCAAAAGTGTTTTAGTCCTTTAATTTAAATGATCTTTAAAAAGTGAGTTAATTTATCAATATGAAAAATTTAAGGGACTACATAAAGTGTTGTCTGTTAATCATCATAAAAAGGGTATATTGTCTTCTTAACAACTGTTCAATTATATTGCTTCTGATGTATTTGATAAAAATAAATTGTACTAATTAATAGTTTTGTCTAGTAGAATGTTTGGAGACAGGCTATGTTCCTGAATAAATACAAACTAAAACTTTTATGTACTAATGAAGTCCAGAATATGGTATTACAACATAGTGAATTTGAAATGTAGTCCTTTACTGGGAATATGGTTTTAGAAATTTACTGACTACCACATCAGAATCTGTATTGATCAGTTTAACTTCTTAGATTGTATAATGAATATTTTCTCTAACTGTAATTTGTCTGTATTTAGTAGAATATTGTGTTCCATCGATTCTACTTTTTATCTTTTTCCTTTTTTTTTTTTTTTTTGGCGGTGCTCAAGATTGAACAACAGAGTCTTATGTGCTGAGCAAGCTCTCTACTGTTGAGCTACACTTGACCCGGTTGCATCAATTCTAAATACAGGACACACTTTTTATGTGTCTGTAATTAGGACCCATATTTCAGTGGATGACATGTTTTCTAAATGATATACAAAACATTTTAGAATTGATACTACCATAGACATGATGAATTATAGTAGGTGATAAATTTTTTCCCTTCATTTTAATACTAGACTTGAAATATAAGTTTGGTTTGGTACTGGGCTCTCAAGAACTAAACTGAACTTAGCTGAATGCAATCCTTGGAAATAGTGGATGACTAATAAGCATTTTTGTCATTGATACTGTTTTGCTTTTTTATTTTACTAATGAAAAGACTGAAGTTTAGAAAGCTTAAGTATCTTACATTTAGACAGCTAGTTAGTAGCAGGGCTGTGGCCAGATGCTTGACAGCCATCAAGTCTGTGCTGATGCCTCCTGAATCATAATGGCTCAGTTACAGTGGCTAAGAGAAGGAGGCCCTTCAGTGCTTCCTTAAGGGTAACAGGAGCATCTGTCAGTTCAAGAGTCTAGGAGGTAGAGAGCTGTTGCCACCAGAGCAAAGAATGGTTGCCTAACTATGATGGTAAACTCTTGCAAACCTTACCTCTCACCATTTTTCCCTATTTGCTGGAGAATACTGCATTTATTCTCTGAAAGCTATTTTAGACTGATTATAGGAAAACAGTAATCACAAATTTCCAGATTATGAGGTGGCGGTTGTAGCCCTGTAGGAGGCAGTTGGACAACCAACAGAAAGGAACCTAGGCAGGTGTGGTATTGCTTATAATCCCAGTGTTCTAGATGAGGCAGTGAGATTGCAAGTAGGAGCCCAATCTGAGCAATTTAGAAATTTATCAAGATCCTGTCTCAATAAAAAAGGAGCTGGGATGCAGCTCAGAGCAAAAGGTCTGGGCTCAGTCTCCTGTACTGCAGGTTTGGAAGAAAAGACAAATAGAAGAAACCATTGAATGCAGCCCCTAGCAGCATGTGCCCCTTTCACTCTTCTCAATTGTAGATACATGGCTGAGTGGTGATATTCTAGAAACAGAATGTCAGTCATGTTTTCTGATAGAAGCATGGTAAGTCTTGAAGAATAAATAGATTTTGTGATTTGCTATTGGGATGTCTGAGTGAACATCTTCCCTGAGGCATAAAAACTTCAGTATATAATGGATGGGATTGTAAGACGGTCTCTTATGAGTTCTTCTATGAAGTAGTGAATACATAAATGTCAATTGGAGCTGGGACTGTAGCTCACTGGTAAAGCTTCGCATGTTGAAGGCCCTGGTGTTGATCTCTGCCACCACTTAAAAAACTAATGAACAAACAAAAATTAAACTTTTTAAGGACCTTTTCAGTTTTAAGGACCTTTTTTCAGTTACCTTTGATTTAAAAATATATTTTGATTTCATCTGTCATTCAATTTTTGCGTTGTTTCTAAAGCCTCCAGTAACTTTCTGTTTTCCGCATTGGGGAAACCTGTACTTTCCTCCCATTCACCAGCACCATCTCCAAACCCCATACATCTATGAAAACTGGGTATAAAACTGATTTTGAATGTGTTTTAGTTTTCATTCAAGAAGAGTGGTAGGAGAAAATGTCTGACCACAAGAAATACTAAAAGTAAGTCAGATTGAATAGAATAAATGAAAAATAATGAGAAATTAAGACCTTCCTAATATTTATATTGACTAGGTAGACATTTTTTTTTTTTAAGGAAAAAGCTTTATTAACTAAGTTAGCTGATTAAGAGCAGCAAGTACTGGAAAAATATTATGTTAAATTGTCTTTTAAAAAAAGTGACTAAGATGTTCGTAGGAAAGTGAAATGAATCAGTCACATAAGCTTTAGTATTGCATAATTTCTCATATAATGAGAAACCCAAATCGTAAATAAAGAGCAAAATAAAAATAGGTATTAGAATTAAGGAGCTAGATCTTAAGTGGGAAGAGGACTAAGAGGTGGGAGTCCAGGGGCAAAAAAGGAATTAAGATTTGTTACATACATGTGCCAGCTCCACCTAGGTAATGTAAACATTATATACTCTAAACATGTGCTACTACAAAAAAACAAGTGATGAAAGAAATGAGTTTTGTGTTCTTTACTTCTAGGCTTTTGCACTCTGATCGAGATCCTATTCCAGATGTACCTGCAGTGTATTTTGTAATGCCATCTGAAGAAAATATTGATAGAATGTGCCAGGTAATATGGGTTCTTATCCTACTTGATACTTAAGTAATATCAAATGAAACTTTTTCCACAAAGTATTTTAGGTAGGCAGAATAAGCATCAAACCGCCTTCACCCAGTTTTTCAGTTTGATTTTTGAGACTATCTTTGAACTTAAAATACCTTAAATGATTTTACATTTTTTGATCACAAGAAGCAACATAGTAAAAACAGTCAGCTTTACAGAACAGAAAGCCTAATAAAACTTTATTAGTTTTAAAAATAGAGGTTTCATTTTCCCAGATAATAGGAAGGCTGTGGGTAGGAATTTCGTGCTGGTGCAAGAGCATGATGAAATAATCAAACTTAGGCTCACTCTCTTTCTGATTCTTCATTTCTGGTTACTTTCATTGTCTTGCTGCTTCATCCATGTAAGGCAACTGCAGATATTGACATCACATCTGTGTTCATGGCTGAGCAATGTTAGCCCTGACTGTACACTTTGATCAAGTAAATTAAGTCTTTCCAGAAACTCCAGAAGGCTCTCCTTTATGTCCCTACGGGTAGAATTAGTTTCAGGAGATGCTGTGAATTTAGTATTGAGATAAATTTATTGCTACTTCAAAAAATTTGAATTCTTTTAGCAAAGAAAAGGGTAAGTAAATGATTATAGGACAGGTGGCTAACAGCATCTACCACAAATCACAGCTACTTTACTTGTTATTGACTCTTGAATCAAATTGCTATTTAACTTGTTAGTGAAGGTCACGTATTTTCTATCCTGGGCAGCTTTATGATCCCCTCTTACCCTGCACAAATCTAACTGCTCTTTTTTACTTAAAAAGTACTGTATACCAATCTCTTCCTTCTTCCTTTGTTTTAAAATTTAATAATAGCTTTATCAAAATATAATTCACAAACGATGCAATTTATCCATTTAAATTGTAGAGGTGATGAATTTTAATGTATCCACACAGTTGAGCAAACATCATGATAGTCAGTTTTTCTGTTTGAATTATGTAGATGATGATTTTTGGTATGTTCACAGAATTGTGCAGACATCACTGCAGTGAGTTTTAATCATCTCAAAAAGAAACTTACCCTTTAACTTTTATATCTCCGATCCCACTCCTATCCCTTCATGTCCTTAAGTTGCTTTTTGTTCCTAAAGATTTGTGTATTCCTTCCACTACATATGGTCAGAATCTCATAGTGTGTGATCTTTTATATCTAACGTCTTTCTTATAGCTTAAGGTTTTCAAGGTCTGCCCTTGTTGTGTTTTTGTTTGAATGTGTTTTGTTTTCCCCTTGATAATGCACATTGAACCCAGGGCTTCACACATGCAAGGCAAGTGTGCTCTACCACTGAAGTACCTCTCCAGCCCTTTTGTTTTAATTTTTTCTAATTTTGAGGCCGGACCTCACTAGTTTGCCAAAGTTGGCCTTGAACTTGCACTTTGCCTAAGTCTCCCAAGTATTTGAGATCACAGGCATGTACCACTATACCTGGCTACTACTGTTCCTTTCTATGGTCAATGTTTCATTATAATCGTATGCCAAATTTTATTTTGGCTTTTCTGAATCCTTTAAATTTTCAAATAAATTTTAGGATTAGCTTGTCAGATTCTATCTGAAAGCCAACTGAGATTCTAATAGGTGTTGTGTTGAATCTGTACATTAATTTCAGAGTATTATGGTCCTAATAAGTATAAATTGTCTGATTTATGAACATGGGATGTCTTTACCTACTTAGACCTTCATTAATTTCTTTTAATACTGTGTTTATAACATTTGTGCTCTCTTGTGAGATACGTTTCTTTGTACTTTTTAATTAATGGGATTATTTTCTTAATTCAGTTTTTAGGATTGTTCGTTGCAATTGTGGAGAATTTTTATATGCTTTTCTTGTATCCTACAACCTTACTGGACTTCTGTGTCTTTTAGAAGTGTGTCCATCATTCTTTTGACCACTGTCTTCCTTGCATAATAAGTTGTTCCAGTTTCATTTTGTAATTTTTCCACCCACCCCTGGATATATCTGTTTGTTATAGGAGCCTTGTGTTCTATAGGGAATGGTATCTAAGGATTAGTATCTAAACATTGGGCATACATAGTGGTGCCAGTCTTCTTGGATCCTCTCAATGGACAAAGCTAGGAAATAAATACACAGGCATACATAGTTTTGTATCTCCACTTATTTCTATAAATCTTCCTCTCCTTCCCACCTATCTAAATGGAAAGATAAACTCCACAACTAAGGTATTTTTTCAACACAGGATTTACTCTAGCTTCTCCTTTTTTCTTTTATAAATTTTCAACTCTGTTCTCTGACACTAAGAAATCTGCTTGCCAATACCCTGAATATGTTTATTTTCTTAGTCCTCCTACCCATTTTGAAACACTGCCATTCAACTACTTGCCTCATACGGGCTCCAGCCCCTCAGTATCTCATATTTTAATATCTCTGAAATTCCATGCAGCCTAAAATTCATCGTGTCATAAAATTTTATTGGGAGCATTTATTCTTGCTTAGTCATACGTACATGATTATGCCTGCTATAATCAATAGCATCTTAGATTTGAGGAAATATCTTTCTCTAGAGTTTAATTATTATGTTTAAGAACTTGCATAACTTAGATTCCACTACTTTTGAATGAATGAAAAGAAACATTTCTGACACTGATAATTGGAATTCTAATACTTGTGTGTGCAGTAATGGACGTATTTTTTGTGTGACTACATGACCAGCAGAAGGTAGTGCCTGCCAAATATAACAGCCATTTTATTGTGTTAGATCATACAATGTCTACTCCTGGATATTTTTAAGAAAAAAATGCATCAAGGCTACTTCACATTAGTTTTATGCTACAGTATACTGCAATGACTGGAGATCTGTTCATATAATTTCATAACTTTGTAAGTTTCAGTAAACTTCATAACTTTGTTCTCTTGGGATACTTTTTGTCGGTTATATAACCTGTTCTTAAATATGTGTCTTATCTTCCAAAACTTTGTTGTTATACTGAAGATTTTATTTTTGGTATTCCTTTATACTATTCTATAAGAATTAAGTATTTACTGTATTTATAGGATCTTCGTAATCAGCTATATGAATCATATTATTTAAATTTTATTTCTGCTATTTCAAGAAGTAAATTGGAAGATATTGCAAATGCAGCATTAGCAGCTAGTGCAGTAACACAAGTAGCCAAGGTAAGTGATCTGGGCTGATGAAGGACATTTTGTGATTGTAGTTTATTAACACTTCTGAAAGCTATTCATGGACATAGATTTCTTACTTTACAAATGACCACAGCAATAAGAAATGTTTTAATTCAGTATTTTTAGAAGGAGTTCTGATAATGTAAGTTGTCTTCACCTTAAACTAAAAAAAGTGAACAAAACTAAAGGAACCTAATATTCAGTGAATTTAAAAGATAAAAAGCAGAATCAATTTTTACTTCCCGCATAGCCTTTGTAACTCAGTTGAGAAACAGTTGTGCACTTGTGTTGTCATTGATTGTATTTAGAATATATTGACATTTTTTCATTTGTAATACTGACATCACTATATTGTCTACATCTTTTCTTTACTAATACATTCACAACTGGGCCATAATTCTATATCTTGCTGCTGAGTGGTGGTACATGCATGACTTCCCATTAGGTGACTTTTTATCAATTTTATTAGTAAAAAGACTGATAAAAGTGATTGGACCTGTTTGAACCACCAACGGTACAAGTCACCCAATGGGACAATCATGGATATACTCTCAGTGGTGCAAACCAGTGGTGATGTATTGAGAGGACTCAAAGAGGCTGTGTTGTGTATTGTAAGACAAAAAAAGTTGCAACAAGCCAGCAGTCCTGTATCATAGTAATTTTTAGACAGTTTCAGCTCCAGTTACCAATAAGTTTGTAATATATTCCTAGTTTTAGCCCTTTTGTACCCTGTGCTTCTTGAATATGGAACAGACATAAACACAGGACTGTATAGGACTTCTCATATTTTTCCCCACTGGTAGATTTTTTTTTATTCTTAAATTTAGATAGTCTGGTTGCTACTTCTAATTACTTTTGAGGTTTCTTCTATAATGTTCTTGCTCAAAATTTCTCATTAATTTTATATAAAATAGAAATGATTTACAGTTTGTTTAAATGTAATTTTTCTTAATTTTTGCTTTCATTTGTACTTAATAAAACTGGCATAACTTTATTATATATTGAAACATTGTATAAGAACATACTGTGACTTTTTAGGAAAATGTAATTGCAGTAAACATAAAAATTTAAATTGTAGGTTTTCTTCACAATTAGTATCCATTCCCATCATAAGCAAGAGTTTTAGACTGATTAAATTTTGTTTTTTGAAAATATTCTCTTCCTTGATACTTGCTGTTTTTGTAGCTTTTTAATCTTTTGAATTCATATTTACCCAATTAGACCACAAAGTACAATTTCAGTTATGGGATGGAATTAGAATTTTTCTCATTTTTGGTACTACTAGGTTAAATTAAATTTACTTTTAGTATGACTTATAAAATTGATTATAAATTTTTTTCATTTGTTTCTAGGTTTTTGATCAGTATCTCAATTTTATTACTTTGGAGGATGATATGTTTGTATTATGTAATCAAAATAAGGAACTTGTTTCATATCGTGGTATGTAAAAATAAGATTGTAATTCATTGATAACAAAATTAATGGTGAACTACAAGAAAAATAAAACAATAGTGAACATGCATAGTGTACTCTAAAACAATATTTTATTTATAGCAGTAGAGCTATCAAAGATTTTTAAAAGCACTTAGAAAGTAAGTCTTAACTAAATTCCATCACATATAAACCACATTTAATAAACATGTTTTATAATCTCAGTAAAGTACCTATTCTCTAACCTTTTAGGTGTTTGTATGGAAATTTACATGAATGATTTACTTTTGGCAGTTAAAAAAAATGTATATTTAGTTGGCAGTTCAGCATTAGAGCTACATCACATTTTGAATTTTTTATTTTGAAACAGAATAATTACTAAGTCGCTAACATGTCCAAGCAGAGGTCAAATTTATAATCCTGTTGGTTCAACCTCCCAGAGTACTGGGATTACAGGAATGTACCACCCTGCCCACGAAGACAGGATTTTAGTGCAGAATAGTTCATTGTCTCATATTTTGACCTTAAGAAAGAGATGCTTTACTTCTCTGTCCTTAGAAAAACTAACCCAGATGTTCAGCTTCTGAGAGAAGATCCTTTGGTTTCATTGAGATCTATATTCTGTAGAATGCTTCTTTGTTGAGATTAAACAAAATTTCTAAAAAAATTTGCTGAGTTTCCCATTTGAGAGAATTTTAGTGGTAATTGTTATTCATAGAAGTTCATTCACAGTTGAGTTTTAAATTAGCAAGTTACATAAATTAGCAACTTAAGCTTCATTTTTCTTAAACTTACAAATTTTGTTATATTATTTAAAAATCTAGTAAAAACAGGAACCTTTACTTTTTTCTTGATTAGTTAACTCAAATTGAATAAAGTCTTCTAATCATTCCCACTTAACAAGTTAATGAAATTTAGTTTGTTAAATTCCCTTAAAAATATTTTACAATTATAAATTTGATACATTATTTTTTAAAAATGTCACATGCTAGATCAGGCAAATTTACAAATCAAGCAAAAGCTGCCCAAATACTTAATTCTTTAAAAAGGAGTATATTTTAATGAATCTAAGTCATATAGTAAGTTCAAATATTTAGAAATTTAATTAAATTTCCTGTATCTATCAACTTTAAAAAAAAAAAAAAAAACACAAGTCTGAAATTAATTACTAATTTTAATCTAATGGCCAGTCACCCAGGTAGTTGTAACTGCTTGCTCTCTGGCAATAAGTTGTCCTGAGCAGTTTACCGCATAAGCTGTTTTGCACATCAGAATATGTTCGTGAAGTAGGTATTGTTACTTTCATTTTCCAGAGTGGAAACCTGAGGCATAGCTATTTTAAGAAAAACAAGCACTTGCATCTTTGAATCAGGAAGTGGCACCGCCAGGTCACTCACTCCAGAAAATAGTGGATGCACACTCCAGCAGTATTGTCCCTAACCATCGTGCAATCGTGTGCCAAATTATGTCAAGCAATACAAGTGCTTTAATCAAAATTTTAAACAAATACTCTTAAATTTAAATGTGGTAGTTCCATGACTTGATTTTCATTCCCTTTTTAATGCTGAACTTTTTATGGATTTGTGACTTAATAAAGAAAGCATATATTCATCTCAGTCACACCAGACTGTTATCCCAGAGAGAGAGCTGCTTGTTATCTCAAGCTGTGTTGAAGTTAGTAATGGATGATTTGTGACTGTTAGGGTTACTTGTTGTTCATAGGGTTGGAGCTAAATTTAGGATTAAAGGGTGGAGTGCTTCTCTGTAGGCTGTACCTGTACCGTATTATTGACAGAATTCATGTTCCCTGAAATCCAGTAATTCACACTGGATCCTTAGGTTGTTTGTCTCATCTGATTTGGATGAATGACAACATGAAACACCTTAATAATAGCACATTTCCTTCCTGTGGATTTTTTTGCCTGATCAAACCCTTCATTCATTTTGTTTTGTTTTGTTTTTGGTCTTGTTGAGACGGGGTTTTGCTATGTATTTCAGGCTGACCTTGAACTCACTTGCACTCACAGAAATCCTTCTGTCTCAGCCGGCCCAGTGCTGGGATTACAGACATATGCTACCACGCCAGGCCTCCTCTTCATTAGTTTATGTTTTCCTGGTAGATCATACTTTTTTCAGATACTTCAGTGTATCAAATTAGATTCTGCTTTCCTCTCATACTAATCACAAGTTACATTAAATTTTATTACTGTTTTTGGTATTTGGGTTGTTGGCAAATTAAAGCTTCTATATAGATAAAATTCAAGATCAGCCTTTCCACAAATGATTAACAAGCATTGCTTTGTCAGACAAGTACCCTACATATTGTGAAAGAGAAAATAATAAATTGGTATGACTTAAGCATATTCTTCACCATGGGGTAATGCTTCTTAAACTGTAGCTTTAGGGTTTGTTTGGGTTAGAAACCTCTGGACGTACTTGTAACAATCGTCTTTCTTAGAATTATCTCATCTGTGGAATTGAATCTCTATAGAAAAGGGTTAAGAATCTTTAATTTTTGAAAGTCTCCAGAAATAGTTATTTTTCTTTACCTATATTCCAGAATAATTTTTACATCTACTAATGTGTGGGACCTACTTAGGTACAGTCTTATAGATTAGAAAAGAATTTCATGTAGGTTATTATAATACAAAGAAAATGATAATGTGGTGTTGGTTGTGCCATAATTGATTTACATTCTCTTTTTTGTAATCATTGGCTAATATGATCAGTAGTTTCTTTAGGCTTTCTAGTGTTTATGAATAAAATCATGGAAATATTCATTTTCCTAGGCTCTGGCAAAAAAATTTTAGACATTTTGTATGTGAGTGGGTTGTTTTGTTTTTTGGGGTTTTTTTAATCTGATCTTGAGATGGTTTGGTATATGTAGTTTTTATTTGTAAGGTTTTTTAATGTTTGATGTATATAAGCTTATACTAAAAATTTCACTTGAGTATTATGTAATCTAACTGCATATTCATAATTTGGTATTTAATAAAGGTAAACTTTGGCAATTACTTTTTTCCTTTATTTGTCATTTTAGCCATTAATAGACCAGATATCACAGACACAGAAATGGAAACAGTTATGGACACTATTGTTGACAGCTTGTTCTGCTTTTTTGTTACACTGGGTAAGTTTTCAAGTCACTCTGGCTATTTCTTCAAAATAAATAACTACTTTTAATCTGTAACACTGTGATGTGATCCTTGCACCTATTTGAACCTCAAGCATCTCTCCAGAGTTGGAGCAAAGCATACAGTCTGTTTTTTAAAACATAGTTCTGATACCTTGATGTGGTTAATCTTCTTGAGCTAGTGTCCAGCAGTTTTTTGAGTTATTTAGATGTCTTTGGTAGTTGTAACTTTCTAATATATTGCTAAATGATTTGATGATGGTTTTACCTATGTGCCTGCTAACTTTTAAAAAATACTTTTGTTGTAAAATATTTCAAATATTTAAATATATTTCAAATATTTTAAATATTTCAAATATTTCCTTTTAAGTAGAAAGATACATGCCTGGTATTTATTGACAATTTCTAACGCCTCCAGAAAACACTAAATTTATCTATAATACCAATCTACTTATGTTCTATAAATTTTAAACATTTCCTTGGATCATTTAAAGTCACTTTTACATCTACATTGTGTTTAATATATGACTTCATAGAGCCAGGTGTGGTGGCTCAAACCTATAATCCCAGCACTCAGGAGGCTGAGGCGGGAGGATTGTTGCAAGTTTAAGACCAGCCTGGGCTACAAAGTGAGCTCAAGGCCAGCCTAAACTGTATAACAAGACCCCATCTCAAAAAAAGACCAAAAAATATATATATATGTGTGTATATATATGACATATATATATATATATATATATATATATATATATATGACTTCATGCTTACTATTACTAATAGATCTATTTATAAACCTGATTGCAGTTTTAATTTTATATACTTAAAACCTTTTAATTAAAATGATCTTTATGGTAGACTGATAAACTCTCTACATTTCATAAATGAGAAAATTAAGGAAAAGACATACCCTGTATACAAAGTTCACAAATGTATGTACAAAATTCAGGGCTCCCTTTTTTCAGAGATTGTTCCCTTTAACTTCTGTCTCTGAAAACAGATCTTTTATTTTTCACTTCAGTAAGTCTCTTGTTTTCTGCTTATTCTTTCTTGTGTGTCATGGCAAGTAGAAAATATCTTTAGGAGAAAAGTTTATTAAACATGTATGTCACATTGTTTGATTCATTGCTTTTAAGAGTTTTATCTCTTTCTAATGTCTCCCTGAGCTCACTGCCCTCAAATAGCTTGGATATGTGTTTCTTTAACAACAACAACAAAAAAAAGCAATAAAATCCAAGCCATTTGAGGCTTGGCTATATATGTGTGTGTATGTGTGTGTGTGTATGCATAAATACATACATATATATATATACATATTCATATACATGTATGTATAAATGCACATATGTACACATATACATGTATACATATATACTATATATACATATAAATGTACATATATATGTAAAAAAGCTATAAAATCCAAGCCATTTGAAGCTTGGATATATATACATGTGTATATATATACATGTACATGTATGTATATATGTGTAGTATATATATACATATACATATGTTTATATATGTATTTGAGGCTTATATAACTTTATATCTTTTATATATATATATAAAACTTTCATTCATTAATCAGGCATAATCATCATTCTATTTTGCCATCCTGTATAATTGCTTATTGGTAGGGTTACTAGGGACATGCACATTATTTTTGTTTAGTGAGACATGATAATAGTTTAAAAGTAAGAGTAGACTGAGAAAGACCTAATGACCCCTGGAGCTTCAGAACCACCTTTATTATGTGTAGAGTAGGAAAAATGATTTTTTTCCAAAGGAAAAATAAAAAATACTGCCACTCTGATATAGAAGAATATTACCAGCTAATTTTTGTTGTTGTTAACCAGGGATCAGACTCACAATCTCACGTTTGCCAGCAGGCACTTGTACCACTGAGCCGAATCCCTTTGATAGCAAATTGTTAAATTTTTAAAAAGCAATTTTCAGAATATACATAGTATCCTATTTTTGTTTTTTAATACATAGGCATATACATATATATACATACTCCCACTTACATGTAGAAAAGAACATGAAAACATTATTTCTAACTCTTAATATGAATTGTTCGGGAGGACCTAGAATCCAGAGAGTTAACTTTTTGCATTTCTAATGTTACTTAAATTTTTATATCATTTATATATATAACCTAAGCCAATGGTGGCAGACCTATGGCCTGCATGCCACAGAAATGGTTTGTATCATTAAAAGCTCTAAAGAAAACATAGTTTTAAAAATTAGCTAATATTCTACATTTTTTGCTTTCCAGTCAATAGTGTATTTTGCTATAAAATCTGAAATGCAACACTTTTAGCACATGACTACAGTGTTCTCAAGTTTGTTTCGTAAGATCTTCAGTATAATTGAATTTTATCTATTACTTTATGATTTTGGCCTTTGGTAATATTTATTGCAATAATAAAAAAGAGAAAGTAAGAGGGCCAGTGAGTTGATTCAGTAATAAATTGTGGCCAATTTTTAGGAGCACTTTACATTACATGAAATAAATAAATTTTACATTTACATTAAATAAATTTTTTTTAAGATTAAGATGCTTTACTGTTAATTTGTAAAATTAAAGGTAGTATTTAAACTACTAAACTAGCTGAGCTCTTTCATTCTTATGGAGTCAAATTAAAGTAAATTCTCTGGGAATACTTTTACTTTTTGAAACTACTTAAAAGAAGTCAAAATACTGATTGTCAGTCCATACCTATCAGCCTACATATAAAGTTTTTCTAACTCTTGTTTTCATTATGAATAAGAGTTCATTTTTGAAACCTTGCTTTAATCTTGAAATTATAAGTACTTTTGTTGATAGCCTGAAACTGTATATACCTAGTCTATTTATTTTTTTGATGCTGGTGTATTTTATAAATATTCATTTTAATAAAAATCCAATATCATGGTTAATATTTATTTTTAAAATAGGTGCTGTTCCTATTATCAGATGTTCAAGGGGAACCGCAGCAGAAATGGTGGCAGTGGTGAGTTCATGCAGCTGTCACTTAAGTATAAATAACATTGTGTTTTCTCAGCAGTATCTTCTGGTTTTGTTTTTTTTTTTTTTTTAATATTAAGCATCTGACTACTATGGGTTATTATTAAATACCATTGGCAAATATTTTATAACATTGGGATTCCACTAAAGATATTAATGATTCCAGCCAATTTCTTTTTTTTTTTTTTTGCTAAAATCTGTACTACTCATTTAACTTATTACACTTATTTCCTTCCCAAATTATGTATTGTTTCATTTACCAAATACATATTTTTTTAAAATAAAATTTTTAAAATGGGATGAAATACATTTTAAAAATTCCCTACTTTATTGGAATAAAATGTTCAGTATAAAATTGAACAGTCACAAATTTTCTATAATAATTAAGAAGTAGGTGAGAAATTAAATACTGGGAAGGAAAGAGGGTGAGTAGTGTGGAAAGACTAGAAAACTCATTGACATTTTGGAACTATTAACTGAGTTACTACTGGAAATCTGATTTCTTTCATATAGTCCTATTTTCATTCTGGGGATTATTGTCCCCTGTTCTCTTTTTACTCCTAGTCAGTCAAATCAACATTTTTTTCCACTTAGACAGGCATCTGTTTATAACAGAGTCATTCTTGGAGAGAGAGGGTGGGTCATTACTGCAAATTGTTTACTGTGCCTAAAGTAAAATTAGTCAATGGAAAAGTGCTTAGTAGTTGGAGCAGTGGCACATACCTGTAATCCCAGCTACTCAGCTAAGAAAAGAGGAATACAAGATCAAGAGGCAACACAGTGAGACCCTATCTCAAGAACCGTGTTTGCTTGTAAAATCAGGCCTAAATCACAATAGAGAAGACAAGTGCAAGTTATGATAGTTTTGAAATAGTTACACTAAAATGTTCAGATTTTAGAATTGCTATTTTATAACAACATTCCAGCCTTCTCGGTTATAGAACAAAAATACAACTTATTATCTTACATAAAGTATTATGAGTTAATCTAAAATTTGATTTTTCAGAAACTAGATAAGAAACTTCGGGAAAATCTAAGAGATGCAAGAAATAGTCTTTTTACAGGTGACACACTGGGAGCTGGCCAGTTCAGGTATTATGTTAATGTACTTAGAAAACTTGAAAATAAAACTTGTCGAGTTTTTACTGTTGTTTTTCTTATAAGATGGAATAATCTTATTATACTTGTAGTAGCAATTTATTTCTTATTTTAAGTCAGGTCATCAGGTTCAAAGTTTTGACTCAAATGATTCTTGAAATACAAATGAAATGTTTATTCAATTTATATTATTTTGATAGCATATTATCTTTTATCACTATAAGTGAAAGCTTTCTGTTTACATGGATTTAAAGATGAGAAGCCATTTCTTTTTAGCTATTATTAATCCTCTTGGTATTAAAAACAGTGGATAAACTTGATACTTATTTCTATATTATTAAATTTCCAATTTTACATTTAAATACTAATAATTTTGCAAAGCATTTCTTTCATTGCTACCATTTCTTACATGACTAGGTAAACCCAAAGTCATTAATTAGTCAATTTTTTTGACTAGTGATACCAAAGAAACTTATACATTATAGTATGTTTTGTTAGTATTGATAATGGACAATATTGAAATGAAACCCACTCAAATGGCTAAGAATTATTGAGTGGAGTTAGGGTTTTAGGAAATTCTTACCCACAACTCACATGAATTAATAAATAAAGCCTATAGGAGGAAAAAACATGATGCCTGGAGAAATATTAGCCCTCTAGCAATAAAAATTTCATAATTGTCTATATACAAGGGCTGATCAAAGTATATAGGGAATGTTTGGATTTAAAAATGTGTACCGTGAACGTTCCACTTAGCTCATTGTTATTGACATTTTCTGAAGCAGTTCTCAAAGTCGCCTTTTATGTGTTTATAATATACAATTACAAATATGGTGAATGCTGCTATTGAGTGACATCTATTAGAAAGGCAGGTGTGTCCTCATCAACTCCCAAGTCAGACACTGTCAGTTTCTGGCTTTTCATAATGACCATGAAAGGTAAAAGTTTTCAGTTTATTCAGGACATCAAGGCACTCACAACAGTGCAAAGACATTCATGAAAGAGGCCCTCCGGAACTGCTCCAGTAACTGACAGGAATATGAAATAAGTGTGGTCCAAGGAACAGACTATTTTGAGGGAGCTTAGTGGCAAAATGTCTTTTAATTTTAAAAAAAAATTAAACATTTCCCACATTTTTATCACATCTTGTACTTCATAAATATGTTTATGTAGATTTTTTCCTTTAAATCAATTTTGATGCCTCCTATAGCCTTATGTACTACTGTACTGTGTAATTCACACTAACATTGTGTTTCAAACTTTTAGTTTCCTAAGCTCCTCCATTATTTCATTATGGTCTAAAGTATTCTTCAGAGTGTTTGTCTGACTTAAGCGGAGCAGAACATCAAATCGTCAATTGATTTTATTTTTTTTCTTTTCTTTTTTTTTTTTTATCAGTACCAAGGATCAAACTCACGACTGCATGCTTGCAAGGCAGGCACTTATGCTGATGATTTTATTTTAACAGATGCAAACACTATGTCATACCTTACTTAATAATTTCCATTTTATACTACAATATCAACCTTAGAAACCAATGTAAAGGCACTATTTTATTTGGATAATTATTAAATTGTTGCTCTCATTGTCAGTACAGTTGTCTTATTTGTTGGATGCATTTGTGAATTACTTTCTCAGCAACTTGTGTTAAATATAGCCATAGGCTAGTGAATCTCAACTAAGGCAATTTTGTCCCCCATAGACATTTGATAATGTCATTTTTGGTTTTTACAGCTGGGTAGATGCTAATAAAATTTAGTGAGGTGCATTGTAGATGCTCAGCAGCATCTTACAATGTTAAACTTCCTACAAGATACAGAACAAACCCCATAACAAGGTATTTCCTACCTGCTAAATGTCATTAGTACCAAAGCTAAGAAATCCTGCTATAAACCATCATCCTTCCCCTTCTACTTCACTCTTGAATAAATGATAGTAAGTGATAAAGGTGCCACTGAGTTTTTAGCACAGAGCGAGTAGAGATACCCAAAAACTCTACTGAGTTATTAAATGGTCAGAGATCTATTGCAAGAAGAAATATGTAGCTAATATAATCAGATTATAGTGACTATTAAAACGTGGTATGTTTTACTATAATGGAGTATGCTGCTGCTAACACTAGTTCCTTTAAAGAAAATCCCTAAAATTTCTGTGGACACATGGTAACCACATAATTTTGGGGCTCAGTGTGCTCTTAGTAGTCTATCTTACATGTAAAGTGTAAAAATGGAGTTACAGTCTGTGACGTGTCACATAGCTTTCTGTTACGTGAATAGTTATGTAATTCAGTACTATTGTGACATACTTTTATTGGTGTGTTACAAAAGAATAAGGTTTTTTGAGGCTCTAGAGCAGTTCTGGTGAACCTTTTAGAGCTTTCAGTGATACAAAGTCTGCTGCACATGTGCCGTAGGTTTGCTGCCGCTGCTCTATAGAGTCTGCTTTTTAAAATTTGTGTTTATAAAATATTATAACTTGTAATTTATGAAACTGTCACTCGTTTGTGTAAATTTATGAAAGTATATTCTTTTAAAAATTTTTTCCTGAATCTAACAGTATTTTTTGACCTTTTTCAAAACTATGAAATATATATCTGAGAAACAACTGACTTTAACTGTAAAACTTATTCTTTAAATATGTTTATGTAGATTTTTTCCTTTAAGAGTGTTCCCTGAGGACTGGAGATATATCTCAGTGGCATAAGCGCCTGCCAGGCAAGCCCGAGGTCGATCCCCAGTACTCAGAGAAAGAAATTTCTCTGAGTAAGAGGTGCAGTGTAGCATTATTTATAGGCTCTAAGGAATACAATCTGAGTTCAGGTTTATTCAGGATATTATGGCCTTAGGTGTCTGCAGTTTAAGGAGTCGAATCTATTTCCATGATTGACTGACCATATTAAAAAGAAGTGTAAAATATTATAGGTGTTCAGTATTAATATTCTATCATATCAAGATGATAATTACTGTATAGAGTATTAGGAAATTTTAAGTGTATACATTGCTATCAGAATTTCTTTTTTTAATGTATTTACAGCTTCCAAAGGCCATTATTAGTCCTTGTTGACAGAAACGTAGATTTGGCAACTCCTTTACACCATACTTGGACATATCAAGCACTGGTGCATGATGTGCTGGTAAGAGGATAAATACAGTACTTATTATCAACATCTGGTAACATTTAATGGTGGCTTTAATCTTAAACTAATATCATGCTGCAGAAAGAAAGTAGTAGCCAAGGACAAAGTTAAAAAATATGAATAAAAGTTAGTCTTACAGGTGCTAAAAAGTACTGAAGCATTGAAATTTAAAGTTCCAAATATATGGTCTTTTAAGTTATAGCATATTTATTAGTGGCATTTTTGACAATGATGAGGGAAAAGGATGAAGGAAAATGAACAAACATATCTTTTGAAATTTTTATTCTGAATAAGTAAAAATAAAATACAGATGTGTGTACATATACAAAAATGTGTACACACTTCAGGAAGAGAAAAACCTATGTAAATATTTTAATACTAGTTACTTTTGACCTCTGCATTTGCAAGAAATACTCAAACTGGTGGTCCTTAGCTTCCAGACATTTATTCATATGGTAAGCTGCTAATTAGACAGCCTTGATCATTGAGATTGTTGCACAAAGATTTTTAATCTCTTCTCAAAAGGCTACAGTTTAGTGGGTTTGCTGCAATATATGATGTCTTTAAGGTTACCCAGATGAGAATAACACCATCTGTTGAAAAAATGTCATACTATTTTTCTTTTTCCAAAGTGTATGTGTGTATTTTGGCTGTGTGTGTGTTTTCTCCCTGGTAAGAAAGCTGCCCTTATATCTTTTTCTATGGGAATCAATTAAAGCTCATGATGAAAATAAGTAGTATTTTTTATATTGCACTGTGAGTTTTCTGAAATAATTCTCAATGTCTAATTTCATGCATAAACCAAAAAAAATTGTATTTACGTATATACATCAGCTAAATACTGTGTTTAGCATGTGATTAGTAAAGATAAATAGCCCCAACGTTAAAGACAATACATACACAGGTAATTTCTTTTGGCTTGTTTTTATTTATTTATTTATTTATTGGTACCAGGGATTGAACTCATGACCTCACACTTGCCAGTCAGTCACTGTGCCACTGAGCTGTATCCCTGGCTCTACAAATCAGTACATAATAGCAGAATAGTCTCCATGCAAGATAGATAGGAAAATTATAATATAGAGACTAAAGAATTTGAATTCAGTTCATTCTAGTTTGCTAATTCGTAGCCCAGGCATGTAGGGATTGTGCTGTATAATAGTGTCATTATTACAGAGATTGCCTGGAATGTCATGTAAAAAGGAAATGGAAGCTGGATGTGGTGGCACACTCCTATGGACCCAGCGTTCCAGGAGGATGAGGCAGGAGGATCATAAGTTCAGGCTCAGCCCGATCAACTTAGTGACTTAGCAAGACTCTATCTCAAATGGAGGGAGGGGGACAAAAGCTCTGGGTTCAAGCCCCAGTAACACACACACACATTCACACACACACACACACACACACACACACACACACACACAGCTGCTAGTAGCTTAGTGGTATAACAACCGCTTATGCTTAAAACCATGCCAGAGACTCTAGTTTTAATCCCTGTAACACACACAGAAAAAATTAAAAATAAGGAAATGACATACGTATTTGTTTTTAATAGTTAATGGTTTATTTCTTTGAAACCTAGATGTTAACTGGAAGATGTTTACTTAAATCAGATTTAAGATTACCAGTGGAAATTGGCACTGCCACTTGTCCATCCTCGAGCCTTATGCCATGAGCCTGGGAAGGGTGTCAAGAAAATTGTAATCAGCAACAATTCAGTAGAGAGTACAAGAAGAATCCGAGGAACTACTGGGTTAAACCCTGAGTTTAGACATGGAAGCTGGTTGTAGGACATTAAATAAAACATTGGTAAGATTCAATTCATCTAGGAGCCTACTCTTTAGCAAACATTCTAGACCTGGGGTGGGAAATCTGTGGCAGGTATGATGCAGCAGGTATGCAAAACCCCTTCTGTTGGCATGTAATCCAAGTCACCCAGCAGTTGAACATCAGATAACAGTTATTTTTTCTAAACTACAATCTCAGTATTAAGGTTTAATTGCAGTGTTGGCACTTTGTGATAAGTAAGTAGATTTTGGGATGCCGTATGGACACTCATCTCTAAAAGGTTCACCGTCACTTAATTAGAGAAAAATACTTATACCTGTTTGGAGCTTACATTCTAGTAGGAGAGATATGCACTAAATAAAATGAATGTAAAATGTTTAAGAAGGTGAAAGTACTATATATATATATATATATATATAAAAGGTGACACTTTAAATAAGAAAGGCCTCACAGGTAAAATTATATTTGAGGAAAAAGCTAAAGGAGAAAAAGTAGTAAATAGTACAGCTATCTGGAAAAAGAACATTCTAGAAGGGTACTAAGTTTGAAAAATGGCAGTGTATTAAGTAACCACAGTGAAGAGGGGAGTAGAGTAGCCAGAGATAAGATTAAATAGGACACAAGAAGCAATATAGAACAATGTGAGGACATTGATTTTTAATTTGAGAGAAATAGGGAACCACAATGTTAATTTGAATAAAAGAGTAACAGTCTAATATACATTTGAAAGCTATCACTCTAGCTGCTCTGTTAAAAATAGACCCCTTGAAGCCATAGGAAAAGCAAGGAGATCAATTAAGAACTGTTGGCATTAACTTAAAAAGAGATGATACTGACTTTCAACAGGAATGAAATGATGAAGGCAGTGATTATTGAATTTAAGATTGTAAGATTTGTTGGTGAGTTGGATTGGATCTAAAGATACATCAAAGAAAACTCCCAAAATTTGGTCCCGTGCAGATAGAAAGACATTGTTTGTTGGATAGAAAAGCTGTGGAAAGGAGCAGTATGGTAAGTGGGAGCAGTATGGTCAGTCATTTAGTTTTGGACATGTTGAGTGTGTATGTCTATTAAGATACCCAAGTATACCTGTTGAGTAGGTAGACATGCGTTTGGAGTTCAGGAGAAAAATCTGATTTAGAGAAATAAATTTAGAGGTGTTATTCATGGATGGTATTTTAAAGCTAAGAAACAACATGAGAGCACCTGAGAATGAATACAGATAGAAAAAAGTGAGGACCTAGAACCAAACATAGAGGCCCTTCTCCATTTAAAAATCAAGTTTGTGAGTAGGAACCAGCAATGTATGGAAAGGAACAGTCAGTGAAATATGAGAAATATATCTGTGTCGCTTTTGGAAGCTAATGAATTATATATTTTGAAGAGGAAGTGGGGATAACTGATGACTAAGAAGTCACCCATCCATGTGGTCATAGCAAGGTGATTAGTGACTTGGACAAAAGCAGTTTCCATACTGTAAGGACAAAACATTGAAATGGTGTTAAGAGAATAGGCATTTTAAAACCATAAAAGTGCATGGTTGCACATGCCTGTCTTCCTGGCATTCAGAATACTGAAGCAGGAGGATCACCATGAGGTTGAGGCCAGCCTGGGCTCCATAGCCTGTCTCAAAAAATAAAAACAAAAACTGTAAAAGCTAAGAGAGAGCAACAATTGCCTAAAGGGGAAAATGAGGTCAGAAAATACTTTAAGTAAGAGAATTACTGCCTATTTATGTACCAGTTGGAATGATCAAGACAAATTAATGCAAGAAATATGAGTGTCCTGCAGGTGGCGTTAGTGAGTAACAAAGAGCAGTATTCCTCAATCTCAACATTAACATTTTTGGACCAGACTATGGGAGGAGGGGAATACTGTCCTGCACATTGTAAGATATTTAGTATCCCTGGCCTCAATCCTGCATAATAGTGCCAGTAGCATTCCCTCAGTTGTGAAAACCAAAATGTCTGTTTCACACATTGTCAGATGTACCCCAAGGGAGGGGAATAGGAAGGACCCCAGATAGAGGACCACTGCCTCAGGCTGAAGATGGGAAAATTTCGGTGCATGACTTGGAACAGGCATTTCCCAAGACCAAGGCTAACAGTGGTCCTTAATGAGGTTTTCACTGTTCCAGCATGAAATGAAAATAATAAGCAGGAGATGAGTTTTGTACTGGCCATTACACTAATTTTATTTCCTACTCTTTGAAGTCAGAGTATCATTTTACAAATAAAAGATGGTAGAAGATAGTAGAGTTGCTTTTTGTTTTAATCTTCACATAATAAAAACTTGGCAGTCCTTGAAGAGGTTCATTATAATACACTGCACAATATATAGTGATCCAATTCTATTCATTAATTTTAATGCATTTTCTAGATATGAATAAGATATGAAAACTGAGCTTTTATAGATTATATAACTGCCATTGTTTGTTGATTTTAAAACATACTATTGAAGTTTCTTCAGAGCTTTTAAAATTTTTGATTTACCTTTTGTCTCCACAAGAGGGAGTAAAAGTTTAGAAAGGAATTGTTAAGTAGAGTTGTAGTTTACTTTTTATATTAAATATCTTTGAAGATCTGGAGCACTAATAATTATGTTTATATATTTAGTCTTGGAACCACAAAAACTCAAACAGCATCCCTGTATATTAGAAAGATTACTTTTATTTAAACCAAAAAATACACTATTCTGATGAAAAACTTGGCAATGCCCATTTCCTTTTATTGGGACACAGAACCAAAATTAATAATTAGTCATTCTTTTTTTATTTTATCTAGATTATGAGAGGGATGGATTTGATTGTTCAGTGGCAAAGATGCTTATCCTCAATCAGAGGGTATCTTGTTTTGTACTTTTTTCTTTTTTAAAATCTTGGAATTGAACTCAGGACCTTGCACTTGCCAGGCAGGTTCTTATGCCACTGGGCTATAGCCCCAGGCTCTTTACATCTTTTTCCCGCTATTACTGACTCATTTGAAACAGATAAATAGAATATATATCTATATCACTTTCATAAGCATGCTTTTTTTCCCTCTCAGGAATATAACAAAAAAATCCTAGTCACTTGGGAAACTGAGGCAGAAATATCACAGGTTTGAGCCCAGTCTAGGCAACTCAGAGAGATTCTGTCTCAAATAAAAAGGGCTGGAGTTATACTCAGTGCAAAGGTCTAAACTGAAGCCGCAGTAATACTCACAGACACATGCAGGAGTACAATAGCAAATGATATATAATAGGTATATTTTTTTCCAGTACTGAGGGCTTTGCACAGAGCCCCCCTTTTTATTGTTTATTTTGAGACAGGGCCTTAAATAGTTGCTAATTTGCCCAGTTTGATCTCACTCTTGCAGACCTCTACGTCAGCCTCCCAGAATCCCAGAATTAGAGGTACATACCACCACACCTGACTTAAACATGCATTTTTCTCAAACACTGGTCTAAAGACTGAATAAATGGCTTGTGAGTTGAAATTATCACATAAAAACAGGCAGAAAATGTTTGCATGTTGCATATTGCCAGCAGTGTATCTGTGGCAGGGTTTCCAGCTAATGATTCCTAAAATTAAAAAAAGCACTTGTTTTAATGAGTGGGCAAGCTTCCCAGACATTGCTGATGCTTGCAGAATATCTGCAGCTCTGAAGTAGATGAGGTTGTGTAGCTTAGTCTAAGTCAGCCCTCAGACTTCAATTGTATGAAGTGTTAATTTATAATATCTCTTGTTCCTCATTCAATGTGGATCTCTGAAGGGAAGTGCTTGCATCATAGAGATTCAAATATTTAGGATAATGAAACCTTTTAATAGTCACCATGGCAAAAACATTTATGGTTTGCACTTCAAATATTTTTTTTTTAAATTTCTAGGAAATGTTTCAAATCAAAATACAAAAATAATGCTATATTTAACTCTCGTGTATATTATTCAGCTTCCTCTCATTACCTGATTTTATGAAAGAATACTTTTACATATCTGTTTTAAAAAGATAGTTGATCAGATATGATCCTGCACTCTTATAGTCCCAGCAGCCTAGGAGACTGAGGCAGTGGGTGCTCAAATTCAGTACCACACTAGGCAATTTAGTGACTGAGCCAAACCCTATCGCAAAGAAAAAAAGGGTTCTAGGTGTGTGTGAAGGCCTGGATTCAATCAGTAGTGCTGGGAAAAAGAAAACAAAGTTAATATTGTTATTATGCCCAACAAAATCAGAAATAATTCCTTAGCAATATCTAGTACCAGTTATCTCCAAATTGTTTCAAAGCTGCCTATGTTAGTTGGTTTGTTCAGATAAGGATCTGAATGTTATCCACCCATTGTATTGGTTGTTACCTCTCAGTTTTCAGTTTGCAGTTTCTCCCTTGCCAGCCCTTTTTATTACCATATTTTAGTTCAAGAAATTGGGTCATTTTTTTCTATAGAATCCCTTATATTTTTACTTCTCACTGACTATATTCTTACAGTACAATTTAACATGTTTCTCTATTCTCAGTATTTTCAGTGAACTGACAAATCTAGAAATTTGGTTTGATTTGCGTCAATTCTTTGTCAGTATTGCCTAGAGCAGGGTTGCGTAGTTTAACTGTTAAAGTAAATCTCAAGTTTAAAGGAAATAATTGTGACTTACAGAAATATTTGTCTCTAGAGAAAGTACACATCTTCACACTTCTTTATCATTTGTTTCACTGATATCCTTAGAACCCAAATTATTTAATTCTTAAAATGAAGATTTTTCTCTAGAAGGTTGTACTCCTTTTAGGAGATCTTAACTTTCTCCTTAACTTTGTGTGAGACAACATAGACTCTCATCTTCAAGTGACTGAAAGCACGTCACTTTGCTGCAGGACAGACTAGGAAACAGAGCTTTGGGAGACTGTGCACTGATGGTAGGTTTTCTTTCCTCTTCATTAAATCATTCTGCCCACTTCTGTCAGCATTAAGAAATATTTATATGTGCTTATAGTTTTACATGTTTTTCTTCCTTTACTCTGTTTTCTTCTTGTTGATGAACTTGTTAGCACAAGATAAGTGATCTCGTGAGGGTAAGCCATTATCAGCTCAGAATGAAAACTCTGATTTTATTTATGACTCCAGAGTACAAGTTAGTTGAGTCAACTAGTTTAATAATTACAATAATACTGTTTGTAGTTAAAAGGGTAGTAAACTCTTGCCAAATAAAAATTATCTGCATTTTAATTGGCTTTTTAAATATGTAAATATAACCCTTCATTCTGCGTACATAGATGTCATCCCTGTTACCAGAGGTAATTTTGTTAACACTAGCTATCCGTGGCTCTGTTGATCTGCGTTAACTTTTGAAAAAACAAGACAGCTAAAGTCTTAATGTTTTTAGCATTTCCTAATGGGAGTTGTTTTTACCTGGTGATTTGAAGTGCTGATGTCCAGTCTTTTAAGTCAGGAAAATGTGACTGTTTCAGGGAAAACATACACGCTACCATGTTAAAACCAATTCTCTTGTCTTTTGTTTGTGTATAAACGTTCAGTTGCTTTAATGTTATTGAGTTTAGCACAGAGTATTCTAATTTCTCAATTTTCAAGATTGAAATTACATTTCCTTATTTGCTTTGCTATTATGCAAACAATGGAAATGTTCTTACTGCTATTGTGTTGTTTCTCAGAGCACTTAACATCTTTTATTCCTTTTTCATTTTATGTTTTATGTATTCCATCAGTACTTCAGTAATGATACACTCTCCTATTTTTAGAGCAGTAATTTTTTTAGAGCAGTAATTTTGCTAACCAATTAATTTTATTTTGAATGAGCTGTGTCATCACCATGGAAATAATATTTCACTAGAAAATCTAGTTAATAAAGTTTAACTATTGAAATGTGTTTCTCTCTAGTATCTTGTTAAATAATTTTTAAAACTTAGAATTCTTCTCAGTTGTGACTATTAGTATCTATTCATTGTTTATATTTATCACACAAAATGCTTTCTCAGAATTCTGCCATTTTTATCTTTTTTTTCATATGGGTGACTTGTATAAAGTATAGATTAAAAGGATGAGAAACTGAGAGGAATTTAAAAAGCTTACTGATATTCTTGATCTATAATATGAGGGGGCCAGTAGGAAAGACAGTACTAACAGGTTGAAATATAACATAGTGTATTATTTATCATTCTAACCATTTATTATAACTATTCTTTAAACTGCCTATTTTGTACCACTATTTTCTACACTGCAGTGATTTCAAGTGAAAGGACCTGATTCCAAGTAGCTCTGTTCTTTCTATGGTACAATTAGCATAATGCTTAAAAGCAGTTGTCCTAAAATCAGATGGCTGGTTTTAATCTAAGTTCTGCCATATTTTTATATAATCTTGTCCAATAAATTCTTCTCTGTGCCTCAAGGTTTTTCATCTTTGAAATGGCAATTTTATCATTTCTAAAGATTATCATAAGGATCAAGTGATTAGTATAAAGTGCTAAGAATAGTACCTTCACATAAAAGATAGCTATTCTTTTGTGAATTTTCTCTGATGGTCTTCACTTATATAGGAAGAGAAGAGTGCTTCATTGCTTCTGTAATTTACCAAGAAATAGATATGTTGCTCCTTTGTGGTGGTTAGACATTTTATATTTCATATATATTTCTTTTTTATGTCAGAGGAGAAAAGTGGCAGAAAATAAGGTATTATAGAGGATTTATTTAGAAAGTTATAGAGTATACTCTGGAGTCAATATTGTAGGCCTTATTTTATCTGGAGATTAAATTGTATTCAGTGTATTTAGGCAGCCAAGATCTAGAATATCATTAATTTAAAATATACCTGACTACCTTAGAGCTGAGATAGTTATGTCATAGTCAAGCTTAATAATTTTTCCACGTAGTTTCTTATTTATCATTTACTTTTTGATAGCCATGTTTTTTCTTATAACTCACCACTGAGTGAAATTGAATAATGCTGGTCATAGGGAAAAACAGATCTAACACAAGAAGAATAAAGGAGAGAAAAGATACTTCTCTGTTTACCTGTTGTGTGTTTGTGTGGTTTTTCTTTTTGTTTTTTCCTTTTTTTTAAAGAAAGATTCAAAAAAATCAAGCATGAGTAAAACTAGTGAGAGACAGAAAAGTTTAACAACTGTTCATCTGGCTGGCTTTTAGTTTTTATGTGAAAAGGGGATGCTATAATTATTGTAACTTCTACTTTAATATTATAAAAAATATAGTCCATCAGTAAGTATCACAGAATGTTAAGACTGTCTCAGAGTTTAAAAATTATTATTTATGCCAGGCTTACATATTTATACGAGATTATAGCTGTAATTCCATCACTTGGGAGACTGAAGTGGGAGGAGTGCAAGTTTGAGATCGGTATGGGACAGACTTAAGTTCAAAGCCAGCCTGAGCTAAAAGTGAGAGCTCTGTCTCAAAAAATGAAAAAAGTTTTTTTTTTTTTTTTTTTTTAATGGTAACAACCAAGTACCAAGAAGTTTAGTCAAATAAGGTGATAAGGCCAAAAATGGACCTACTGTGTGGCCATGATAAAGATGAATGAGGTAGCTGTACCTATATCGATCGAGAAAGGAAAAACTCCATGTGTGTGTATCCGTCTTTCAAAGAGAATATGCTTATGGCAGTATAAATACAAAATGCAGAAAGATTTTTCTGAAAGAACACACAAGGATCTTAACATGATTTCTTTGCATATTTAAAATATCAATCATATACATCGCCTAGTTAAACTGATAAACTTTATAAAAAAAATGGTAAGTACATTTGTGTATAAAAAAGCTTGGAGGAATGCCTTTTGAATTTTAGATTTGTATTTTTGTCCTCAAAAGTATTAGGAAAGGCAGCAAAAATTGTATGTTGATCATTTTCCATATAGAAAATGTGACTCTTAAACTCAGAAAATGGTTATTTAAACAGGATTGCTTTTTTCATAGGATTTCCACTTAAACAGAGTAAATTTGGAAGAATCTTTAGGAGTGGAAAACTCTCCAGCTGGTGCTAGACCAAAGAGAAAAAACAAGAAGTCTTATGATTTAACTCCAATTGACAAATTTTGGCAGAAACATAAAGGAAGGTAAATAAGAAAATGTCACTAAGATTTTTGTCATTAAAGAGAAATACAGATATTATCTAACCTAAGTTAATCTGAGAAAAATATTGAAAGGTGATGGTGGTTCATTCACATACTGAGTGAGAGCTGTAATCAAATAGCCATAGATATGTATTTTTATTGCTTGTTTTCTTCCTGATTCTTACGGGCTTTGTTAGTTTTTATTTTGCCAGGGCCACTTCTCTTTTCAGTGAACTCATCCCATTAGAGTTTGTGAATCACAGATAGTCTGACTGCACTGACCCTCAAAAGACCATCCCTTTCCCCTTTTTTAAAAATTGTCCTTGTTGTACTGAGGATTCAACCCAGTGCTTCCACACTGAGCTACATCTCCAGTCCTTTTAAATTTTTTATTTTGAAAAAGCCTTACACCAAACTGCCCCGGTCTGGGCTCAAACCTGCTGTCTTTCTGCCTCAGAGTGCTGGATCACAGATGTGCACTATATGCCTGGCTTCTACCTTTCTTTAAATAAATTTTCATGATAGGGAACTTTGGAATAGGATTTTTCCTTTATGTTCCATGAGTGCCTTCACTAACACATCCACAACACAGGGCCATCATTTGTGTGGCTGTCAGGTGGCCCTCTGATCTGGATTCAATTGTTCTCATGAGCTTGCACTGCCAGTGGTGCATGCATGACTGTCCTCTGGAGCAGCGTATATTGCTTCTCAGGGGACCTTGATTACAGTTACGTAGACAAAGGCATTGATTTAGCAGATCGCATGTCACCGAACTAGAGTTCTTTAAGGAAACGGTATAAAAATTATAAAATGGTATATAAATTATAATATTGCTAATCTGTGGTACAGCTGTTCTAAATGTATATTATACCCACCAAGAATGGGGTGCATGTAAAATTCCCATGTTAAAATTTAGAGAATTAATTATGGATAAACCATGAATATGAAGACATTTCTTCTTAGTAAAATTGTTGATTATTGTAATAATTGGAATGAATAGTGTTAGTAAAAAGACTTAAAAGTGATTAGGTCCATTTGTACCAGCAGTGCTACAGCTGCTAGATAATACAGGCACATCTGGTAGTTCAAATTCACAGTAACATGTTAAGCCTTATATTATATAGCAGTATATGGAGTACCTGTGCCTGAAGCCCAGAAATTATATTCAAAATATGTTATAAATTCTGAGTGCAAAATTGTAGTGATTTGCCCTATGATTTGTTGTAGGCAGATACACATATCCCATATGTTGTTAAATGTTGAAGTACTTGATAGAAGTAGTAATTGCTCTTAAAGTTATCTAATAGTCATGATGACTAGAGAGAGGAAATATTTCTCAGAAACAGAAGGATGCTGTTTATCAATTACAGGAATACTAATATTTGAAATAAACATACAGAGAAATATAAAATGGAAGTTTTATTTTTAAAACACACTGTTTTAAAAAAAATTTATTTTTTGTAGAGAAAGTTACTGTCTCTCATTATGGCAATTTTGGATATATTATAATTCATTTTACTTTCAATAATGTTCTTCTCTTTAGAACTCTATAATCTACATTTTTCTCCAGAATGATGAAGTAAGAGAAATTGAAATTCATTGAGAAAGCATTACTGATACAGGCTATGAGATATTTTAAAACTGACATTCCCATTATAATTGAGACAGAATCTAACTAAAGCCATCTCCACAGTAGTGACCTTAATTGGTCTTCAACCTGTAGTACAAAAGCAATAGAAATACAAGAAAGCAGGCCAGCAAGATACCTGCAGAAGTCTTATTTCAGAATAACTGATCTCATTGACACTGAAGTAGATAAAGTTACAGGCAAAAATTCAAAAACCAAATGACCAAAATGTTTGAAGAGACCAAAGAAGAAATACACAAGCAAAGTTATAAGGTGACTACTGAGCTTAAAGGAGATTCCATTAAACAAGTAAAAAATTTTACTAATAAAATGTTCAACCTTAAAGAAGAAATAAATTAATTGAATTAAACATCATTAAGTTGTGTTACGTACATATACCAGCTTCCTACAAGTATATACTAAATTATATACTACATGTACTAATAAAATTTAAAATTTTTTTACGTTAGAAAGTATGAATGACCATTTGGTATAGAATTAGAAATTGTGAAGAGAACACAAGCAAAACTAAGAAATACAAAAAATTCAATGAAAAGTACGGATAGCAGATTTAATGAATGTGAAGACAGTGTCAGACATTGAAGACAAGTTGGGTTATCACAACTCAGTGACTCCTAAAAATGGTAAGATCCCATGATGTCTGGATCCAACAGCTGCTAGATAACAAAACCAAAAAATCTTCGGAATCATAGGAATAAAAGGAAGTCTTAGACTGTGGCTTGAACAGTATAAAAAATTATTAACTGAAATCGTAGCAGAAGAATTTCCAAAGTTAGGGAAAGAATTCAGTACCTAAGTATACAGGAGGCATATGGGATACCAGGTACTTATGACCAGAAAAAATGTACCTACCACACATCATAATCAACTTCCAGAAATTCAACAAATACTAGAAACTAGAATACTAAAAGCTATTAGGCAAAACCTATGAAGGCAAGCCTACCATAGTAACAGGAGATTTCTTAGCACAAATCTTAAATCCAGGGAAGCTTTGAGTAAAGTGTTTCAAACCCCAAAAGAAAACAGTTGTCAACCCAGACTTCTGTGTTAAATCTGCTGGAAGATAAAATAGGTAAAACTCTTGACAACACAAGAAAAGTCAATGACTTGCTGAAAAGAACCCCAGAAACTGCACCAGAAATAACACCAGCTATCAAGTTGTATTGTATCAAAATTTAAAAAGCAAAGCAAAGACAACTGCCAACAGACTATAAAAAAATTCTGCCAATTACTACTCAGAGGACCAATAATATATAAAGAACTTTAAAAAAAATTAGACCTCTCCAAAATAAACAATAGCCAACCAAAAAAGGGAGCAGTTGAAATGAATAGACACTTCTTAAAGTGTCTAGTAGGTTCTAAAGTGGGCTAGTAAGTACATGAAAAAATATTAATCACCTTTGACCATTAGAGAAATGCAAATCAAAACAACACTGAGATTCCATCTTATTCCAGAAACAGTGAGTGTTACTGAGAAGTCAGAAAATGAGTCCTGACAATAAGGGGAAAAAGGAAACCAGTAGTGCTGATGAGAATCAGTGTGTAGATTCCTCAATAAAACTACCTATAGAAAACCAGAATTGCACATATACCTATGTTTTTAGCAGCCCAACTCATAGTAATTAAATCTTGGGAGTAGGCTGTATAACAACAGATGAATAGATAACGAAAATGTGGCATATATATATAAAATAAAGTACTCCTTGCCCATAGAAAAGGTAAATTTGAGTCATTTGTAGGAGAATGATACCCTTGAGTCCATAATTTTAACTGAAATAAAAATCAGACACAGATAACCTGTCATGAAAAAGTATAAATAAAGAACAATATCAAAGAAAGATGGATGGGAAACACGTAGACTTCATGGAAATGAAAAAGGGATCTAGGAGTAGAGGGAGAGGAGAGAGAAGGGAAGTAGAAGTAAAGTATAAAAATGTGACAGATACATGCACAGTATTCATCATCACAAGCAAACTAGTATATCTTTAAACGCTCATGAAGTCTGCGGCCATACCACCCTGAATGCACCTGATCTTGTCTGAAAACCTCATTAAGAACAAAATAAAATCGAGATGTCCTAATAGAGAAGCTTAAGGAAAAAAAACCTCTTCATTCATATATGAAAAGAATGAAAATTTTTTATTATCTTTGAATATTGAAAACTGCATGTTTTTATGAAGGAATTGAGTTCTTACTGCCAATTGTTCTACAATAAGAATGGGCATAAGGGAACAACTGAAGGATTCATGACCAACAGATCAACCCTACAAAGAATGCTGAAGGATGTTCTAGAGAGAGAAAGATGACCACAGTTCCAGGAACAGCAGCAGAGGGGAATCTCCAAGCATAGCAGGCATTTGAATGGAGGGAAAACAGCTGGGTGACCAGTGGCAGGAGGATAGCATGGCAGAGATGAGCCAGTGCCTGTTGGTTGTAACCATTAATGTGGATGCCCTCAATTCACCAAAGAAAGAAACATGAGCAGAGTGGATTGGGAGAAAGGATCCAAAAATATACTGTCTACAAGAAACATCTAACTTGAAAAGAAACTCATTAATTGAATGTCAGGAAAGAAGACAATGCTCCATGCAACAGGGACCCAGAAAAACAGGGCAGGGGTAATTTGCCCATCAGCTACAGAATAGATAAAAAAAAGATATGGTACTTTTATACAGTGGAAAGCTACTCAGCTATAAAGGACAGTCTCGAGGCTCTTAGAGGTAAATGGATGCAACTTGAGGTCATGCTCATGTTTCAGACTCACATGGGTGAACATTGTGTTGTCCCCCTAGTATAAAAAACTGAAGGAGTTAGTGGGATCCACCATAGATACTGTGAAAGTGCAAATAGAGGAAACATCCAAAAAGGGAAAGTAGTAACCATTGTTAATTTCCTAGTGTTCTGAAGTCCTGTATTGTTTTCATTGTTTGGTTTGGTTTGGTTTTATCCTGTTTTGTATTCTTTGATTCTGTTATGCCTGATGGTATGGGCAGTTATTTTGTAGATGAAAAGATATATTATGGTAGTCATTGTTGATTTCCTGTTATCTTGTTTTGAAGTCCTGTGTCACCTTTATTGTTTTGTTTTTATTGGCTTTATTCTGTTTCATTTTGTTTGATTTTATTCTATTTATTTATTTATTTATTTTGGAACTAGGGATTGAACTCATGACCTTGTGCCTGCTAGGCAGGGGCTTGTGCCGCTGAGCTAAATCCCCAGGCCTCTATTTTTTTAAGATTAAAAAGACAGAAAATAAAAACAAAAAGCAATACAGACAGACAAACAAGAAACCAAATACAATAACAGCATAGGTTCACAAAACAAGATGATAGGAATTTGACACAATGGTTGTAATATTACATATTTTTACCTTCAAGAGGGTTGCTTAGATTAACAGATACAGATATGTAAAATTATCTAAATATGAGTATTAGTTTTATTTAAAGTTTTTTTAAATGAGCAAAGGACCCTTAAATAGAGTTTTACTTTCTAAATTTCATTTTTTTGTCAGCAAAATGGTGAGGTTATAATTCTACTATTTGTCTTGATATCAGAATATTAGATGAAACAATGACCAAATACTTGTCTGCAGTTATATAACTTCTATTGGTGAAGACAGAAATGGAACTATTCTGTCAAATCCCAAAAAGATGCTTTGTCATTACTAATATGTATTACTATTCCTATCTTTTTTTTTTTACCAGTACCAGGGATCGAACTCACGACCATGCACTTGCAAGGCAGGCGCTTATGCCTCTGAGCTAAATCGCCAGCCCCTACTATTCTTATCTTAACAACTGATTAGGAGTAAAATAATAGAGATAAATGCTTAACTGAATATTTAATGTACCGTAAACTTAAAATGCCATTCTTTATTCAGTGAGACCCAAAACATACTAGAGATTTTGAAGGTCTTGAAATTCAACCAGCACATATTATAGATGAAGCTAGGGCCTTGAAAGGTAAGAGCTTTCTTATGAAGGCTAGTTCTCATTGTAACTAGATGGAACAAGGACTTCTGACCTCTCAGTATAGTGCTGAGGCCTCAGGGCTGTTTTTCGGCAACGTAGACTGCTAGAGTTGTAGTAAGTGCCGGGAGTTGTTTGGTAACATTGGGTAGCATTCTCCAAATCCTATCTGAACTCTCATCTTTTCTGCCAATCTCCATTGGATGAAATGTGCTGATCATTAGTGAGATATTTCAAGTGCTGGTACTAGAAAAGGGAAGTTTTTGTTTCGTTGAAAGCAGAGGAGAATTCCGGCCTATAAGGCTGTGTGGAACAGTGGTGGCAGCACATGCACTGCCATGGGCTGTTTGTATCATTGAAAGCTCTAAAAAGTTTTTCATCACTGGTGTAGATGAAAAATACTCATCTTAAAACTACCTACTGTACATGCATCTAGAATTTTTCAAGTTTAGTCTTGTGTTACACTTCCTACTTAAGCTGCTCCAGAATTGCAGATGAGTTATATCTGAAGTCTGCAGAAAGTACTGAGGAACTGCATTGGCCTGAAGGAAGACGTCAAGCAGGAAGCCCACCAAAACTGGGCCAGGTGCTATTTTTACCAACATGACTATTAACAGTACTGAATTGCAATATTTTTTCCTTACTTACTTGTAAGTAATACTTCTTAAATACTATCATTGTAATTGAATAGACTCTTTGACATTATATGTTATATGTTAATTGATATACTATGATTTCTAAAATATTTTCAGTCACGGAGTTGAGGATATAGCTCAGGAGCACAAGTGACTGCCTGGTAAGCGCAAGATCCTAAGTTCAATTCCTGGTACAAAAAAAGTACTTTTCAGCCACGTAAAAGTATGTTTTGTTGTAGCAACACATATGTGAAAGGAGAATGTGATGTTACTTAAGTAAAATTTGGATTTATAAATACTATGTATTTTAAAGCCTATGTGGTTTTATTTATGTTGAGTTTTCTATTAAAAATATTAATATCCAAATAAATTATTTGATATCTTCATTGTGTATATTTCAGAATTCACACAAAAATCAGTCTTTTAATGTCATACTCATAGTTCTTCTTGTGTCATTTTGTCTTAGTCCATTTCCAGAAGTTGCAGAATCAGTTCAGCAAGAATTGGAATATTATAGAGCCCAAGAAGATGAAGTCAAACGACTTAAAAGCATTATGGTAAGATCCTATTTGCTTGTCTCAGAATTACAGGGAAAAGAAACGATACCTGCAGGAAAAAAGAGGTTCATTTTTTTCTCCTCATATAAAAGTTTAAGGCTATTTATTGCTTTAATAACAACAAAATTATACTCAGTTTATTCATGTAATCTTTAAAAAACTACCTAGTTCAAAAAATTGTAAAAAAATAATGTCATGATTCAAAAAAATTATACAACTATTTTAGAAATGTTCTAATACTTCTATCATACTTTAATCAAAATTTAGATTTCAACTATATTACTCACTACTGTGTGACCTGTGACAGGCCTCTGGGCTTCTTTATCTGAAAATCTCAGCTGATTCTTTCTTATTTACTGAGTCAATGATTTATTAAACAAGTGACTAGAACTTTTCTGTAACTGCAAAAGTGCATACACTTTCTGGGTGTGGTGGCGCACATCTGTAATATCTGCTCCCGGGAGGCTAACGCAGGAAGAACGAGCGTGAATTTGAAGTCAGCCTGGACTACCTACCCAGACCCAAATAAACAAACATGTGCTTGCTCCTCAAGAGGACAATTGTTATTTTAGGTGACATTAATCCTACTGTTTAGCAATAATCTTAGGATTTGAGTTGATTTTATGGTTGGGCCTTGGAACTATAAGTAGTTACTAGCACTGTTTTTCCTCCCCACCAGGGGCTAGAAGGGGAAGATGAAGGAGCCATAAGTATGATTTCTGACAATACTGCTAAGTTAACATCAGCTGTGAGGTAAATACTCAGTATGTCTTCTTTGAAATCTCTGTGTTGATGAGGTTAATTTTGGTGGTTGAAAATGGTTAATGTTTTTAATAGGAAATAGCGTATAATAGCAAATTCACTTGCAAACATAAAGAACAAAATTATGTCTTTAACATGTTTATAATGATTTCAAATCTCTCTTAGATACAGCAGGACATTTGTTTCTTTTACCAATTAGAAAAAAGTGATGACAGAAGAGTAAATATGATGTGGTTTCTCTTACATGAGAAATCCAAGGTATAAATAATTTAAAGAGCAAAATAAAAAAACTATAGGAAACAGGGAGGTAGACCTTTTGGAAATGGAAAGGAAATTGGGAGAGGGGAAAAGGAGGGGAAGTACTGTGAAAAGAATGATTCAAGATGCATATGTACAAACTGCACTCCACAGGATGAATATATTCATTTGTCACAAACACATACTGATAAAGAAGTGGTGATGGAAATCTCATTAGGAAAATAATGATAAAGCAGAACAGTTATTACTAATTTTCCTGTCATCGCTCTGGTTTTACTAGTCAAGGGTTAAGCAGTATTTTCAATAGTTTGCTATTAAGAAGGAGGGAGATTTCATGGTTCAGAAATGTAGGGAAACATATCTAATAATATGATTTTAGTTTGGAAGCAGAAAATCAAACAAATAATGACATTTGGGAACCAGATTGTTTTAAAATAAAAAATATTTCACCTTTATTAAAGTAATACATACTGTATGTGGTCAAGTCTACAGATTACATTCAGCCATGGTTTGTCACATTGTTGCTGTTTCAGTGTTTCAAATTTCCTGAATATCAGGAATAGGATTCATTAAAGTTTATAACTTTCCTAAAAAATATTATGCTTGATTTTTAATTTTTGGGTCCTTTTAGTTCTTTGCCAGAACTTCTTGAAAAAAAAAGACTTATTGATCTCCACACAAATGTTGCTACTGCTGTTTTAGAGCACATAAAGGTAAATTCAACTTTTCCCTCTGTAATATGACTTATATTTATAAAGCAATAAATAGCCTTATGTTTTGTAAGATGCTTTCATAGTATCTCACTGAGCTTCACTGTAATGTTATGAAACATAATTATAATGTTCATTATCTAGATTGCAATGTTATATTCATTTGTTTTGCAAATAAGAAAATTTAAGAATAAATACAAGTTAGAATCTGATATTTCTGTTGTTTCACTACCTCAGTACCATCTCTATACATTTTATTCTAATAATAATAGATTATATCGCACCATCAGTAATAGAGACTCAAAAATGTAGTATTTCTCAAGTGTCCTTTAATAAAATCATTTATGAAACTAGGCTCTAAAATTCCTTACTGTCTCATTAGACCGTGACTTTAAAACAACTGCATTAGAGCTTTTAAATATTATCATAGTTTTTTTTTCTTATTACTTTATTCATGATCATTCCACATCAACTTATTTAATCAGTCCTTCAGTATTCTGCAGTCTTCATTTATTCGACAGACTTGTAGCTGAATTCCAGTGATAAATTGATCATATGCTAAGACTTAACTTTTATTTTTCATTTGATATAATAGATTGAAACTGCTTAGAAAGATGAATATAGTTGCTGCCTGTCAAAGATGCAAATGACATCTTGGATTTATGAGATGAGACATATTATCTTATTATTTAATGATTTAAAAAGCCATATATCATTTAAAAAGCCATATATCACGTAAGATAGGTGACATTATGCAGAGTGAAACTTAAACCTGTGTAATTTTTATTACGCCAATAACCTAATTCTTTCTTTGTCCCACATCTTTGATATTTTGATATTTTTCATGTACTTATAGGAATAGAAACATACTTGTACAAACTATAACTGATTCTGCTAATGTTTTCAGTTATTTGCTACCCTTATAAAATATGTGAGATTATTACCTACTAGAGAGATAACAGAAAGTCAGATGAAATAAAATAGAGAGCTTTATTGCGAATTGCCTTCTGAAGAAAAAAACAATGTTTTGCTTACATGACTAAATATGAAGACTGTGACTCTAATAACAGAAAGTAAAAAATTTTACTGCCTTAAAACAAATAAAATTTAGGTTTTAGCTTACTACTGTTAAGCTGTAATTATATAATTAGGACTCTGATCCAGTTAACAAACATCTCTTGAATACTTCCTGTGTGCCCTTTCCTGTGCTTATGAAAAATACTGTTTGTAGATAGACAGCTGAAAACAAATTCAGTGTCAGGCAAATTGCACAAGCTTGCAATCCCAGCCTTTGGGAATCTGAGGCAGGAGGATCATAAATTCAAGTCCTCTCTGGGCAACTTAGAGACTGCCTCAAAATAAAAAATAATAAAAGGGCTTAGGATGTAGCTCAGTGAGGGCCTTGGGTTCAATCCCCAATTCAAGGGAAAAAAAGAAAAGCAACTAGGAAGTTGTGACAATTGTTAATAGTCATCGGAGTAAATTTTTTTTAACTTATAGTTTGTTTTGCTTTTTTTCATTATGAAAAGTTTAATTGTTACATTCTACTTCCTATAACCTCTGTTCTCATAACTGTAATATCAGGAAAATGCCAAGCTCAGCCTCTGCTACCATACATACCAAGTTACATGTCCTAGAATAACTATTTATTTTTCCTACATTGTGTATATTATAGTAAGTCCTTAAGATACTGTAGTAAATAAGACATAAATTTTCTTTTCTCTTAGATCTTATGGTGCTGTAACAATAAACAGTAGAAAACAAAACAACTATGTATTTAATGATGTGAGAATAATAAGAAAAGAGTGATGCAAGGTGGTAATAGTTGAGAGGCCAGTTCTGGAGTTGAGTAGTTAAGAGATCACTGTTGAGCTAATGCTTGAGTTGAGTCCAGAATCAGGAGAAAGAGCCAGTTAGTGCAGAGGTTAGAGCTAGCCATTCCAGGAAGAGGAGTAATGAGAACAGAGCCACTAAGACAAACATACTATGTTTGAGCACCTGGAAGACCAATGTGCTTTACTGAGAAAAAAGTAATAGAATAAGGTATCAAAAAAGATAGAAATTTAAGTGTGATGGGAATTCATTGGAAATTAATTACATGATCTGACTTGTGTCTTAATCAGAGAGTGGACCAAGGAGTTTCAGGGGTAGTAAATTCTGGAAATGAAAGTGGAAGTGAAAGATAGACATTCTAGCTGTCTAGCTGAGTACATGCTTTATAAAGTGCAATTTAGTTAAGAAATTCTTTGTGATGATCTCCTATCACTTTACACTAATGATTTTAAGTGAGTTTTTCAGAATTAGTTTGTGCCAATTGAGATCACCTGCCTGAGATTCTTTAATATGCCACCATGCTTAACCCAAATAATTCTGCTTAAAGACTTCCTGGTCTTATGAAAAAAGTTAAGGCAGATTCCCTCCTCCTAACAGTATCTGACTTTAAAGTAACTGCCATAAAATGTATTCACTTTGCAGAAGAAAAGAAATGTCATATTTAGGATATCTGGTAGTTGGGTTGTTCTGGAAAACCAAGTTAATATCAAGAGTTTTTCTTAACATAGTAAGTAAAGGAGCATGTTTATTTTACATATTAACATGTAAATTGTGATTCTATTTAGTAAATCACATATGTAGGAGTTACCTTAACTTCTGCAAATAACAAATTCTATTGTAAAAAAATTGTAACATTTTTCTATGAAGTCTTTTAATGTTAACAGTGGTTTGAAGGCTCGCCTTCTCCCTTGTCAAAATGAGCATATGAACTTTATTGTTTCCATTTCTTATTACTGTTTTTTCCATGATTTTGCAATTTCTAACTTTATAGCATTTACTTTCAAGTGGCCTTATTTTACACATTATGTTACACCATCCACTTCTGGCTATGTTGTTACCATAATTAAAGATTTACTTTTCTATAATGCCTTACTCTTCATCAGAAATTCTTGACCATTTCAGCTTCACTTTTTTATAAACACTCCACTAAGCAAAAAAAAAAAAAAATGAGTATTTTTTTTTAATAGTAGGAACACTGTGTCTTCTCATGCAGAGTTCTCTGCATTCCTCTTGATATTTGTTTTTATTGCAGTGTAACACATTTCTTCTTTAGGGATGCTAAAATTATAGCTACTTTTGATAATTTCTTAGATGATTTTTTGAAGCAAGGTAAAAGAAGAAATTAATCTCTTTAGAAATTCTGGCAGCTACTTTGCAACTGATATTTTGATAGAAAGTTAAAGAACAAAAGCACCAGTTTGCTACCACTTTGGCACATATTCTCTGTTCCAGTTATTGATATTCTGAGGATTTTAATGGCTTTGATAGTTAACTTTGGTCTAATAAATTTAAAAGCAAGTTGTTGATATTAATTTATTTTGAATAATCTGTATTTTTAAACCTTAATGGTACTTTCCTTTCTAATGCACATACAACTTTCCCATTTGCTGGTTGTTGAGAAATGGCTTCTGGGACGACTTAATTTGGAGACAGCATGTTTTCATTATATTTTACCAATCTGCATAGTCTGAGTACTGATTAGCACCAGATACCGAAGAAAAGTGAAAGAATCATACTTGTAAGGAATAGGATATAAAGAAAAAAATAACATCAGATGTTCTTTTTCTTAATACTCTTACCTAAGAGGAAGAACTATTAAACATCTGCATGGTCCTTCCAGATATGGGTGGCAAAGAATATACTGTTAATAAGCTATGTGGAGCAGGACTTGGCTTTAATAGTTTCTTGTTTTTGATTTGCTGTGGAGAAAACTGAGAGAGACTGAATGGGATCTAAGACATCATGTGATGAGGTGAAGAGTTCTATACTCAGAATAAAGCATAGCCCTTGTTGGCAAAACTAGCTTCTAAATGGAGCTCCTTCTAACAAGGATTAATTTTCTGTGGTTTAATTGCTTTATCCTGTTTAAGGGAAAATAAGCTTTCAAAAGAAACTCTCTTATCTCTCTCTCTGCTTAGTCAACATTAAAGTAACTGATGCCCTTTTTCATCTATGAAGCATAGTAGCTGATGGACATTTTACTGATTTGCTTATAGCCACATTATTGATTTACTGACATCTCATAGCTGATACTTCCTTGTTTTCCTTCTCTGCTCCCTTAGTTTGAACTTTTTTTCTTACGAATAGGTTGTCTGTATTTTACTTATGTGAACTGTAAAATTATGAAAATTTGTTTCTATAAAACTAAATTATACATTATAGACTCAGTAAAGATGGTAATTTAAGTAGTTTGAATTAATTTGTGTATAAAAAACTAAAAGATTGAAAAGATTGGAAAATATTATATAGTACTTCAATTTCTTTGCATTGTCTATAAATTTCCCTGTTTGACCTCAAAAACATTGAACTGAGAAATTGTAGGTAATTTCCAGTAGGCATGTTTTATGTAAGAAAAAAACTTCAATTAATATCTATTACTTTGAAATTTTTAAAATTAAAATCAATCAGTAAACTTTTGTGCTCAGAAAAAAAATCAGTGATAGACAATTATACATTTTAGTTTTAAATTTTAAAATGTTTAAAATATATACATAAACAATAAATCCTTTATTAACAATCTTTATAATAACCGACTTTAATCACTACTACTCCCAATCACATTTGAGGTCTTATACCATACTAGAAATCACATTTCTTGGACTTTGTGCTAATATGTTTTTAAAATGATCTTTTATATAATACTAAGTAAACAATCATATGACCTTAGTGTCTTTTCTTAAAGACCCAGGGAAAGAGTACTCTGTACCAAAAGAGTTCCAAGTTGAGAAGCAGTCACACTATTTTACCTCTTTTAATCCCAAATAAGACTAGTTACTATCAGAACCTGAAGAAATGTTCTTTACTCCAAGTGTGATAAAAGATAGCTCTTGGCTGAGACAAGAGGATTACAAATTTAACCCCAATCTTGGCAATTTAGTGAGACTCTGTTTAAACTGTCAAATGAAAAGGACTAGGGCTGTAGCTCAATTTGAAGACCCTGTGTTCAATCC